AAGTGATGTTAAAATTGGAAAAAAAGGAACCAAGGTTTTGATATGACAGCAGCAATATAATACATATACACACATGTGATCCTACTTTCTGACTTTGTATGTAGATGTGTTTAATCCTATTTGAGCTGGAATAGTTTTACCTGGGAGGTGCTGCAATGAGATTTGTAAGGGAGTTGACTGGACGATTCATACTCAATGAAGTATCGGTGTAATTTCTTCAAATGACCCAGGATAGCCCAGATCAAAACGTCATAGCCCAGATGTTCACATCATCTTTAAATTTACAAACAACCAGATGTAACTTACAGTTAATGTCAGACTGAATAGCATTAGGCTAGTAAAGTAGGTCTATTTAACTTGTTGCCCAAATGGGATATAAATCTTACTGCCCTGTGAGACATTCGTTTAACACATTTCATTTTCCTACACCTTCAAATTATGCCAACAAAGGAAATGTTGCATATTACAGTTCTGGTACAGTATCTGGTTGTCTTCTGTTCGCCATTGTCTGTAACTGTTTTTATTATTATATTACCATGAGGCCAATTCAAACAAGACTACTGTTACTGAGGGAGCTCTGGGTTCATTAAATTAGTGAAGGTAATTCACTCATATTATAACTTAGTAGTCTTGTAAAATGTACAAACATTGCAGATATGTCTTGGATTAAAATCACAGATCTCATAGGTAATCATTAAAATTACAGCACCTCCTCAGGCAAAACTAGTCCACCTTGAATCAAGCTTAAATGCAAGGCAGAATAAGCTACAGCTTTTTTTCTGCTGCTCTTTGTGCCATATATACAGCATCAGTGTTGATACACTAATCATACATTATCACTATGTTGCAACGATAACATGGTAGCTATATAAAATCAGTTTATCAGTATGGGCCATTCCCCCATTCCTAAGATCACATAATAGCACTAAAACACCCTGGAGTGGCACCAAAGATTCTTCAGACTCATTTTTAAGAGTGAGTAGTTTGACACCTTATCTAATGACATTCTTTAGCTTGTTTGCACCAGACAAAAGTTTTACATGAGTCAGGCTATTGCATCACTACGCCTGTGCAGGATCTGGAGAGGTCAGCTCTTCTTCACCATGGGTGATCATTGATGGACATCTGCAAGTTTAAGCACATTACAGAATACTCTAAATATATGTATAAATAAATACCACACATTGTTGCTCATCACCAGAACTTTGGGAGAGCGTACCACCACCATCACCAGTCTCACGTCTTACCACCATACTGGTACGTGGCAAGACATATTGAGACCAGATTATCACTTGTTACCAATTTCTCACTGAACTGGTGTGAGTAGAGCCAGAGGCAGTGTGTTGAGCAAGCGGCTGCAGCTGCAGTGAAAACAGGAGTGAGTGTCCAGACCTTTCCGCTCAGACAGAACAGAAGAGGGCTATTAGGAGCTCAGGCCAAATCAGAGCCAGATGTCTGCAGGCTATTTGTACACAGCATTCAATAACTCACGCAGCAGCCGTTATAACTCAGGTGATATTGTGTTTTGGACGGTGGTTTATTCACTTAATATTTCACATTAATCCAATGGAAAATGAATTATCTTATTTGTCTTGTCAAGAAGGCTAGGACTGACCTCTGGGCTTAGAAAGAGTCTGAGATGAACAGACTTCTCTTCTCTTCTCTTCTCTTCTGTATTCTTATTTTATTTTCACTTCTCTTACATTTGATCTTTTCTTTTTTATCTGTTCTTTTGCATCTGTTCTTTTTTCACCTCTTCTGTTCTGTTCTCTACTTTCTGATATCTTCTCTTTTAGTCTCTTCTCTGCTGATCTCTTTTGTATCTTCTCTTCTCCTTTTCTGTTCTCTTTTCATTTCTTCTCTTTGTTTTTTTCTCTTCTCTTCTGCTCTCACATTCCACTTGCTTACAAACTGCTTACTCTTGATATTATACGTGAAATATTATATGTGACTCATTTACATATAGCTTATGTGTATTTGTGTGTGTGGGTGAGTGTGTGTGTATGTGTGTGTTAGACTGCAACACTGCCCTCTAGTGTATCATATTTGGTCATGCTGAGTTTAATCTAGAGAGTCATTAGTGCTGATCTTAAGGATTGTCACACGTTTCAGACACGTTTGTGTATACAACACATACACACACGCACATACATACACACACACACACACACATACATACACAACACACACACTCAGTTCAGAGTGTTTTCTGCTTATATGATCTTCATGATCTTCAAGGCCTGTGCAGTTTCTTATGTTTATTGTGTATAACGGCTTTCTGTAGAATAGTGTCTTCACTATCCAGACATACACAGACAAGCTCATACCCTCACAGAGGTGAAATGATGGAGATCGACAGCGTGTTTTGTCTCGCTCTCCAGGGTGCAGACTGTGGAGGTTGTGGTGTGTGGGTCAGCAGAAGTCTGACACTGTGGGCTGGATGAAAGACACACACCGCCTGACTGAACACACACACACACACACAGAGTACCTGTTTCTTCCTCCTACAGTGTTTTCTCTAGACCAGCACACAGTGCCCACACCTTTGGCATTGAGCGCAAAGAGAGATCCCTGACATCACTCCAGTTTCTGTGTGTTTGTTTGTGTCTCCGTGTGTGTGTGTGTGTGTGTGTGTGTGTGTGTGTGTGTGTGTCCAGGGGTGGGGGGCGGAGGGGGGGGGCTGTTTGTGTAGGCAAAGTGGACTTGTTTGTGTTTCTGCATACCTACTGTAAAAATATAGTAGTAACGACCTTAGCAGAAACCAAGATGAGTTGTGTTTCTAATAGAGCAGTCAAATAAGTAAAATAATTAATCATGATTAATCGCGTTTTTTTGTGAGGGTAATCACAAGTAATCATGGTTGTTGCACAGATTTGACCCTAATGCAAGATTTTTTCATTCAAAAAACAGTGCATTTTGTTATAGCTGTATGGACGAAACAAACTTAATGTATTTATTTACTACTTTCAGTAATTCATTAACATTAGATTCATGTTGCATGCTCCATCCAGTGAGTGTAGATATCATACTTATCATCTGCATTCAATTCTTACAACTCCTCCATGATCATAGCCTCTTGCTCTTATTCATGTTCATATAGCTTGTTATTACAGTGGAGGCTCTTGAGGGGAACTGTAGCTTTCCACTTTGCTGATGCCTTTGTTAGTTTGCTGCTCATTCATTTTTCCATAGGTCTCTTGCAAGCACTGCAAGACACTCAAAGAACTTGTCCACTGTCAAGACCTTGCTTTAAAAGCCATTTAAAATAGCATTTGAAAGAGAGGGCTACAGTCCTGGATTCTGTCATAGCAAAATACAGTGCACACACAGCTGGGTCATGCCTGAAACTACTATAGATGGTTTGAAAGATGCAACTAGGAAAATACAGTGACAGCTTTTAAAAAATTGTAGCATTAATAATTTATTGGGTTAAGATGACATTAACATTGACAGGCCAAGTTTTTTCATGTAATCTAATATTATGATATTTATAGATATAATATAGATATTATAACCACTTTCTGTCCTCCTCCTACTCATTCCTATTCTGGCCACCCCAATACCATATGCTTTGCTGATTTTTTAAAGAACATGGAAAGAGGGAGACATCCCTAGTTTCTACATATCCTCACTGTCAGAAAACCTTGAATCTCCAGAGTGGTAACTTTATAGAAGATGGGGGAAAAACATATTTTAACATATGTTAATGTAACAAAACAAAAAGGTTTTTCTTTGCAACGTTTTCATTGTTCTGTTTGTTATGAAATATTCACACAATATAAAAAGCAGTTAAACAGCACAGCTTGGCAGTGACTCATAAAACTGCCTCTGATCCACTCTGTACCTGCAGTTCTAGTGTGGAGCTGGATGAGAGAAAGAGGGGGAGGAAGAATCCATCACAACAGTCACTGTAGTGAAGTTACGTGTGTTGGGACTATGTGTGTGTGTGTGTGTGTGTGTGTGTGTGTGTGTGCCTCTCGGGGGGTGAGTCGCAGGGCAGACAGGCTACGCCTCGCTGGCAGACAGAGAAAGAGAGATCAGTTGAACAGGTGAGCGGTGTCAGCGTGGCCGTGACAGCTGTTAACACACTTCACCACTGATAGACAGAAACACACACACACAGTTTCATTTTCTCTAGTTGCATGTTAGCATTCCAAAAGCTGAGAAAGAGATAGACAGAGAGGGAAGGGGGAGAAGATTACAAAATAGAGTTGAATATAAAAACCAAAACCTTAGATGCAGAAACAGTAGCAGGAAGAACAGTGGTGCCTGGGAGGCACCGTGTTTTTAGCCTATTTTCTGCTGCTCAGACACATTTGCACGCAGAAGCATTTAGAGCAATACCATTGCTCTGTATTGCCTGTTTCGGAAAGTAAAGAGTCTCATTTCTTTCCTTCCTTACCTCAGGCCACTGCTGCTAATGGCCTGCTGTTTTGGGTGAGGGAGGTAAAGGGTGTAGCAAAATGGCAGACAGATTTTATTAAAGAAAAGAAGGATGATCTGAGCATTTATTTGATGGACACCAGCGATGAGCAGTACGACATAAGTTTTATGCTGTTCATCACTGCTTTAGGAGCCAAGTCACTTATGCCTGGCATGTGTAAGTGTGCATCTGCAGCGATGTTTGAACATGGGATGAGTGTTACCCTGCTCTTATCTTTGCTGGCCAGTTGCTGGTGTGGTTGATTAAAAAGGGAAAACACTTTCTCTGATAGTGATGTGAGTGCAGATTCAGTCACTGCTTCACTGCCTGTCTCACACTGTACCCACAACTCAGTTGCTTTGATAGATGGCTGGGCTCGCTCAGTGCCCTGAGCGAAGTGGAGTGTGACTAAAGTCCAGTGTGGATGCCCTTAACGGTGTCAATCTTCTGTTTAGCTCAGTTGATACAGATCAGTGCTTATTTGTGGGGGTTTAAAGTTACTTAGAAATGAACCTCGCAATCAGAGACGATTACTGAGGAATAAAAAGTGTTTTGTTTTTGTGTTGATTCCTGACAGCTTCATCCTGGTGTTTGGCTGTCTGGTCCTGTCTGTGTTCTCCACCATCCCGGGTTATGTGGAACTGTCCAACCACTGCCTGCTCATACTGGTGAGAATTCCACACCTCAGCACATGCAGCGCATTATCACACAGAATACAACCACCAGAGAAAAGGTGAAAATTGAACAGTACTCTGAAAACAGTGATGAAGTGAATTGACTTGATTAAATTGTGAACATAATTTCCACATGAATAAGATCTACATCAACAATTGTGTTTTAGATAATACATTTTTGGTAAATATTTGTGTCGATGTACACTACATGTTCAAATGTATACAGACAAATGTTCTAATTAATTAATGAAAAGATCATTTAAAGTGCACCCATTGCTGGCGCAGTGTCTCAGATGTCCATCAGGCTGTTTTTTGATCTAATGTTTCCAAGAGCTACTTTAGTTCTTGCAATTTGATACATGTTTTGTTACGTTTTTTGAGCTAGATTTCCACTCTCTGTTGTTTTATTGGTGAGTGCAATCCTCTCAGGTGATGAGGAGCAGCTCCACGGGGTCCATGTGGTGTCCGTGGTGTCTTTGTTGGGTTTGTGTATCAGCTGAAGTGTCACACTGGGAGGGCTCATATCTTACCTAAGAAAGGGTCAAAGGTGGCTCCTCTCCCACTGATGGGAAAACACTGAGTCTTCGGTGCCTAAGGCATCAGACAGAGCTCTGAGAAAGCACACTGTGTTGTGACAGTGCATGGAAATCATACTCAAGTGTCATAAAATGCCAAACAAGTCTGTACCCTGAGCTTAAGCACTGCAGAGATCTCACAGAGAAGAGCTGCTGGGTCATACAAAACATGAACTGTACAAAGTTTTAGAATAATGACACTCAGTGGCCACATACATATGTCAACCAAGAACTTGTTAAATTGAAGGAAAACTGTCTAGTAACCATATATACTTTAATGTTATATGTAAAATACACATTAAAATACATGCACTGTATGTACACTGACAGTAATATTATGTGTTGATGTGGGTGCACTGTATTTTATTAGTTTTTGTTCAAAAGTGATCTGAAGCTAATGATATTTACTTTGATATGTGAAAAACTAGGTACTGAAAGATGCAAGTTTTAAGTGGGACAATTTAACCCAGTAATACAGAGTTTGTGAACTTCCTGTTCATGAACCAGAGAAAACTGATATGTTGATGTTCTTAGACACAAAAATAGGCCTGTGGTCACTTGCACAAAACATTTTCAATGAAAATTGGCCTAATATTTAAATGAGCTGCATAAAATCTCTTCAGGGAAATGTTTACGTCTAAAACAAAACAAGAATACATGGTTATGAAAGTTTCAGCGCTTCAGTTTTGACACTTGCAATATTTAAATTTGAGCACTTGATACTTGATGCAGTTGGGCACTGAACCTTAATTGTTCAGGCCTATAAGGAACATGACCTAGCAAAGCCAAACATTTGTAGGTTTTGCTTGGTGTCACACATAAATAAGAAGATACTTGACATTTCAGTCGCTTTTTTATTGTTATTCTGATTAAACAAATCAATAATAAGCCCTTAGGGGTGTGTGCACATATTCACTGAGAAACTATCACAGTGCATCTAACAATAAAAGCAGCAGCATTGTGCTTCTCGTATGTAGTGACAGTAAACACACAAAAAGCTCACATTTTACATGGAGCATAATACTTTGGTGTCAGATATTAATGGGTTAAAGAAGACATTGCTAAAGTGATGCTCTGAGTGACGCTCATTCTTTATGTGTATATATATATATATATATATATATATATATATATATATATACTAAACTAAACTCTTACTGGCACAGATCACTGCATTGAATTGTCTGGTTCACTTACTAGTAGAGAAAACCACATTTCAAAGGATTCCCCAGGTGGTGCATGTGTGAGCTGTGTGCTGGGTGCAGGAGGAGTGCTGAGTGCTGGAGAAAGGAGCAGCTAGCGTACTGCAGCACTGTCAGCTTTGCTGTAATGTGCAGTACTGACAGATGTTTTAATCTGCTGAGAGACCCATTGAATCCTGCCGGATTTATCAAACAGTGCAATTAGCAGGGCCGGCCGCTGGCACTGATGAATGAGCTCCAGGGGTAATTACGCTAACTAGATACTATTACTGGCTCCTGCAGTGCACAGCGCATGGGAGTTCCAGCTCAAACTGCACACTCAGGCTTTTTTACTGAGCTACTGCTCACTGTACATGATAGCAGACAAAGCTCATTATGCAGTGTTGTGAACATGATGCTGACAATTGTCTTCTCATTGTTTTGTACATTATCTTCAGTCCAAAATACTACATACAGTTTGAAAAACCCTGCACATGGTCTCCAAATCCATGCATGCAACCTTGGAACATTTGATGGAAAGTAATATCTATGTATATGAACAAGAGAATCTGTAATGTAGGCAAATTTTGAAGAAGTAAGAAGAAGGACCAGCAATAGTCATAAGTAATTGTCAAATAATATAAATATAACTGCTTTAGGTTTATTGGTATGCCACTGTGATAACACTTATACAATGCCTTATTTTAAAGAATGTAATGAACTGTAAGCATTTCATCACTGAGGTATCTTTTTATGTGTTAGCTTATTGGTTATTATAGCTTAATGGATGCAGTATTTGCTGAAGTAGGTGAAAAAAAAGTAAAGGTTACTTGGCCACTTTTAAATTTGCTGCACCAACAGAACAGGCCTCGAAATATTTGAAGTTTTTGCTACCTTACAATATATTGTACGTTCATAAAATGCCATAAAAACTGACTAATCACTGTGTGTCAGAGTGCAGTGTGGTTAATGAGGTGATACACTGTGTCTGTGTGTGTTGCATACTGCAGGAGTTTGTGATGATCGTTGTGTTTGGTCTGGAGTACATCATTCGCATCTGGTCTGCTGGATGCTGCTGTCGCTACAGAGGATGGCAAGGCCGACTACGCTTCGCCAGGAAGCCCTTCTGTGTCATAGGTGAGAGAAAGTGAGACATATAGAAGCATATAAAAAATGTAATATGCAAAATGACAATGTAATCCTAAATTCGAATTTAAAATTTCCACTCAATTTGAATTCTGTAATTCCATTTACATTTGCCATTTGGTGCACGAGTACTGAAATTGCATTTTCATTTTCATGATCTTCCCAACCTGTCAATCATTCAGTCAGGGCGGGGCCAACAGTACACTCAGCAGAAAAGCTACTCTTACGTTAGCAGATGAGGTGAAAAATGTGCTTAATGTCTTTATACATGACCCCATGAGAAATTGTTTAATCGAATGCGTGTCCAATGTGTGGTATCAATCTGGTTGATAAAAATGATGCTGAACCTTCGTTTCTTCGCTTCTTTTTCAAATTTTCTGGTCCACCTTAAACAGTGCAGCAGTGCTTCAGTGTGCCCGAATGTTACAGCAGCACCGATTAAGGTGGACTGGAATTTGGAAAAGAATCGAGCTTCAGCCTTGTTTCTTAAACTGAGAATGGTTGCTGCCAGTGAGGCTGGACATAGAGTTTCCAGTTGATGCCATGCAGGGATGTTTTCTACAAAGTGAGCACCAGAGGTGGATATATTGATCTGTCATCACCTCACCTGCTAATACGCTACATGAATTGTGAAGGATAGAAAATTAAGGTAGCTAAAAGCCATTGCTAATGTTAGCTGACACTACATTTCCAAGCAAAGCCCCCATCTGCTGTGTTAGACACATATACCAGCAATTTTTGTAATATACATTTTTTTGAAAAGCAGGACATTAGAGACTCCCTAGCTGGTTTTGGCTGAAATATGTCACGGTACAGTGGCTATTGTCAACTTAGCCACTATGACAAGGCAGTTGTGTGATTTACACATGTCTGTGTGTACCAGTACAGTTACAACTAAATCATTTTAGGAGTACATTTTAGGTAACAGATAAAGTGAAACATAGCCACATACCCAAATCTCACTGTGTACATTAGAAGATAGACCCCGATGCTGAATTACTCTCTGTCTGTAGCCTGTGGTCGGCTAACAGAGACAATAATTTCAACCCATGGCCACTTATCAGATCAGAAAAATCTGCAACACGTTCCGTTAGATTATTGATGGATCATGTATAAAACATAGTAACTGGCACAAGTGGATATATTGCTCTGTTTCACTCCATCTTCTACTTTAAGATTGGTGCCATGGTCCACATAAAGCCTATTCTGTTGTGTGGGCTGTTGGCCTCACCCTGATGGGATGACTAAGAGGTTGGGAAGACTGAAAAAGGCATTTATCACAGTATGAGTGCGGTATGTGAGGATATGTAATTGCAAAGAGGAGAGGCACTGTTTCCCATTTAGATTTGAATTTTGACATCTTTCTAACTTAGTGTTCACTTTGATAACACAATTTCAAAAACATCATTATAGAGTGAAAATGCATATTCAGAGTTCAATTACATTTTAATGATCATTTGACACCTTTTTTGCATAATTACATAATGATTCCATAGAAACACTCTTGGTGTGTGTGTGTGTATGTGTTCGTAAGGGGGCTGTGGAGGTGCTATCTGTCTCTGAGTGGATGCTGATGCTGATGGATGTTGCTGGAAAGCTATAGTGGATGGGGTAATGATAGCAGGACTCCCAGGGACTGGATCAGTGACTAAGCTTCACACAAACACACACACACACACACACACACAGAGTAAAAAGGAAGGGCCTGATGAGCTCTGTGCAGCCTCACTTTAAGCCATAGCTTTGGATATGACATGCCAGTTTTCCATGAACACTTTTGCAAAATCCTTTTCGTTGTGACTACTATAGTATGAAATTGTGTTGAAGTTACACTATGTAAGTTTTGGGTATTTGGGGACCTTTTTGGTGGAAAAGTGTAACATTTGTTGACTGTGCTTTAATGAATCTGATGATTTTGAGCACACTGAAAGAGTATTCAAAGATAACTCACCAAAATTTGGTGAAGGACATGTCTGCTGAGGACGTAGGTGAATTATCTACTATTGTCATCATATCTTCATCCGTATAATGTTGGATTTGGATCTGAGATCTAAACATTAAGCTGGACCTTCTTTTTGAGGACTTTGCATATGAGGTTAATGTGTAAATTTCTAAATTATCATTTCACTCTTTAAAAAATAGTGACTCACAGCAGCACAGACAACATATTTTAGTGTGTTTTTTCTCCTGCTTTTTTCAATTAAAAAAAAAAATTCTTACATAGTGCTGGTTTAAAAATGTAAGATTCTATACAGTGGCACAGTAGTTTTATCTATGAGGTGTGTTGGGGGGTACAGTTACATACAAAAGTTTGGGCGGCCCAGGTCAGATTACATGTTTTGTTGATTTTCTAGGTAAAAATAAGTTAACACATCCTCTATAGAGAACAAACTTGTTTACATGTAACTGTTTATTTGCTGAATTTAACATATTGGAAAAAAAAAAATAACTGTGAAAAATAAAATTGTGAAAAAAAGTTATTTTTTATTGTTTTTCCCCCACTATGTTAAACTCAGCAAATAAATTGTACTACAAATTGCCGAAAAGTGTTATATTTACGTTTGTTCCCTGTAGAGAATGTGTTATTTTCACCTAAAAAAATCAACGAAACATACAACTTGACTAGGGTGTTAAACTCATCTGTGTGACTATATATGTAATATATGACTATATATATTGTTACTGTCATATCATAAATATATATAATATATATATTTATGTACATATAATTTTAGAGGTATATTAGTGGAAGATATTTAGATTGCACATATCGGCCCATTCAGCATTTCTTCCAAAATCAAAGGTGTTAATAGCAGAGTTTGTGAGTCGTGTTGTTTGGTGAGTGGCACTGTTTGCCTGGAGTGAGGAGTGGCTTTTTAGAAAGTCGCAGTGTTGGTGTTTTCTATTTCTCTGATTCCTTAGGCCTAAGTCCTTTTTCACACATACTACCTCTGCGTGACATGAGTGATGCGGCAGCGTGACTGCTACAGCCTTTCATACACTCAGCAGTTGCACTATAGAATGCCACAGCGACCTGTACTTGAAATTCCCACTGATCGCAACGAAGTTCTACAGGCATAATACAAATAATCTCATGTCGTCGATTTTTCTGTGCGAATGGCAAAGTAGATTGTGTTAAAAGCACCCGCATTTGTTAACTCTTCACAGTTTTCTGTGTTGTGATTGAGCAATCATTTCCAGCCTATATCTACTGGAAAATGCCTGTGTAGCACAAAATGTTTAAGTAGTTTTTGTTACATAACTGCCATGAATTATAGAATTTATGAAGTGAACTGTGTGGTATCTTGTCTTTATGTTCAAGATCTAAAGTAAATATCAATATAAATAATATGAAGTGAGTTTTTCTTATATGTGAGGTAGAAGTGAGAAAAAGAAAACCCAGAGCTTTGGGCAATTTCTGCCTTTCTGCTTCATTTGTGTACTTTAATTAATTAATAGGGAGTTTGTTCCCCTCTTTGCTTGCATGTTGTAACGTTGCTCTGAGGAAGTGTTCCATTAGACAGTAAATACTGGTTAAAAACTCTGCAAGACTTGTAAATTAAATTCTTGCCAGACACAATGCTTGGTAAAAGTTAAGTATTTAAAATCCTGGGCGATGCGCCCCCCTGCTGTTCTGCATAGGGGGAAGAGATGCCATTTTGTCTGATGTCTGAAACCTGACTCTGAGGTTTGAGGATGTAGCAAAATAGTGCCATCATTTAACTGCTCCACAGTTCAGTCACTGCCGCTTTTCAAGTTCTGTATTTCAACTTCAGCTGTCCACTGTTGGCCTGCGCACAGAGCCATTTAGCTTAAACAAAGCTGCTGTGTGGTTTAATTTAGCTTAATCTCCTTGTCATTTACCACCAATGCATCCATGACTGTGGGTTGTATTTTATCAGGAATGTAGGTATATGCTTGAGGACATAATGTCATTTATAATTGTTTAAAACAGCTGGGATAGGCTATTAAAAGTCACTGCAAGTTTGCTCACATTTTCATGGTTAAACAGTTATCAAGAGCCATGCTGTAGTATTGTCTACATAACCTTTATTTAATCATTTATGACTGTCAGTGCGTGTTTATGCTGGTCTGATGCCTAATAAAGACATGTACCTGTTATCAATTGTGAAAAAGCACAGAAACACACACTGATGAATGATCTTGACACTCCAGTTTATATTTTTCTTCAGGAGCTGGAAGCGAAAGAAGAATGAGTTTTTAGGATACATTTGAGTTTAAGTTGGCAGCAGACATTAAGACCAAACATAAAATGCTGTTAACAGCCTTCCTAAATATGTTTTCTTTAGCATAGTTTTATTAAGGGCTTGTAGTATGTGGTAGATATTGCTTAGATTAGCCCATCACAACCTGTGACTCTCTAGCTGGCTCTTTAAATTGGCACTTGTTCATCAGTGAGGTGGTTGTGACATGTGACTAACAAGACACGAGGTCCAATTTCCCCTTAGTGAGAGTATTTTAAGGACACAAAGAAGAACGACCTTTGCTAAATGAAGGCCGAGCTCTTTATTCAGCGTATTCATTTAAAGATCGTTAGGCGCACGCACCTGCACACAGCGCGTGGCCTCAGGCCTTTATCCAAGCGCAGTGACCCTTACACACTAATTAACAGCCTCCTTTTCTTGTTCATCCAGGCTGCAGAGTTGTGTAAACACATTTAACACTGTGATCATTGTGTCAAAATACTCTCCTCTCCACATTTGTTATCCTGACTCCGTAAGTTCATGACCTCTTTGCTTGTGTTTATTTTTTGTTCTTGCTCTTTTGTGGTGGGCAGCAGTGACTGACATTACATTTGTTGCTGTTAATTGACTGAATGAATAAAAGATGACTGTGTAGGAGAAGAAACATCCTAAACTCAATTTCTCGAAGATCAACTTAGATTGGCATAAGTTAGTTGTTCAATATTGAAGGTCATAGCAGAGGCAGGCAGTGTTTTTTTTCAGAGTAAATATATACAGGGATAATACCTGCCCAAGCCCTGTACAGTCTTCATACTGTTCTGTTTATATCTGACTGTGTTAAGGCTACAATGAAAATCTACAAAGTCTGCTTGTAAATGATGCTGACTATGGGAAAAGTCAGTATATTGTTTTTTTTAATAACAAAAGTACTCTATAATCCATATTTCTCATGTTATAGATGCTGTCACTCTGACAGACTGCAGTACACTACAGGAAGCCATGGGGTCAATGTGGCTTCTCTTGTTTCATAAAAATTGATGGAATGTTAATGATGGTTTCAAATTAGTCAATCAATCAAATCATAGTCGATAGATTAGTCAAATCATTAGTTGCATCCCTACGGTTTTTGCAACCACAACTAAGCGTAATGATACTTTTTCACTGTAATGCATGCTCAGGAATTCCAATTTTAATAGCATCTTTTTTTCAAATTTGGACAAAGAAGTGCTCTAGTAAGGTCTTTCTGTCACTATGTTTTAACATCATGAAGCTTTCAGCACTGAATACCAGAGAAAATGAAAGGCACCCTTTGACTTTATTCTTTTTTACATGTTTTTAACTGTCTTGTGTTCAGCTTCATGTGTGAAGTTCTGGAAGAAAATACGATTTGTGTGATTTGAGCAAAGAACAATATTATCCCAGGTCAGGCGGCCGTGGGCTGGAGATGAGAATTTGATTTGCTGTTCGGAGAGGATGTGGCTTCGCTGGCCCCTAAAGGCCCCTTTTCTACCTCTGATGTGTGTGTGTGTGAGGGAGTGAGATGACAGACATGTGAAATTGCCATCAAATTTCCCGTCGCACTGCGCCTGTTTTCCAAAGTAGTCCCAGAAAGCATTTTGAAGAAACCCGTAGGTCTTTCATAGGTGCTGCTTGGTGCTCTTGGTTTGATTTTGGGCCTTGTTGAAAAGATTGAGACAAGTATGACAATATAAAATGTCATAGCCATACTGGAAGAGCCATAAAAACCTTTCCTGATTGACAAAAGATACAGCTAGAGTTGCATTTTGTCCATCATATAAGGCTGTACTGTAATGACTAGTACTAATTTCAGGTGATTCAGCTCTCATGCCCATGGCCAAGTCAACAGCAAACAAACAGGCTTTATGCCTGTGATGTGTAAATGGATATGGTGCTGAAACAGTCTCTTTCTCCATGTCATAGATATCATCGTGCTCATCGCGTCCATTGCTGTGGTGTCAGCCGGAAGCCAGGGCAACATTTTCGCCACGTCTGCTCTGCGCAGTCTCCGCTTCTTGCAGATCCTGCGGATGGTACGCATGGACAGAAGAGGGGGCACCTGGAAACTGCTTGGATCTGTTGTCTATGCTCACAGCAAGGTATGTGGGGATATTTGCATAAGTGCCAACTTAGGGTGAATATTGAGGGTCAAGAAAAAAAAGTTTTTTAAACCTATTTCCTAATCCAACAACAGACGTTTAATTTGGGGGAGGGGCGTGGACATAAGAGCAGAAATCATGGGTGAATATATTTGAAATATTAATTATTTATTTCACATTTGATATCGTACAATTTCAGAATTATATTGTGTTTATTAAAAGTGCCTCCCCTCAGCATCCCCCCAAAACCACACACACACACATGCACACACACACACACACACACACACACACACACACCCTGAGGCACAATAATTTCCACCTGCGACTGCACTTTCAAACTAATGCAATTTGGCAGGCCAGGGAAAGAACCCAGAGTGAAACATGCAGGTTTTTTTTAGTGTGTGTGTGTGTGTGTGTGTGTGTGTGTGTGTGTGTGTGTAAACATAAAAGAAGTTAAAGAAGATACCATATGCTGCACTTTTATAGTACACACAGTAACCTAGAGTACTAAACAAATCATTTCTGAGAATGCAAATAAACTGGTGAAATAGCACTGGTGACATATTGTCTGTAGTCTACAATCAAATTCAACAGTCCAAGGCCAGGATGAGATCCAAAAGCGTGGACAGATGATGAATATGAGTGAGGTAAAGGCCTGCCAGGTCATGGTCTTGAGTGTGTGAGTGTTCCTGTCGACTAGGCTTGTGACCCTGCTTTCAGTCTGTTTCTCTGCAGCCCTGTCTGGGCTGTAGCTCCTGCCACAAGCCACGGCCAAACCACAGACTTCCTCAACCCTCAGAAACCCACCATTTAGTGGACAGATTATGGGCTTCAGCTCCCCACTGAACACTGTGGTCTACGAAACAGCCGCTTTACTCCTCTATCTCTTCCTGGCTTAAGTTTCTGATCTTCCTGTCCCATCACACTTCACCAGCAGTGCACACACCGTGACCAGCACATTTGACAAATAAATGAATGTACTTTTCTATTCCCATCAACCATGAAAAACCATCATCTGTTTGAGTGTAGATGACATGATGTCGGTTTGTGGTGGTGTCTTGTCACTGCCAGTTAGACTAATGTTTTGGCATGCTATAAAGCTGTATGCTGTTCTGTGTCTACAGGAGCTAGTGACTGCCTGGTACATTGGATTTCTGGTACTGATATTTTCCTCCTTCCTGGTTTACTTGGTGGAGAAAGAGTTTAACAAGCAGTTTGCCACTTATGCTGATGCTCTTTGGTGGGGAACGGTGAGTCTGCCTAAAAGTTTTTCTGCTTCTCACTTTTCTTCTCAGATTCAGACAGTGCTCAGAAAGTGAATTAAAAACAAATCGATTTACTCCAAGCACAACCAATATTGTAATGTTTGTTATTGTGTTCCAACCAAAACATAACGTCCCTAAACCAGTGACAGCAAAATTAATTCCTGGCATATGGGAGTTCTTTGCAAACATCAATTGAAATGTAGTCTTGCTATGTCAATATTTGTGTAAGTAATGCTTCTATTTTTTTGATTAATCAGAAACATAACAGTATGCATCATTAACATAATATTGTGCAGTATGTTAATAAGGCTAAACTTACTTCAACGTTTAAAGATTACTATTTATGTCATTGATTACCACTTGCAGTCAACTTCAGTCATTTTGGTTTATTGTCAACCAGCCAATTGTTTTCGTGCTTTGATTAAAGTTTGGAGGTAAATAATAATTGTGCTTAAATATATCAGCTTTCACGGCTGCTCTTTCTTTTCGCATGGGAATATGTAAAAACCGGAACTAATGTTTCATACCTTGAGCTACAGATACAAATCACACAAACACGTCAGAACCACCGCTTCCCATTGAAAACAATTGGGATATGTCGCGGTGCGTTGATGTGCTGGAGCAGTGCAGCACAGCACACCACCACAATGACACCACCACTGTGTCACTGTAGTGCTGAGAATGATCCTTTCAAGTCATATGTGCTATATGTATGTGTCAGTGTGTATGAATATATAACACCTTATATCTCATTTTTTGTTGTGTTTCAGTTTTTTGACATAATAAAAAAAAAACTACTGTCCTTTATATTGTGTGTAAATTTCTTGATGAATGGACCAAAAGAAGTGGCCCAGAATTACTTGGAAAAACATCTGGTTCCTTTGACTTACATTAAAAGTAAAGTATGTTTTTTCCTTCTCTTGTAAAGTTACCATTTTGGAGATACAAGGTTTTGGTCCACACACACACACACACACACACACACACACACCACACACACACACACACACACATATATATATATATATATATATATATACCCTGCTCTGTACATGTGTCCCATGCTGCAATGCACTTACCATGGCCATTGTCACAGTTCCTTGCCAGTGGAATTAGGAAATCAATAAATGTAATTTTCTATTCCCATCAACCAAGGAAAAGCCATCAACTGTTTAAATGTAGATGACATAAGGTCAGTTTGTGGCGGTGTCAAGGCACTGAATCTTACTTTTAGAGGGTTGGACACGCCAGCTGACCAGTACTGGACTCGGATGCTGCCACAAAGTATTAACGCTAGGTTCAGCCCAGGCTTATGTGCGGAGCTGCCAGGATGACTGCAGTGTAAAAGAGAAAAGCAGTAGAGCAGGAATCTGGCTCAGTGTGTGTGTATATGTGCACTCCTAGTCCTCACTGAAAGGCCACAGCACACTCAGCGTTTGACAGATCGCTCACTTTTACTGGATGTGTTGAATTTGCTTTGGCCTGGGCTGTGTTTAAGTATCCCCTGCCTGCAAGAATCTGAAGCTTTCACTTACTGGTGTGGAAAAGGAGCAGGAGCTGTTAGACTAATGCTTTTTTTTAATGCAAGCTACCGATTTATTACTCTTACAGAGGGGACAGAGGCAACACAAATGGCTGTGTGGCTGTAACTCTAGAGTAGGCCTCTGTTTGGATTTAGATATTCATGGCCGTTTAATATGGCAGATTGGACAGGGGTTGTTGTAAGTCGAGCCATGCGTCCAGCACTGCAAGGCGGCCTTTCGTAGGAACATGATCAGTACAGACAGTGTGGGACTATGCACTACACCGCGGCCAGGTTTCCATCCAATACCCCGCACACGGTCATTGTGTGGAGAAAACCAGAACGTGTGCGGGCTCTTCCCTGTCTTCCACGGCTGATTGAAGGTGGCATCTGGGCACTGCCATTTGCTCTGGACTTGTAATCAGTAGGGTAATCTAACTCCGTCTGCCTGCGAGGAGCTGGTGCGCTTCAGATTTTGGAGCTGCCGTGCACGTGCCTTTTCAAACTTTGACCCTTGACCATATTTTTGTGTATCCCCAGATCACTCTCACTACCATTGGCTATGGGGATAAGACACCGCAGACGTGGCCAGGCCGACTGCTGTCAGCTGGCTTTGCTTTGCTGGGCATCTCCTTCTTCGCCCTGCCTGCGGTGAGTAAAGCACAGGCCAGACCAGCCACAGGCAGTGTGCAAGCACAACTTAGCGTGAATGCTCAGAGGAGAACAGCAAAAACTAGTAACATGTCTTTAATCCACTGGCAATCCTTGGAATCCCGTCTGCTGCTGTGTCTTGAATAAATGAGTTAGCCTATTTTTGTTAAAATTGAAAAAAATTAGCATTACTTACAAAAATGTATAAAAAATATACTAAAAAAATTAATATTGAACCATAAAAAAATATGGTGTCTGTCCACTACTTTTTTTAACATGCTTGCAAATATGAGATTTATTCGCTCAGGGAGGGGTCTGAAGCACAGCCAACACTACATAATGTTCTCAAAATTACACATTTTCACCAGAGAGGTCCCCAAATCTCCAAAACATACATAGTGTAACTTTAAGTGTGCAGTACTATTGTTTAGCAGATACACTATAGGATGAAAATGTGGAATCAAACAGTAGTTTCAGTTTCCCAAAAACCAACACAGCGCAGCGTATTTATTGACATCTAGTTTAACCAAAGTAGTTTTTCCAATAGTTTAATCAGACTAGTTTTTTCAAAATGTACGTGGGTTTGCAGTAACATACCCTTACTATAACAATTATATGTGAAAAGCTATCATGCTTTTTTGTTGATAACAGTCCCTTACTCTCTCAGGAAAAAATATATGAAACTGTCACTGGAGCAGTACCCGTCTTGTCACTGGGGCGGTACCCTCAAGGCTAGTGCCTTTATTACAGTATACTTTGACCAAACTCCTAATTTAACGCACTTGATTTAGTGAAGTCTTCAGCATCTGAATGTGAAAATCAGGTGGATATGATTACTCAATAAAATAAAACTCTGCAGGACAGACACCAGGAGCAAAGCAAATCAAGAATCAGTTAATTAAGTTATACTGTAATTCTGTATACTGTAAGTCCATGGATATGTATATCTGTTTTTGCAATGTTAGCATGGCTTCCCACATACAGTTGTATAATATATCCAAAAAAGGTTATGCTATTATCGTTATTTCCTGGCTCATCTAGCTGTGAATAAAATCTGAAAACAGGAGACAAATTTGTTCTAAGAAGTTATACTCCCTGTTTTTGTACTCGTTTGTTTTGGCCTTATTGCTAAGGCATCTGTGCGTGCGGTAGGTCACGCAGTGATATTAATCCAAGGTGCCTCAGATCACAGTGTTCAGATCCATAAACACATCCTTCCAGCACAGGAACATCTGCCAGCTCTGTGTGGCTAGAGCTCTATCAGAAGCACTGTGTTTCTCTCTCAGTGTGCTCACAACTGAAGATTAATGTCAGTCATATGTCATGTGCTGTCCAAGATCACTTCCAATCACTCATATAAACTGTTTTTGTGAGTTCTGAAAGGCTTTCTTTGTTGTGGTGACTTTCATATGAAGTGTATTCATGTGTCTGAGTGTACGCTACAGAGTCCCAAGGCAGTTGTCTTTTCTGAATTCACTGTCTGTCTTTCCCTGTCTGACTGAAGATTGCTTAGCTGTGGTGGGTCTAGCACACTTTAAGACTCTTTAAAGCCTTGAACTGACTGACCATTCGAAGTGATGTGCAGAGGACAGTTAGAGGGGTTCAATGAGCATCAAATTCTTTGCCATGTTACCAAAGAATAAAAAAAAAATCAATTCTGTGTGTGTGTGTGTGTGTGTGTGTGTGTGTGTGCGCGCAGGGGATTCTAGGCTCAGGGTTTGCTCTGAAGGTTCAAGAACAGCACAGACAGAAGCACTTTGAAAAGAGAAGAAACCCTGCTGCCAGTCTTATACAGGTAAAATCACTGAACTGCCTGCATTCAGGACTGTTTCACGGATGAGGAAATGATAAAGAAATGATAAACTCTGCAGTCCATATATGTAAAACTAAGCTGTAGAAACTGATCTTTTTTAATTCACTGTTTTTGTGATGTCGTGAAAACCTTATATCTGCCTGTTCAACGTACAAAGGTTTAGCCCCACCCATTCATGTTGAAGTTATAAGAATTGTTTCAGCCTGTACTGCTTGTTAAATCAGACACAATACAGGGCAGCCAGTCAGCTGACATCATTAACATATGTCAGTCTTAAAAGCACAGTAACTAAAACGGCCTGTTTAATTATAAAAAGAGGTTGGAAAATGGTAAAATTCTACAAATTATGACTGCTTTTTTGATAGTCCCTTTCCTATAATCCCACACATATGTTATTAATGGACTTCAGGGGAAAAAATACAATACAAGAAAAATGTGAGATATGGGCGCTTATAATGTGTCACTTAGCTTAACCAAATGTAGTTTTCTAAAGTGTCCCATTGGTTTGCAGTAAAGGACTCTAACATCTTGTATCCAAAAAGGCTTCATGACCTTTCTTGATAATAGTCCCTTACAGTGACCAGTGTAAAACAGAGACCACCTAGAACTCGAGCCCAAGTTCACAGAGTGTTTATAGTCCCCTTTTACAGTCTCACATCAGTTCTTATTCTTCAGCCATAGACTGAAGATAGGGGTAAGAATTATACTAGTATAAAATGATTATCTGTGTAATGTTGTTCCATGATATGCATTTTTCCTTGGTGATACTGTGATAGCCCCATTCCCATGACAAATTGAATTTGAACAACTTAAATAATTCTAATAAACTCTATTAAAATCCTATAGCACACAATTTAAGCATTAAGAATGTCACCCCCTTTTAAAAAGATGACAAACGACCCCACCATACCCCCCACCCCCCATTATCTTGGGATCTCTAAAAGGGGAATTCCAACTTTTTAATTTTCTGCCCAATAAAATGGCTAAGATGTAAGCAGCGTCATTCAGAGTGGTTTGATCTACAATGCTCCATTCTATAGAAACACAGAATCAGAATTGTTTAAGGTACTGGCGATAGGAACCAGATGTCTAAAGAGTTTAATTCCAAAATAGTAATAGGCAAGATAGTCCACTCAGAAAAATACATATTGTCAGATTTACCTCTGTTACCTTTATCATCATCTTATAAAACCTCAGAAGATGTGTAGGTTCACTGGTGGTTTTGGATAGTATATAAAATGGCTATATTTGCATTGAAGACATCACAACCTCTGGTTCCTATCACCGCCACTGTAAATAGTCATTAAGATTCTCTACAATGCACAGTTTACATCAAACCACACTCAATTATTTTGAGTTTCAGCAAACTGAAACAGGTCTGACATGATAATAATAATAATAATAATAATAATAAAACATTACAGTGTGTATTGAATATAATATTACAATATTATGCATAATACATTTATATAGAATATATAATAATCTCACAAATTGAATGTTAGCCACTAGTTTCTGTTTGTATCTCTGAATGAAAACGTGATCACACTGGCTTCTGACAAAACGACTTCTGTTCCCCTTTCCTGATCTCTGGCTTCACCATGATTAGTGATGAGGTTTGGAGGTATGAGAGAGTAGCCACACAGGGTGAAGTGTGGGTTTTACTGTGTGCCTCATCCATTTTATTCCCATCTATTTTTGAGCATATAAAAATCAGCAGTCTCCTGTACATTTTGTCTAAGAGAGGAGAAAATGAACAATAACACACACACACTGATTTCACTAAAGCCCGTTATCGTCTATTAGATCCAAAAGAAACACTCGCAGATATTTATTATGTGTTTCCACGGAAGGAATTCTGCGTGAGGGTTTCCCCAAGGATAATAGTTCTTCATAATGGACACAACCATCTTGCTCTAGAAAAACAGAAACCAATTTGCCCCAGGAGTGTGTGTGTGTGTGTGTGTATGTGTGTGTACACTCACATACATACACACACATACAAATTGTGGTAATGCACTGTAGAAAGATTGAAAGAGAATTTTTTGTTTATGTTTTTTGTTGTTTCTTACAAAAAGATAAAGGATCAGAACTAACCACTCTTTCATTGTCTAGGTTGTGTTCTATGATTTAACTGCACTTGGAGAATCTGTCCTGCAGCGTATTGTTGTAACAAATGTTTTGTTGTTTCAGTGATATAATTTCAAGAATAATGTCACATAATTTTGTCACTTTCCTCACAGCTTTTCCCCCCATTCTTTCCTACTCATCTGCTTTTTCTTCAAAAAAGGAACAACTGAGTTATGATCTGTGGAGTTTGAGTCTTTTTGCTTTTGGCCTCTCTCCTGTTATCTTTGGTGGCTTTCTTTCAGTGGGTTTTTACATTGGACAAGTGCTGGAAATGAACATTGTTTCCCTCCGCTCTGTCTTTAGCACACACGTTCCACTCTGTTTCCTTTGCTGTGTGTATTGTGGTGTGTGTGTGTGTGTGTGTGTGTGTGTGTGTGTGTATACACTACTGTTCATCAATGTTATATTCTTGAACTTATATGGTGGAAATTGACGTTTTATAAACCAGACACCAAAAGATATTTTAAAATATTTTATTATTATATTGTTGTTTCAAGCTTTTTGAGAACAATCAGAAGTTATACAATTGTTATTTATTATTAAATTATATGATCAAATTATTAATTATCTATTTATAATCATTTTGTGTCGTTATCTGCCTAGAGAATTGAACACCACTGTTTAAACACAAGGCATTCTGGGTGTTAAGATTATATAAAACACAACACTGACAAAATTGTTGTACAGTTACTGAAAAACGTTTGAACAGTAGTGGGCGTGTATGTGTTATGACTTTTACTTTCACACATTGTTGTCTTCATTTCTCCTGTATAGCACATTCAGTTGGTCTTTAGGATGTTATTTTTTTATTTATACTGGGGGTCCAAAGTCTGAAAATGCTTAATATTATGAGATATTAGATGATATTAGAATCTTTATATGAATTTTTATATGAATTTCAGAATTTCTTAGTATTTTTTTTGTATTATGTCCTTTTGATTTAATGTACAAAAGCCTCTGATGAGTAGATAAAATCGTTTGAACACGTGCTTCACTGGAAGAGATAAGACAGAAAAAATATGACCTTTTTGTACAAAGACTTTAACATGGTCAATATCACAAATTTGCTTAAATTTGAATGGTGATTTAGAAATAGTGCTTAAATATTTCGTCTTTGTTTTATCTGTCATAACCTTTCTCTGTTGCTTTGTTTTCCATTTTTCAACATTTTTCAAAAATTTTCTCTTGTTTATTCAAGATTTAAATGAAAGAAAAATTACAGATTTCTAATGTGGTCTCTGACTTTTGGACCCCACTGTGTGGTTGTATGCAAACGTTTGGGCTTCTGTTTTGCTGCTTTTTTAAGCAAAAATAAGTACATACAAAAGTTATGGCACATTTCATATTTTATATTTTGGTTTTACCTGTACGTTTTAATCAACAACAAAAAAAATGTGTACTAATGTGACAATGCGACAGAATTCAGACGCTCGCAGATAAAAAATACAAACAGAGTTTTACTAACGTGTGACAAAGGCGTGGTCAAAAAACAAGCGTGGGTCGTAATCAAAAGGCAGCAAAATATCACTGATCATAACACTGGGCAGACAAAAATCAAGGGAGTGAGCCGAAATCGTCGTCAAAAGGCAGGCAAAAGGTCAGAACACAGATCCAAAAAACAATCAGCAAAGGTGCAAAAGGATCAGGCAAAAATCAAGGTCAGCTCAACAAAAGTGGGTCATAACAGGCAAACACAGACAGATCAGAAAAACGCTCAGTATGTTCAAAGAGAAGCAATACCTCGCACTGACTATAACTAAAGCCCCGGCTATTATACTATTCTAAATGAGTCATATGACTATGAACACAGGTGCTCATTGTTAATACTCTGGGGACTGTGAGTGCTCATAGGTGCGTGAACGATTGTCCAAAGTCATAAGATCTCCTGAGGGATTGTGGACAATGGAGTCCAAGGGAAGTTGCTCATCCACGTGATTTCCCAACGCATTCTGGGAAATATAGTCTGAATCCGCCCAAGGCGTGACAATTACAATTTGCAGAAAAGTGCAATATGTAAAGAACAGTGGTATTCAAACTCTTGCATACAATTTTGTGTGTGTGTGTGTGAGTGTTAACTGAATTATTATTTATTATTATATCACATTATATTTTATTTTACATATCTATCATTGTTAGCTTTACCACATTTCTTCCAACTTATATTTTCCTCTTCTGGCTATTTTAAATGTGTGTGTGCCTCACTGGCCAATAAGACATCTTTTCAGTGCTGCTTGTATTTTGCTCCAATTATGATTCAAACCTAATGCAAAGAAAATACCTGTTCCTAATTCTTAGCCATTTTCATTTAGAGTGATTTAACCATTCACTGAAAACATGTCTTAAGCTCCTGAAAGGTGCTCTGTTTTCCTGGCTTTGCCCTCACCATGCTGATGTCTCTCTACACCCTTGTCCATGCGTGTGTGTGTGTCCTGCCCCAGGCTGCGTGGCGACTCTACTCCACAGACCGCTCCAGAACGTACCTGAGTGGCACATGGCGGTACTATAAAAGTGTTCTCCCTCCTCAAAGGCATGTATCCATGCAGTGAACTGATGAGAAAACTCTGACCTGAACTGGTTTTCACTAATCTGCTTTTTTGTTTTGTTTTGTTTTCTTTTGTTTGTTTGTTTGTTTTTTTTCCAACCCCCCGCTCTCTCCTGGCCTTGTGTACTTTTCTTTTGGTCTCCATTTTTTCCTCCCTGTTTTCCTTTTGTATACTCTGCACGTAGTGTGTTTGGCGTAGTTATGCGGCTGATGAGAACTCGGTTTCCATTGCTACCTGGAAGCCTCATTTGAAGGCGTTGCATACCTGCAGCCCTACAAAGTAGGTACAACTCTGGCAGCTGGTGTTGTATTTGGTGTCTGTGCTCCTGTGGCCTTCGTCTTCCCCCTTTTCTCTTCGCAAAAACGGCTGTGCTTCCAAACATAATCACCTGTTCTTCACATTCCCTCTCACTGTATTCACTCTTTTTAGGCCAAAGCCTGTAGTCACCAAACATAGGCTAAAATGGAATATGGGTTGTATTCAAATCGAAACAGCAGTTAAGATAAGCACCATAGACTCTCAGCAGCTTTCTCCTGAAGCTACGGTGTGTGTGGAGACTCACGTAGTTATGCAGGCCAAAGTGAAAGACAAGATGTAGACTGTAAGAGTAGATTGTTCTTAAAGAGCCTCAAAATACTACCTGCAGAAGCATACACATACACATACACACAAATATGTTCAGACAGAGGGATGCATTATTTTTCTTTTTCAGTAATCACTGACTGAATTCCTATCCATTTTAAAAGTAAATTGCCTTTGCTGGAGCTTTGCTAGACAGCTTGATTGTGCAATGCCTGCTACTTGCATGTCTACTTGGTGTTTGATGCCTGTTTATGCCATCTTCTAGTCTCAGTTTTCCAGTTTTTCATGGTGTGATTTGTGTTCAGATTCTTTGTGTGCATGTATGTTTGTGTGCGTGTGTGTGTGTGTGGTTGTGAGTATGTATGTTTTCCTTCTCCCTCAACTTGCAGTGAACTGTATTGTGTTTAACAGAGAGAAATATATTGATGATTCATTGATAGTGTTGGGGTAACACATTACAGTAATGTACAGTAAAGCAGAATTTAAATTTTTGTAATCACATTATGGTGACTAACTTTTGTTACTTGCTTTACTCATATGCCTACAACAGAGCAAAATTAATTATGCACAATGCATTGAAAACATACATTTCTTCTAGATTGTAGATTATCTGTGCCTGAGCAGGGAAGTGCCAGAGAAGTGCTCATCAAACAACCTATCAAAGCATCTAATCTGAGCAAATATGAAACTGATGGATAAAGATCCCTGGGCTGAAGAAGAGAGAGACCCAGTCTCACACAGGCTAGACTCGATTTTCATTCAGAAACTGCTCTGTAATATTTACATTTTATTCATAATTTAATTGAGAATTTGGAGGCAGCTCTTTCTGAACTCTTTCTACTGACCAGTTTCTCGGCTTTCAAACATCAGCCGTTCATAATTTTAATAAGCATAACTGGCTGTATCTTGTTCAAAGTCAGGGATAGCTACAGGCCTTTTAAATGTTGTTCAGCATGGCTGACTATTTCTAACTGAAAATGACTAGTAGGTTTTCCTAGTTGGTCTAAATTTGGATGGGTTTTAGAGTGTAACATAGAAGTAAAGTAATAAGTAAGATTACTTTTTCCAGAAAGGAATAAGTAACATAATTCCATTACAATTTGAAAACGTAATCAGTCATTTGTAATGGATTACTATTTTTGAGTAACTACCCCAGCGCTGTTCATTGACTATATGAAAGAATCAGTATATTTCAGAACCATGTGTCTTGTCTGTTGGACTCCTTTTTTGTTGCTGTTTTTTGTGTAGAGAATTAATCTTCTGACCCTTTTCTCCTCTCTGTTGCTAACTAACACCTGAAGGAAAGACCAGGGCGAATCCACCACCAGGTTTGTTATTCTTACACTGTATGTGTTCCATGCGTTTATGTCCACTGAAATGTATTTTTACCTGTGTAGACCAGATTGACATTTTAAATGTAAATCTGAACGTACCCATTAAATAATGAAAAGTGTGTCATGCCTTAGAATCACATAGTGGTGCTTGTTAGGTTAGATAATATCATATCATGCGATGCTTATCCTTAAGTTAGCTTCACTGCTGAGACAAACTGTTAAGAGAGTTTAAATAGCCTTGAGGGTGTTTGTATGTGAAACTGTATGCCTAGGTTTGTAATACTAGGTGTGTTTTTTGTGTACGAGAGAGGGAAAAAGAACAATATAGATAAAGAGAGAGTGTATGTCTTTGTACACACTGTTGTAGCGTTCTTTTGGCTGTTGTGGAGTATGGAGAGCACAGTACCACTTGTCCGTTTCTATGGACTGCAGATAGCGCCATGATGCGCTTTTTCCATTCAGAGATTATTTATGTTAGTGATTAAATATCACTCCAGCCAACGCACTCACCAGACATTATTTAAAGAGAGGCGGGGGGAGAGAGAGAGTAAGGGAGAGAGAGAGAGAAAGAAGAAGGGAGAAAGAGAAAAGCAGGCAAAGATAGAGTGAGAGAGGCGCTACTTAAGGTAGGAAAGTTAGAGGATGGCAACAGGCCAGCGTGTCTCTTTGCCCAGTCTATCTTTGTCCTCTACACTTTCATTTCTTTTTTGTGTGCCTTTCAGTATTAATGGTAGTATCACAGATTCTGAATCAGACATGAGCATGCTAGGGCTTTGGAAGTACATACAGAATAAGAGGCCTTGTTTAACCATGCCAGGGACTTTGTCACTGCTTAGGTAAATATTCAGCACTGGCCACATTTTGCTGCTGTGCAGTTGCTTTGCTCTTTTAATTTCCCAGTAATTTCAGCTAGGCTCATTACTGCTGCTTTGTAAGTAATTGTAACACCCAAAGCCCTTTTTTCTGATTTTCAACATACACTGCTTTTAATTAGCGGTGTAATTGGATTTGGGGCGTGTGGTTCATATCTACAGCAAGAACAGCAGAGCTCGACACTTAGGGCTTTGGCGAAGCAATTTACAGTTCTAAAGGTCCCTTGGTGGGTGGCAAATATGTCATAATACGTGTCTGCAAATAGTCCTCTCAACCTCAGAGGCACAAAACTAAAAGCTAAGCTATAAATGCCCTGGCACTGCTTGTAGGATTCTGTATGTGAAGAAGTGTTAAAACAAATAACTCAGCGTCTTTGCCGTGTTTTACAGGCCAGCGTGACAGGATGTAATGTTCTAGAACCAAAATCTTACTGTAATTGGCTAACAAAATGACATAAGCCTGTCAGAGTACCTTTTATGTTCTCTGGTATTTGGGTGGGCTTAGTTTGTCCAAGTGTGTATGTGTATAGTTACTGTATCTGCACTTGTCCCACTCACAGTGCCTTTACCATCTCTCTAAAGTGCAGAGAATAACAAATTCTGAAATATTTGGCCTTTTACTGTTCAAACCAAGCATGTGTCTGATTTTCCAAACCACCCGTGTGTTTGTTCCACTAAAGGAAATCAACTTTCTCCTCACAGTGTAACTAATCCAAACCCATCTGTCTCTCACGTTCCCTAGTAAGGGTCATAGTAATAGACAGAAGCTCTTCAGGAGGTATACCACACGGCGATATAGGTACCCAGCATCCCCCTTTTCTCTGGCCACATAACTGATGAGAATGCTGACTAACCACAGGTGCATGGACAATGACGGACACTCTAAAACATCCCTTTTCTCTCCTCTTTGTGACCCTGCCATGGGGTATTAATAAAGGGCTTCCTCCTGCCTGTTGCCTGAAGAGTTAGACTAGCGCAAATATGAGAGCAGACCAGACTCTTTCTGCATGTCTTGTGTTTGGAAAAGGTGGACACTGAGTTGACAGTTTATTAGGCCCTCCATTTTCACACAAATTGTACATTGCAGTAAGTCATATGTCATGACTGTTTTTTAGCATCAGTTTGTTTTCAGTTGAAATGCACAAGATTAATAACCTTAGTGACTTGAACATGGCATGATATTTGCCGCATGCCAGTTCTAGCATCACCCAAATGGATGTCGTCTTGGACTTTTCATCCACAACTATTTACTGAGATTGGTGCAAAATACAAATAACTAGTAATGGCCAATTATGTGGATGAAAACATGTGGAACAGGGGTCAAAGGAGAATGGCGCTAATTGTGCAAGGAACAGACTGGCCACAACCAGCCAAGTCACATTCAAATTCATAACGGGTTTGGAGAAAGTGAGAAGGTACCACTTATCCGACTTTATTTTGGAAGGGCTACAACAACTGAAAACCATGTCATTAATGGACAATTGAGAAGTGGAAACAAGCTACCTAGTCAGACCAATTCAGGTTTCTTTTAGAGATGCCAAAGAAGGCATTCTGTCAGTAGTACAGGCTGACGGTGGCAACATGATACTATGAGGAATGTCTTCCTGGCGCACATGAAGGCCCCTGATACCCACTGAAGAACATTTGAACAATGTTATTGACCAAGTTCATCCCTTAATGGCTACAAATGATCTACAGTTGGAACACTTCCATTACGAAATGATACCAGGGAGTTTTCATTGCTTCTGTGGCCTGTACAGTCCCTGATCTCAGCCCTATCAAGCATTTTTGGGATGAGGTGGGAAGGGCTGTTCATAACATGACTGTGCAGCCATCCAATTTGCCACAACACAATCATTTCCACATAGTACTGCTCCCCTGCACAAAGCCTCCAGCATCTTGTACAATCCATGACTGGGAGAACTCATGCTGTTCTGACCACAGGAGGCTAAAGGAGGCTAACACACCAGTAAATAGGTGTGCCTGATAAACTGGAAACTCATTGTAAATGACTCTACTGAATAAGTGATAAATATTTGTATTGCATTACAACTTTGGACTTTTGAATGACTGGTCATGTCTTGCAAGGTTTGATCCATTTCCTAAAAAGTACCTGAAGCAAATGCACCACTACAGTCTTAATTACAGACCTAATGAAGGCAGTCGTGTGTTATATTAGATTTCACAGGCAGTCTTTCTCTTTTTATATATTGGTTTTAAATGATGTCATAAAGTAAAGTGGATTTGAAGTGCATCAAAGCATACATCTGTATGTTGCATGTGCATGTATATGACCTCTGCTTAAAGTCTTTCACATTATACCATCTTTGAGCACTAAGCACTAACTCATTTTCCAGCCAGGCTCTAGCCTCTAATACTCCCTTAACCATCATTTCACACACATTGGTACCTCTCATATAAGTCAGTGTGACTCATGCACCTGTCAGTTTAAGGACCCTTTGAAGTTTGATGGTTTAGAAGAAACATTTACTTCAATTATTCTTTTTTCCCCTCAGTCTTTCATTCTGGCCCATAACTCTCGAGCTCTCTGTAGGCTCAGAATCACAACTAGGCGGCCTGAAAATATTGCCTGCTGATTGATAGAATGCCCCCTGCATTGCATGCCAGTCTCTTGGTCATTTTGGCTATGAGTACAGGACCGTGTTTAAGCATACTTTTCAGTTGTGTTAGAATAAATGTCAAGTCTTTGTGTTAGAATTGTTAGGTCAGGCCATAAAATTCTTTATTTCTTAATGAACATTAAAATAAACATGTTTCTGTTATAAATTTAGTGAGCTAGAATATTTCACTAAGCCAACCATTAGCGTAAATGTAATAACAGATATGGTGTATCTGTCTTATGTTACCTCTCTCTCTCTCTCTCTCTCTCTCTCTCTCTCTCTCTCTCTCTCTCTCTCTCTCTCTCTCTCTTTCTGTTCCTTCCCCTTCATTTTCTTTTCACTTCTCTCCTTGCATATATATGCTTTCTCGCCTGACCATCATCCTGCAGTCAGAAGCTAAGTTTTAAGGAGCGGGTACGCATGGCCAGTCCTCGTGGACAGAGCATTAAAAGCAGGCAGACATCGCTGAATGACCGCCGCTCTCCCGGCACAGACGTAGCAGCGGAGGGGAGTAGCCCGGCCAAGGTGCAGAAAAGCTGGAGCTTTAATGACCGAACACGCTTCCGCCCCTCCCTCAGACTCAAAAGCCAGTCACGGACTGTGCCTGAAGGTCAGAGCTCTGCATTCCACATACAGCATGCTCTTCTGTACAAAACACTGTGAAAATGTCAAATTAATGGGTCTTACCTTCTATAAACATCTGACAGTATCCATTTGAATTTAAGAATTTTTCATACTTTCGTTCTCAAATATGGATTTTTTTGGTAAATTAAAAAAAAAACAAAAATGTGTTTATTATGTAACAGTTTCACTGGTTTGTCAAAATTTCTGTGTAATGCAGTACTTCAGATTTAAACAGTCATTCAGAGTGTTTTGGTGTAAAATGGAACACTATGGAGAAACATCTTTACTGAATCTATGTGTGTCTGAGTTTTTATGTGTAGTGTTGATAATGGTAAATTGTGGAAAATCTGGGGAAAAAAAGTTTTATTTGGGTACTACTTTGAGTTAGTACCCAGATGTACCCTGCAAGCACCTCTCCGCTATGAAAGGCTTTTAAAATAGATATATTTTAGGCACAGCTTTCTATGAGGTAGCTTTAAGGGGCATTAAATGCTTCAGCTGTCTGGTTCCTGTCACCACCACTGTGAACAAGTCCAAAATGTACTGAGACAGACTAGAATGGAGCATTTTACATCAAACCACTTTGAATTACTTTGTTTACATCTTAATCATTTAATTATGCCGAACATTTTTAAAATGGAGGAATTGCCCTTTAGTGGGACAGTGAGCATATATGTGTATGTGTTTGACTTTTTCTAAGTTAATCGTTAACCTTAATTTGGTAATACACCATTTAGTTTTTGAGATACAGACGTTTTCTCATCATACTAAATTTAGTCTTTTGTCACAAGAGGCTGCTACACGAGAGAGAGAGTAGAAAATCTGAAATGAATAAAGTCAAGAGATGTTTGTAAATTTTGTACACACATGCATGATCAAAGACTAAAATTTAGTATGATAAGAAAAACTCATTTTTTAGCCCTATGATTTAATCTGTTTGAAAAAGCTTCTTCAGATTTGTGCTCAGGCAAGCTCTGAGTACATATGGACCGAAGTAAATGTACCATATCTTTTACATGCTTATTAATGTAGACTTAAAACACCTGTCATAAGGATAAACTTTGCCATAACCATTACATGTACAGCATTATTCCTGACCCAACCTCTGTTCTGCAACCTCAACTCCTCATGTTTGTCAGCAGTTTTGCTACTTATCTTTCTCAGCAATGCTCTCCAGGTCTTCCTCAGCAGTGCTGTCCATGAGCTCATCATATCCAACCCTGCATGACTAGCTAGTTTGCTAAGAAAACAGTTATTGTGAATATATTTTGATAGCAGGTTGTGTATGGTGTTGTGACTAGTAGGGGCTGCTGGTCTTCACACAAAGATAAATTAGCACAGTTATAGGCAATTTCATTTTTCATTGATATTAATTGAATGTTTAAATTTAAAAGAATTGAATTAGATTGTGGAGGAACTGTTCTGTTGGAAGGACAAAAATCTCCTGGCCTTTGAGATTTGTAACAAGGACTTTGAAAAGCTAGATAAATATGTAAGGAGTAAAAAGTTGTTTTTCTTGGAAAGGTATTGAGTAGGTGCAAATCTTTCAAAATAATTTGTAGTAATTTTTTTTTTGTATTTTCCACCCTTCTTTCCAGTTAAAACTAACAGTTAAAGACTTGAAAACTGTGTTTATAGTGCTGTTTGCTGTTTTTGGCACCCAGTCACAGGTTCTAAAAGCTAAATGATTTGTAGGTCACCCTTTCTCTGACCCTAAGCATTCTTGTTTTTTTTTTAATGGACATCTAGTTGGGTTTGTTCCATTTGAGGAAGATCTAACACAAGCGCTGCCTGCTGTCCTGCTTCATTTCTGTCCCCAGAGTGTCCTCAAAGGGATAAGACAGAAAAAAAGAGAGAGCGTAAGAAGTGAGATGAATAGTTACATTTATATTCATACAATAGTCCAACCAAAAAGTTCTTAGTGAAAGAAACCTAATAAAGACATTTACATGCCAATTATAAAAAAAAACAAGTCATTTATAGTCCCATTTACATGGACACAAACATAGTCTGACTTACATGTTTGTTTTGGTGTCTTAAAACTCAGCACTTGTGTGTTATTATTAAGTCCAGCAAAATGTCATGGAAAGTGCTTTAAAGTCAGTGGAGCAATCAGAGAGTTTACAAATTTGCATCTGTCTCAAATAATCCAGTGTTGGTTTGAACCACGTTTTAATTGAGCTAAAATTAGGTTGTTTTATATCAAAACATTGTTGTGCATGTAAACATAGTTACTGAAAACATTGCTTCTACACTTTTCAGCAGTAGTGTACATGTGAAGCACTGTGTGGACTAGTGAGAGAACTGTGCGTGGTGGGGATGTTCAGCAGGGTTCTGAATTGGAGCTGACGTCCCTGTAGGCAGCTGCAGGGTGAGGGATGACGCAGGCCATGTTCTAGGATCAGGAACATGGGCTGAGGGTTAATCACCTCTGTGGCTATATCATTGCTCTGGCTGATTCAGCAAAAACCCACAGTGACTCCAGGGAAGCGTTTTATATGTCTTTCACACAGAGCTACGCAGATGCAGACGCTGAACACCCAAAGGTCCTCGTACACAGGCCTGAACAGCCCAACAAATGTCTCCTTTCTAACTACATGCTGTCGGGACGAAATCTTCCCTCTCCGTTTTTGTTGTTTTTTTTATACATACATATATATATATATATATATATATATATATATATATATATATATATATATATATATATATATATATATATATATATATATATATATATATATAGTACCAAGGTTGAAAATACCACCTGCCTTTTACAATGTATTAAAATTTCAGTTGAAGTGGTCCAAAACCACTTCGATAAGGACGTTTTTCCTTTGTTCTGCAAAGTTATCATTTTATATATACAAGATTTTGTCCTGTTAGCAGTGATACATATGTTGAGCATTTGTTTAACATGATCTCATATTTGTATATTACCTTCAGAAGCATCTTAGAGACAGTGATGCCCTGTAGCCATCACTCCGCAGAAGGCCCATCAGCGCAGATTGATGGCCCTCAGATCTAGCTGAATAGCGCTAAAGGCCTTATATCCTTCCCAGAGTCATATATAAGCCTCTACTGATAGAGGAGAAGTGCTGGACTTTGCATTTCTTTGGCAATCTCTCTACCACAGCCGTTTTTCTGTGCTTTACAACATAGCTGTCTCATTACACTACAGTAAATCTAGTTAGGGAAACCCCACTCAAATCATCCACCGCTACCATATATTTTCAACATAGGGGCCAGGCAAGCCCATGTGGTTAGGGAGGAATTCAGTCTGTTCTCCGAAGAGTTTTCCGAAAAACATTGACCTTTGATCTCTGACAGGATTCTTTGCCAGGTCATGATTCTTTACTTAACCAGTAAAAAGTTATGTTACTAATCAATTCAGTGTTGAACTACTGCAAGTGCGCTGATTGTGTTGCTACAAAGACAGGCTAAACACCAGCCGTCAGGTTGAAGAGGCATGTGGGAGAGCTTTCTTCTGATTCATTGCTGTATCGATTGTCCTGTGCCTTCTTCCAGGCCCTGGCTCAGCCCCAGTGGCCCTTTCAATTTCAGGAATGGTACACTTTTGTGTTTGACTCTTAACTCTGTACAGCTTTCTCAGTCTGATCTCAGAATCATCTACAGCTCCTTTCATCATTCTAGACATATCTACAGTTTCTATTTTACAGCTTCCTTTCAGCCTATGAAACTGTAAAGTCAGCTCACTATCAACATACTGAAATTTAAATGTATATCTGTAACAATTTTGATTTTATATCATTGAAAATATTGTTCCATTCACCTTATAGTTCACATGCACTCTATTCATTAGGTCTTTTCTCTGCCCATTTTCTACTGTTGTGTCTCATCCTCCATATCTGCCCACTTTATCTACACCATCACCCTCCATCCGCAGCTGACAGTCTGGGAGGAGACGACTATTTCGATGAGAAGGGCTGTCACTGCGATGTCTCTGTGGAAGATTTGTCTGCTCCTCTGAAGACAGTCATCCGAGCTGTCAGGTGAGGGAATGACTACACTGACGAGCCTCACCCTCATTCAAGACAACAGGGGTCTACCCTTTTCTTGTGCCTTGAGGGTAAATGGAGTCTGATGAAATTCCTGCATGAGATTTACATTGCGCATGGGTATTTTTAGCCACTTTTACTCTTGCAACTTATTTTAAATGAATAATGTTCCAAAAAATCCTGAAAACTGTTTTAAAAAACATTTATTTTTACAAATGTAAGGTTAAATATTCATTTGTTGTGTGCAGCTAGCTTAACAGTTGATTTGATTGTTGGGTTGATTTAATGATATATCTTTGTATTGTATACATATGTAGTTAAACAAGCTACCCATTGACCAAATTACATAAAGTATATCATCCCTGTCCGAAATAGAAATGCTTCAAAATTACTAAAAAAAAACACCTCTTTTGTTTGTTTTGGACTGCGATAATTTTCAGTTCAATTCTATTCAGTTAAATAGAGCGAGAACTTGGAGTTGCACAACTTGCACTGTAAACAGTTTGCCGTCTTTTGCTTGAAATGTTTATGTATACAGTTCTGCTTAGATGTTGACATTTTGCTTAATGTGAGATGCAATATCAGCAAAACATTTTCAAAAGTTCTAAGATAATTCTCAATTTGTTTTATTTCTTTATTCCAAAATATACATGCCCTATTAGTATACCTACTTAAGTGAATTAGCACTACATTGATATCTGTATATTCAAATAAACACGTGTCTGAAAAGAATGTACAGTGGGATATTACCATTGGCTCTCATAATCTGACCATCCTGTGCAAATAAGGACAATTACATTACACTCCAGGTTTCTCATTCATGCTGAGAAGGCCTCTTGTTGTTACTCCAGGAGACCCATCTCACTGTGCACAGTCAAAAGGTCATCTGAGGGCAAAGTGGATGAGATTTCTCCTTGTGCTTTCCCAGGGTGTCAGATGGACACACTCACAGCTGCCTCTGCTTACACACTGGCTCATCTGACACGTGTATCTGAGCATAGTTGACAGGCGCTGGAAGCAGGATTTAGGACTGTGTTACTGAGATCCATTCACTATTATGTCAATATTTTACTTCCATCTATATCTTTCATTCTCTCCCTGTAGAATGATGCTGTGAAGAACTGACCTTACTCTACTCACCTTTCTAATGTCCTCCACCTCTGGAGATTTGTGTGGATCAATGTTTCAAGCTGCGTTTTAATCTATGTTTTTTTGAATGGGCTTTATGGTTAAGAAACAGTGTTGCACACATGGTTTGCCATCGCCCTCTAGTGTCAGTGTGGCAGCAGTGCATCATGTTAAGGTTCACTTAACATGATCATTTTACTTGCGGGACAAGCCATGAGGAAGGATGAGGAAAATTAATTTCACAGAAATCCTTGATTTTCTGTTCAGGCTGTCCTGTTTAGTGAACTCTTTGAAATGGCATATAAAAAGTTCTCCAAAGACCCCATCAAGTTCTTCTTCTTATTATTTTTTTTTAATTTAACAAACAACAAAGCTAAGCTTTTAAGAATGTGTCTGGCCATTGTATGAAAATGTATGTTTGTGCTTTGGCTTAAATTATCAAGGTTGTCAGGTAAAAAAAAGATATTATATCTTCGTGTTTCAGCTTAGATACAATTACACCTTTTTTAAATGACGTGCCTGCTGTCAAGGTGTTAAGACAGAGTCAGGATGTGAGTCATGTCTTTGATTCTCACCAGGATAATGAAGTTCCACGTGGCCAAGAAGAAGTTTAAGGAGACTCTCCGGCCGTATGACGTGAAAGATGTGATTGAGCAATACTCGGCTGGACACTTGGACATGCTGTGTCGCATCAAGAGCCTCCAGACTAGGTTAGAGCAGATTGACCCTTACATAATTCTAAACAAGACAATCACTCAGAATAATGAAAAATACTCTTTTAATTATATTTAGTGTCTTCTTTGCTGCTTACAGCTGCTCATGTCTTAAAATATAATATGATTGCTATATGAATGAATGAACTGATTGAAATGTTGCAAAATTTCTCATTATTACAATAACATTAAGAATGCTTTTTGGCTATTCCTATAAAGTTACAGTGTTGGAGATATAAGGTTTTGTTATTACACCAACTGTATGCACTCACAGAAATAAATGGCCACATAAACCATTATGTGTTTATTTGTGACTACTTCTGATCCCCTGATTGTCTTGCCTTGTTTGCACTCTCCTGTTCAGGTTGGACACAATAGTGGGTCCTCCACAGACTCTGAGCAGCAAAGCCAAGACTTATTCCTCTCCTTCCCTGCACTTGTATTACAGCCAAGCTAAGAGGAAACACTCAGCCCCAGGGTCAGCTGACCCACAGTCCCCCAACAACATTACTTAACATAGAAAGTGTGGACATGAGTTCCATGCTTAGGCTATGTGTCTGGTTTATCTATGACAATATCGTCACAGTCGTAATAAAACCTTACAGGAGATGCAAAAAAAAAACAAAAAAAAAAACATACTTCAATATATATTAATATAACAACATTTTATTCTAAGTCTTTTTTTTCTGTTGGCCTAGTCATCGTGCCAGTGTTCACAGAAGGCAACAGTCGTTTTCAAATGATGTAAAAATCAAAACTGAAAAAATCCATAAGGCTTTGATATGACAGTGATGATTCGCGATGGTATTACATATCAAATATTTTGCAGTGGTGCAAACCTTCTCTGCATTTCTGAGCAGTCAAGCTCATTTTGTTGCACATTATATGTCATTCACAGACACAAAGGCTTAAGCTATAGACTCTGTCTAGCCTATTTCTCCTTGCTTTTGCTGTGTTACTTTCTCTTTGTTTGAAAATGAGAGCCAGTAATTGTATGCCTAATATGACATCTTGCATGCTGTTCTTTTGAATGTGGGACTACCTCAGGATAGTGTCTTCTTTCCTTTGTGATTAACGAATTTGAAACATAGTATTGCTTTTAGATGTCTAATCACTGGATGATTTATCAGCATTCTGTATTTTACTGCTGATATATCAGAGGATTATGGAGTCTAAGGCTGTGCCAGAGCGAGGTGTGCAGACTATAAAGTGGTATGTTTCCCACCTGCTAGATAGGTGTAGTAAATGTCTTGCGATGAACTTCTGTAAACTTAGTATTCATTCCAGAATGCTTATGATATTTTGCACACTTTTATGTCTTTCAAAAAACCTGAAGCTAAGCCATTTACCTCAGTTCTAAAAAGGTTGGGACAGTATGTGAAACATTAAGAAAAACAGAAAGCAGTGATTAGTAAACTTAGTGTGACTTACATTAAATTGAAAACAGTACAAAAGACACAATATTTATATTGTGTTTTATAAAGTTCACAATATTTATGAACTTTTTTTTATTGAACATATGCTCATTACAAATTTGATGGTTCCTTGTTCAAAAGTTCATCAACTTGTGGTTTTGTCTAAGCACTGAAAACACCAACTGGTTAAGTTTTGAAAGTGGAATTTTCTGACATCCTTCCTATAAACAAGTCTTCAGCTGTGTGTGTATGTGTGTGTATATGAGGCCGGCTTTGTCATATTTTGCGCTTCGTAATGCACCACGTTTTCAGTGGGAAGCAAGTTTGGACTGCAAGCAGGCCAGTCTGGCACTCATACTCTCTGATTACGCAGCCATGCTATTTAACACATGCAGAATGTGGCTTGGCATTGTCATGTTGAAATAAGCATAGGCGCCCTTGCATTAGGTGTTGTCAAGAAGGCAGCATATGTTGCTCTAAAATGGGTATATATCCTTCAGCGTTAATGGTGCCTGCACAGATTTAAGTTACCCATGTGATGACAGGACCTGACTTTTGAACTATACACTGGTAGCAATCTGAATGGATTCCATAAACAGTGTGAAAGGTTGACTCGTCAGACCACAGTACACATTTCCAGTGTGCATCAGTACATTTCAGATTGAGCCTGGAGAAGTCGGCAACATTGCTGGACGTTGTTGACATACTGCTTTCCAAATTACAAATTACAGCTTTCTGTTTACATTTGCATTTCACACACTGTCCCAGCTTTTTGGAATTGAAGTTTGTAGTTGACTGAATACTGCTTTTAGTGCATGTTATCTATCCATGTGATCCATCTGGAGTAGTGCTTGTGCTAATGTTGCTTGGAGTAGCTCCTCTAGAGTCTTTCCTCTTCTCTCCTTGTCTCATAATGAAAGATTAAAAATACACCTCTCTCTCACACACAGACTTGCTGCAGGCTCAGGTCCACAGCAGACCCTAAACACCAAAGCCAGGAACCTGTCCTCTTCTTCACTGCACTTGTATTACAGCCAAAGCAGGAAGAAACACACCAGCTCAGGGTTAGACTCATGCCTAGCCGCTGTTTCCTATACTGGAGTGCTGGGCTTGGGCAAATGCTTACCTGAATTAACCCACACTGTCTCTCGAGGGTTCAGAGCTGATGCTGGGCTAGTGCACTTACTTAAGGTTTAAAGGCTGCTTTTTGTGCAATTTATGCTGCATACATTCACTTAATCACTGATTATCAGATGGGTTCTAGAAAATCTGTTTGTAAGTAAAATATAAAACACAACTGAAGGTGTGTATTTGAGGGCATTATCTAAGCATCAGCATTGGACTCCAAAGTGATTGATACTTGTTATCAAAGTTTCCCAACTAAAGGAAAACATTAAATCTCTAACACTTGGTTTTCTCAAGTCTTATTGGTGTAGATTTGTGGTTGTTACTAGCTTAATTCAGATTGATGCGTTTTCCATTACTTTGCATGATGACACAAATGGAAAACTGTAAAATTAAATCTAACATCTTACTAATACATTACAAAATTAGTATCGTAAATAAGCTTTAGCATTATTCATAACTTGTGTTAATGTAATATGTCTTAATTTAAGCCACATGCCAGTAAAAAGAGCTAAAAAAAAACTTGAATCCTCTGAAAGTCAGGCAATATCTGCATTTTGCAATACAACGTTTCTGTTCCCAATTACTCTCTGAATAATGTAATTCAAGGTGGTGGTCAAACTCTTAACAACTTTTCTTATTCTTTAACTGGAATCAGGTTCTGTCCCTCTGTGCTGTGCCGTGCTCTGGTTAGAGGAGATCCAGCATTTTGTGTTATCTCTTCTTTTCTTCTGTATTTGTTTAACCAGTTTTTTTGGTCACAGAGTGGATCAGATCTTGGGGAAGGGCCAGATACCCATGGATAGGAAGATGAGGGACAGGATCCTTCCAGAAGGGGAGTCTTTGGAGCATGACATGAGCATGTTGGGGCGTGTGTGTAAGGTAGAAAGACAGGTAAGTCACATATGGACACATGGGGAGACAGATACACACATTTGCACTGAATTCGCAGTAAATCCTGTGACCATAACTAAGAATTTGTGGCCAGTCCAAATATAGAAACATTGTCTATTGTATGCACTTTATTTATGCACTATATTTGTAATTAAGAAGCTTGCTTCAGTACCCTTGCTTTTAGCTACATCTCTCCCACATTTACTCCATTGTTTTATTGGTAATGGTGGATGATTGTGAATGTGTGAAAATACACAAGTTCTGCACTTTTCATGGCCAAGTTGTGATATGTTGTCACCAGAGGCATTGGGCAGTAGGCAATGCCGACCCGTCTGTGGACACATCCTAAGTACCATGTAACCACACATTCCTGTCATTCAAACTAAAGACTAACTGAGTCGTCTAATTTGTTCTCTCGGGTGACAAAAAGAATAAAACGTTCAGCGCTGTCTGGTAACAGACAGGTTTCTGCCAGAGGCCTACATGAGCATGTTGTTCTGATTGTCTTGCAATACAGAGTATAAACAGAATACCACTACACTCTTAAAAATAAAGTTGGCGTTATAGTTTCTTTGGAGTGATTAAGAACCACTTTTGGTTTCCTAAAGAGCCTATTAATGGTTAGTTCTTTAAAGAGCCAGTTTTGAAAATGAGAAGTGCAGGTGTAAAAAAACTTTTTTTAAAGTTTGAAACACATCTAAATAATGAAAAAAAAAAAGTTTGTCTTTATTTTAGAAGTGTATGACAAATGAAAATGGTAGTTTATGTAACAAGTGGCATATTGGATGGCTGTAGATAAGCTATGTTTATTATTGTACTCATAAAAATAAAGGTGCCATATAGTATTCTTTGGAGCGATTCCATAGAACCACCACTTTTGGCTCTCTAAAGAACCTTTCAATAGATCAATAGGTTCTTTAAAGAATAGTTTTCCTAGAACCATGTCCAAGCAATGTTTATTTCTGAGAGTGTGCATGATAAAAAAACTATACTTTGAGTCTGAAGTTCAACATGTAGAGAAAGATAGAAAACATGTAGTACACGCTAAATTGTCTAATTCATTTTGTTTCATGTGATGCAGGTGCAGTCCATTGAGTCAAAGCTGGACTCATTGTTGGACATCTACCGGCAAGTTCTCCAGAAAGGCTCGTCCTCAGTGATGGGTCTCTCAGCTCTTCCTCTGTTTGAGTTGGAGCAGACATCTGACTACCACAGCTCCATCCAGAGCAAGGATCTGTCCTCCTCCACACAGCTCACAGGCAATGGGGTTTCTCGGTCTGGCAGTGCTAACCTGCCCTGCGGCCTACAACTCGTTCTGGCCCCCAGTGAACTCAACCTGGGCACTAGCTACCCAACTTCTGCCTCCTCTTTCTCTCCCTCCCCACTGCTTCATAATCAACCCTCTAGCCCAGAAAGTGTTTACCCAGCCTCGCCTCCCCCTATCCTCACCCCTAACAACCTTTCCAGAGGTCATCCCAACTTCTCTGAGCTGACTAGACCTCTCCCTACCACCAACCCCAACACAAACACTCTGCAGCTGCCCACCATGTCTCCAGGCACGCCTTCCAGTCTGATCTCAGAGACATTGCAGGAGAGCAGGGCAGAGAGCCCTAATGGCTGCCTGCTTAACACCCAGACTGAAGCTGTTTCAGAGGTAAAATGTTCTCAAAGCAGGGTGCAGCTAAGGAGCAGACCAGAGAGGAGCCCCAAAGAGGAAGGTTCCTGGAGGAGACACTTGAGTCTTGAAATTAATCCACTAGGCCTAATGTCTTCAGGAGCAAACAACCCACTGCATTCAGACCGGGGACTGGGGAAGTCTTTCTCTGCTCAAAACCTCATGCTGCCCTCTGGTGGGGACTGCCACCCTAATCTGTCTGCTCGGAGCAGCGGCAGCAGCAACAATGAGTCCAACGATCGAGAGACCCTGCCAGACTGGGGCGACACAGAACTCTTCATCAGCGACAAAGAGCTGGCGACCAACGAGGGGAACTTCAACTTCCTTCCACAGCAAAGCACGGACGCCTGCTTCTCCTCTGAGCTCGTACAAACAGGAACCCCTGGATCAGCTCACAGCCAAGCTGGACCCACAGGCAACTCAGAGTCCCTGAGCCTGCCTCATGTCCGTCTAAAGTGACCCCAGCACACAGCAGCCTCTCTGTGGAGACTAGCTTCTGGTTCCATATGCGCTTTTGTTTTTCCAAAGGAAAGGGGTTGCCAGCTTCACTCCACACCTTTGTCTAATTTCCATTGTCAGTTGGTGAAAAGACAATGTGTTCCACATAACTTTATGTTCATACATACATACATATCATTTGCACGGACGATGTGTCAGAAAGGGGAATTTAGTAAGGAAAAGGTAATAAGCATTAAAAGACCAAATGAAGGATTGTGGTACTGACTGAGCTCTACTCTCAGTCTTGCATGGGCATTGCATGTTTAAAACGCAAAAGCACATTGGATTGGATGCATTTATGGTTGCTAACCCCCCCACCCCCCCACTCAGTCTTAGAGTTCATAATTCAGTCTCTTCTTTATACTGTTTTTTCTCAGATATGGATTGTCTTACTTAGCTGCCAAGTCAAGTGTTTCACCAGTCAGAGAACGCCAGTAAGTGACTGCATTAATGCCATACCATAGATCTCTGTGGCTGTCTCTATAAATAGTTTTATTAGAATATTTTGTATTGCTCACATGCATCTTAGAGCACGTTCCTGAACTTCCCACATGTTTGGGGTCTCATGTTCTTAGATACAGAAAGACATGCCTTAGGCTGCTTTGGGAAAGAAAAGGAACACAAGTTGGAAATTGATACACTATATGTATGTAGACACCCTTTCTGAATACTGAATTCAGTTATTTTAAGGTGCACCCATCTCTGTCATTGATACTCAATTGTGCATGCTTAATCTCCATAGAAAAGCATAACCAATAGAATGGGACTTCCTGGAGCAGTCGCAAATGAGTGTGATGTCATCATGCCCATAGTCATAGAGGTGTATTGTGTTTTCTGTAATGATGGAGCATCATTGAATACCTTTGGGATGAGCTGGAGTGGTATTTATGGTGCTCTTGTGGCTAAATGCAATCAAATCCTCACAATGAGCCTCATTTACCAACCATTCTTAGGAAGGAATTTCTTCTTAAAACCTACCTACGCAGTTTTCACAAAGATTCTGACATCCACCAGTGTTTTCTTACTTTGGGATTTGTTCTTAGGTAAGAACAGAGCTGATATGCACTCAAGAGCAAAAAAGGTGCAAACCGTTCTGTGGTTTAAGAACACATCATGAATCTGATGTAGACTTCAGGACCTTTCCAAAGGATAAATTTAAGAAAAAAAAAGGAAGATATTGGTGAATGAAGCTTAATTTTACAACATCTACTGAAAAGCCTTCCCAGACGAGAAGAGGCTGTTACTGCAGCAGAGGGGGATAAACACCCAAATAATATTTAGAAGAAATGGATGAGCAGGTGTCTACAAACATTTGGATGTAGAGTTTTTAGACATATTAGATCATTAATATTTCAACAAATTAACAAGTTCAGGTTATTTTTGTTTTTTTCTTTAATGCTAGATAAGATGTACCAGTATAATCAACAACAGATAAAAGGTTTGCTGTTTTTTTTATGTTACATAATCTTACATAATTTAGCACACATTTGTATTCTTTTCCAGATTTTTAATTCTGCAGTCCACAAGAGTCTTAAACCCAAAATTGTGCTTTTCAGCCTCCTTTCTTCTCTTAATTTTCTAATCAGTCTCTATTCTGAGTGGATCAGAAGTGTTTTTGCTAGACTGGTTATTAATATAACTTATAATGTAATGTGTATATCAGAATGTCAGTATCTAATTGTATGTTGCAAGTCATGCTTAGCTGTGTTTTAAGCTTTTCTGAAACTGTGCAACACCTCTGGGGTACACATTGAGGGTGATCCTGGCACTGTAGCTTACAACAGTTGGAAGCACAATTGTTCAGAGTTTGAAGAGAAACCTGCAAATGTGATGAATGTTATTTTACATAATCATGTTGTTATTTGTAATCCAGAAGCATAGAAAGAATGGTACGTAACATCCTGAGCGTTGATTTACGTTGCCATTGTTCATGGATTCTCTATGGAGTATGTCTGATTTGCAGAATAATGCTGTAGACTAATATTAATAATAATCTTCTTAACACTTTTTTAAAAACTAAATGCTTCATGATGCCCTTTTGCATTTAACTATGATTTTAGCTGCCCCAGTTCTCTTCATGCCAGTACAGTACTCTTATTTTGACCTCTAATGGAAACTGTTAAGAGTTAAGGTTGAAATAATTCAACAATTTGCTTGGCTGTGAACGTAGCTCATTTCTTTTTGTTGAAAGCAACGTTTATTTTTGTTTTGCCACTAATTTAGTAATTTATTACACAAAACTGGCCTTAATATACATGCTTGATAATGTTAGAGTTCTGTCATGCAGATTAATTTATTTCAACTATGTGCACATAACAGAGTTGATGCTCTGGGATTGAAAAATGCAAAATGAAATTTTATCATACTTAAATAAACAAAAGACTTGAACTCATGAACTGTGTTGTGTTTGTGTAATTAGTCAGTGTTTAAATGTGTTTAAATACAGGACTTCACAGCTCCTTAACCTTTAGAAGATCATATATATATATATATATATATATATATATATATATATATATACACATACATACTTACATGATCTGTAAAATCAGCAGTGCTTTTTTTCTGTGAACTTTGTTTTTCGTTTTATGGTGCAATTATTCATAACAATTACAACATGTCACTACAACATACATCACTACCACACTAAATTGGAATTTAGCAGCAAAATAATAATATAAAATATAATAATAATATAAAATAATCTAATCTAAAATAAAACGCAATTCAACCAAACAAACAAAAAAGCTAAATAAAATTATTTAAAAAAAAATGATAACCAGACATTGGGGGAATCAAAATATGTTGAAAAGCTCCAGATATCTGAGAAAAGGGCAGCTCTTCTGTAAAACCAGCAGTCAGTCGCTCTTACGAAGGTGACCGTTACGTCAGCGGATGTTGACGGACGCGCTCGTTATCTAAAGGCACCGCAGTAAGAACCCGCGGGTTTGACGTTAGTGTCACAAAAACTCCAGGACACTTCTCACGTTTATAATGTCGGATTGGGAAGACGAATACGATGAGGATGGAACAGCCATTTCGAAGCCTTCACCTGTTATTCCAGCCCAGCGTGCTGAGTGGAGGTTTCCCTCGTTTGGTAACCATAGTAAAGGGGGTGTTAGCTTCGGTGGAAAGCGCGGCGGGAAAGAGCAACCAAAAGATTCACTATGGAGAAACTTCAGAGACCAGCATGGAGACTCTAACACGACTGGACAGCTAGTTTGTAGTGACTCCGACAGTGGAAGAGGAAGGCGTGATGATAGAGCAGGTTCAACGCGACCTGTGTCTCTTTCCTTAGAAAACGCTATGATCGGGAGGGTCATAGGTAAGCTAGTTTTTCTTAGCACGCTAGCTAGCCTAATATTAGCTTGGATTATTTACCGTTACCATCCGTGAGTTAAACCACAGTTATGTCTTCTGCTACATGGGAACAGGTCGAGGCGGTGTGAAAATACGTGAACTGGAGGAGTCTAGTGGAGCAAAAATAAAGGCAAGTTCATCCGCTAATAAGTGAGCTAATGTATAACCTAATGTCTGTAAAAAAAAACAAGAAACTGACTAGTTATCATTTGCTAAAAATGAGCGATTTTACCAAAGTGTCTTGGCCTTCAAATCAAAACAATCAAAACTGCGTTTGTCTTCTGAAGTGGATTAGTTTTCACTTAAGTAGGTTAGCTAACTCACTGGGATGAAGTAAGATTGGCGGTACACAGCTTTAGGAAATGAACTAGCCTAGTTCTGAGTTTATTTCCCGCTTAGAGAAATAGATTGGCGAACAAATCACTTGAATAACAGTTTTCTCCTTATACCAAAGGTAGTCAGTCAGTCATGACGTATTCAGTGACTGGAGCTTGTTTTTGTAGTTTTTTGCTGGAGCTGAGAGGCCAGTGTAGCTACTTTGAGTTGTTAATAATTTTTAAGATTACTTATGTGGTTTCTAACACTTTTATACGGTTATGTATAAAAATGGACAAAAGAACATACACTATTAAGCCTTCAAGAAAGCTACTGTCAGTGTTTTAGGTATTATGTAAAATCTATTACGTAGATATTGTGTCCATTTTTTAAACTAAGATACATCTTGGGGGAAGGGTTTGGTGCATACATCTGAATAAAGATGTTGCCCATAAAATACCTCACATAGACTTCCATGGTGCGAAGAGTGAGACGACAAAATTGCGTTTAGAATTTTTTTAGGAACTAATATAGAAATGCTGTTTTCTCAGTCAGGCTGTTATTTCCATTTTATTGTAATACCTGTCAAAGCACAGGCCGCATAGTCTTATATCTTGTCTGGGACTGTTTTGTCCCTCCATGCTCACTCTCATGGGTAGTGTTGGGTATCTTTGTCATTGGTTTCCGCTTTACTCCCTTTCCAGCCTATGAACACTGGTAACAGACAAAATAGTGGCTTACAAACAAACAAATAAATAACGATTTTCTTTTTTTTGACAAATTCATAAAAATGCCCATTCATGATTCATATGATAATCTAAGGATATTATGTGTGGTTGTTCAAGATCATCTTGAATCTAAATCCAGATGTAATCACATGACCTGTGGAAGCCTATGGGTGGTTTTAGAGGAGTAGTTGAACTCCTAAAAACTTCAGTAAGTTAACTTATCCAACAATTTGATACTGGCTCCAGTCTTTCAATGTGATAGAAGCTTTTGTACGTATACTAAAAAGAGATCTACTTAGTATAAACCCTTGTACTATTACTGTGTGTTTCTATTATGAATAATCCATGCCTGATATCTGATTATGGTTTGGATAGATTAACCGTGGCGATTATGAGGGAAAGGTGCTGATCTTTGGAAGCAGTGATGTTCAGAAGAAAGCCAAGGAAATGATTGAGGAGCTGATATCAGGGAGTGCAGCCAATGGGGCTTGGCTCCACAATGGTAGGAAAATGAGTATTATGGACCACGTAGATCCAAACCATTTGAAAGACCTTAATGCTGCCTTGTTGTCTGTTGTTCTTTCAAAATATGTGGCTCTATAGTCAGTGAAGTTATGTGTTCACTGCAAATGGGCTGTTAATTTTCTTCATTCCTGTGTCTTCTTAAAAGAACATAATAGGAATCCATGGGATATGATAAAATAGGCCCATAGTATATAGTAGAAAATATACGCACAAGTGATGGCCATCAGGGTCAAAACACTTAGCAAGTAGCCCCTACTTTGCAGTTAAGCAATTCATTTAAAACATTGTGAGTATTGAGGAGGTATATATATAAAACTAAGCACCTAGGCATGCACACTGCTTCTACAAACATTTGTGAAAGAATGGGTCGCTCTCAGGAGTTCAGTGAATTCCAGCATGGTACCGTGATAGGATGCCACCTGTGCAACAAGTCCAGTCTTGAAATTTCCTCGCTACTAAATATTCCACAGTCAACTGTCAGTTGTATTATAACAAAATGGAAGCGATTGGGAACGACAGCAACTCAGCCACGAAGTGGTAGGCCAAGTAAATGACAGAGCGGGGTCAGCGGATGCTGAGGCGCATAGTGCGCAGAGGTCGCCAACTTTCTGCAGAGTCAATTGCTACAGACCTCCAAACTTCATGTGGCCTTCAGTGGCCACCACTGGACTCTAGAGCAGTGGAGACGTGTTCTCTGGAATGACGAATGATGCTTCTCTGTCTGGCAATCCGATTGGACGAGCCTGGGTTTGGCGGTTGCCAGGAGAATGGTACTTGTCTGACTGCATCGTACCAAGTGTAAAGTTTGGTGGAGGGGGGATTATGGTGTGGGGTTATTTTTCAGGAGTTGGGCTCGGCCCCTTAGTTCCAGTGAAAGGAATGCTTCAGCATACCAAGAGAATTTGGACAATTTCATGCTCCCAACTGTGTGGGAACAGTTTGCGGCTGGAACAGGAAGGGGTCCATAAAGACATGGATGAGCAAGTTTGGTGTGGAAGAGCTTGACTGGCCTGACCTCAACCCGATAGAACACCTTCGAGGCCTTCTCATCCAACAGGCCTTCTCATCCAACATCAGTGTCTGGCCTCACAAATGCGCTTCTGGAAGAATGGTCAAAAATTCCCATAAACACACTCCTAAACCTTGTGGAAAGCCTTCCCAGAGGAGTTGAAGCTGTTATAGCTGCAAAGGGTGGGCCTACATCATATTAAACCCTATGGATTAAGAATGGGATGTCACTCAAGTTCATATGTGTTTGAAGGCAGATGAGCGAATACTTTTGGCAGTATAGTGTGTGTGTGTGTGTGTGTGTGTGTGTGTGTGTGTGTGTGTGTGTGTGTATATATATATATATATATATATATACCTACCGAGAGAGAGCTCTGGCCTCTGGCACAAATTAAGAGACCACTCCAGATTTTTCTTAAATCAGCATCTCTACATATTTGGCAGCTATTCAGTTCTACTGTCAATTGCAAGATAGGGGCACACCTCATTCTACTTATTCTACAGACTGATTAGGTCATCACATGAACCAAATCTTATTTACCAAGGAAAATTATAAAAGCCACAGCTGTGGTCATCATTGTCCTTTAGCAATAGGACTACCCGGATGGCAAAAACAATGCTAGTAGTATCTCAAAAGTATTTGGGGAAAAAATATTGACCATGTGAAAAGAGTGGAAAGAGAAGTTTTAAGTGAAGAAAAGAAGAGTTCAGTTCTAGATCTACTGGCAGAGGGATATAATGAACATCAGGTTGCTTCCATCCTTAAAATTTCAAAGATGGTGGTTCATAGGAACAAAGTCAAGCAGCAGACATTGGGGACAGCAAAGCAACAGGTCAGCAGAGGACATCAAGCGACCTACAAAAAGAATAGCAAATGGTAGCTGGGGCCCTTCATCAAGGAGAAGCTAAGAAGAACCAGGTTGAACTTTGCAAAAGATCATAAGGATTAGACCTTTGCGAATCAAGCCATGTACACGTTTTCTTCCAGGATAATCTTGCTTTTTTTCTGCTCTGACAATGTTCCCCAACTCTGAGGATTGTTTTTTCCAACAAGACAGTACTCCATGCCACGCAGCTAGGTCAATCAAGGTGTCAATAGAGAACAACCAGATTAAGACCCTGTCATGGCCATTCCAATCTCCAGACCGGAACCCCATTCAAAACTTCTGGAATGTAATCAAGAGGAAGATGAATGGTCACAAGCAGTCAATGCTAAGCATCAGGCTCACTCCACTCTCCACTCCCCACTCCCTTTCCTCCCTTCCACTGTGGGAAGTGCATCCTGATGGAATCCCCATGAAAACACACGTGTGGCAAACCACATGATGTAAAGGGCGCTAGCATGGGCACACTGACTCGTCTGCGACTACGCAGCCTCATACGCAGCAGGGTGTGATGCACTGTGTGTTGTGACTTATTCTTCCCATAACAATCATTAAAAATTTCTGTGACTTGTGCTCCAGTAGCCCTTCTGTCAGTTCAGACCAGACAGAATAGCCTTTGTTACCCCCCGCTTTGATGTGCCTTGGGTGCCCAACACCTGTTTGTGTTCTGTCCTTCATTGAGCCACTGTCCGTATGTCCCACCACTGCTGACCGGGAGCACCCCACAAGCCTTGCTGCTTCGGAGATGCTCCGACCCAGTTGTCTGGCCAGAAAATTTTGGTCCTTGTCGAAGTCGCTCATGTCTTCACACCTGCCTGTTTCTCCTGCATCCGACATGTCGACTGTGAGAACAGACTGTTTGTTTACAGTGTAATATATCCCAGACCTTCACATGCGCCATGCCACCTTTTGTCTTATCTTTTTTTGGTCTGTAATTCTATACCCAGGTTTACAGTCAGTAATAAATGACCTTTCTTTTGTAGAAAGAAGTACTTATTAGTACACCCATCTAACAAACTCTGTCCAAGAATAAACCATGTCTCTAAATGACTGACTGAGTCATGGGCTCCCCATTGTTGAAATGTGTGGGAGGTGACATTTTGGGGATGAGCAGTATCAACAACACTGTTTGTTTGCTGTGGCTGCAGCAGTAATAAAGGACAAAGTGGACCCCTACAGTTTGTTAAGGACAGTCTTGAGGTTTGTTTATGTCTCAGCAGGCAGTGAGGGTTCAGGAGTAAAGAGCGAGTCGTGCTGGCCAGCGTCTGCCCTTCAGGCTTCAACTGCTCCCGCCCCAGCACCCATAGACTGGACCGCCATAAGAGAGAACAGGCAGAAATATGAGGCTATAAAATGGCAAGGTGAGTTTAATAGGACCCTGCAGCATCTTGTATGATGTTGTGTGTGTTTTAATTATATAACATTATTTAAAAGTAAGTTTAGTCTGTCCTGTGCTTACATCTTGATGTTTGGTAAAGTGTTTGCAAAGGAAAAGAAATACGTTGAATTATATACAGATGTATTACTGTTAACAGTTGTTGAACTACCGCATGGTCTCTGTAACCTTGAAAAAGGTTCATCACTAACATCAACTGTGAAGAGACAAAAATTTAAGGATAATATTAGATCTGGAGTAGGCCAACCTTGACATGGTGGTACGGTAAGTGCAGAAGTAAGGATTGTACAGGCTAATACAGAAGGCAACAGCTGTGAGTCATTTACCTTCTTAAGAAAATCACCACCTGTTTTTCTTAAGAAAGTAAAAGTAACAGTTTTAAGAATTCCCATCATTGATTATAAAACATTGAAGGATATATCCAATATGCAGAATAGCACTGTGGCATGCAAGATAGCAAAATCTTTTAGCTTTATGCCATCTTCTATACACATCTCATGCACATGCTCCAGCAGTGCCCCCTATGGGGGAAGTGATGTAATAATCTTGGCAGCGCTATCATATAAGCTTATGAAATTTTACTGAATGATTTTCTATTTATATGTATTAATTTAGCTTTTATGATATCATTGTCAAGGTACACTATATAAGATGTTTTTGTTAAAATTGAAAGAAGTAGCTTAACTGAGTCAGGAGAAAAAAAGAACAAGCTAAAATAGAGTGTGTGCGTGCTGCTGTGCGTCAAATAGTAACTTAAAAGTCTGAGGCGTCAAGTCCGATTTTATGAGTTTCTCGAATCATGTCTTATGTCTGCATATTAAAGTCCCTCGCACAGGCTCAAAAAAGCTCCGGCTCAATGTTTGGGTCTCAAATGCAAAATCAACCTAATAAGAAGATATACTACTTGTAGATATTTCACTTGCATTATTGGGAGACATGTCAGTTTTGACTTGTGCTCTTTGAATACTCTCAACACGCTCGCAATCAACAGATTCATCCGCTTGGGGAAGGAGTCTGAAGCATGACTGACGTTACAAAATAATCTTCCAACTATTGCATGCATTTTACACCAGAGAGGTCTCCAAACATACATATTATAACTTTACATCCAGTCTCACAGTGTTTAATTGAATTTTTTATAGACTGAATCTGTGGTTAATAAAGAATGTAATTATGTATGACGTTGCTACAGTGACTTTTTTTTTTGCTGACGTATATACTCTGTAATAGGGTACTTAATAAAAGAAGACTCTTGGTTTGTTCAGATCTCCCACCTATAAAGAAGAATTTCTACATTGAATCTGAGTCAGTGGCCAGGCGCAGTGCAGAGGAAGTCAGAGCATGGAGGCAAGTGTGTATGATCTGTGTTGCTTCTGACCTTCCAGCAGAGGTCTCCCTTAAACCCTGTATACAATAGACCTGAGTTTCCCAATCCTTGTCCTGCAGTACAGTGTGCTGTAGTTTTAGTGTTTTCTGCTCTAACACTCCCACTTCAGCTCAGTAAGGGATTGGCAATGTTGGTAATGCGCTAATTCATTGAATGAGGTGTGTTTAGAGTAAAGAAAGCATGAAAATGTGCAAGGTAGAGGGGCTCCAGTACCAGGGTTGGGAATCACTGCAGTAGAGAAAGTATTACGTAGAGCAGTCTCGTTTAAAGACTAACATCAAGTGTTTGTCTCTGATAGTTTATTGAGCAAATGTATTGTGAATATGGCTCTTGCCCCAAAAAGTGCACATAGTAAAAAAACAGACTTTTTTAACTTTAAGATTTTAAGAACTTTAAGATTTGAAGGAAAGATCAGCATTTTTTCTCCTGCTAGTCACAGAAGGGGAACTGAATAAACTGTGTTAATACTGTGTGTTGTAAGAGCTATGGGGTGGTATCTCCTTTTTGATATGTTCAGATGGACTTCAGATATCACTATATATATATATATATATATATATATATATATATATATATATATATATATATATATATATATATATATATATAATATAGTATACGGTATTACCAGTGGATGGGTCGTAATTGACGTCTAAGCCTTTTTGATGTGTTGTTTTTTTTTTTTTTGCCCTGTCTTTCTGCGTTATTTCAGAATCAAAAACATTTAGAAGAGTAGTTCTTTTATGTGGTCACCAAATAGGTGAACACAGTGCAAAGCATCATCATTCAGCTGGCGCTGAAGGGACAGAAAGGTGAAATTAAACCTGTTCCCTGGTGTTTGGATCTGTGGCTTGATTGGCTAATTTAATGTTAGATTAGTGAGCAGACTACAGGATCAAACAGTGCGACACACCATAGTAAAGGATCAAACAGGATCAAACAGTGCGACACACCATAGTAAAGCCTTGATTCTGACTAACTTGTGCTCTGCTGACACAAGTTTAGATGATAAAACTTAACATCTGAGAGAGAAAAAGTCAAGTGAGTGACAGAAAGCTGACTTTGAACCTGTTCTGTGGTGATTGGGACTGTAGCATTCTGGATGAACATGTCACAGAGCACAGGCTTGGTTCCTCCTAACCATTGCTGAAAATACACCTGTTTAGAGGATGAGAGCACAAAGTCTAGTGACTGAGTGAAAGCCGAAATAGATTGTGTTCTGTGGTGTGTGTGTCTGTGTGTGTGTGTGGCTGTTGCAGAGCAGCTGTCACACCTGAGACCTCCGCACATCAGCCCCACAGCTTCCAAATATTGGAAACCTTTGGTTTTAATGAAGCTGCACACACTGTGCTGACATTCTACATTGACGTGCGCCAGCGCTCAGTGACTCGGAGCACTGTTTGGTTTCTCGGCGTGTCACTCATCGTTCTGCCAGCCATATCAAGACCACAGAAAGCCATAGTGTGGCTTAAAGTTTGCACGGAGAAAGGCAGTCAGTCTTTTAGATAAACATAGAAATGCCAATGGTCTGTTACCTCTACTAACGTTACAGTATAGCCTTTGCCTGTCTTTCAGCTTGAAAACAAGTAAGCAAGATTAATAATGGGGAAAGCTTTATTTTATTCATTTCATATAAGGATAATGTAAAAATGAACAGAAACCTAATGTTTATCTGCGCACTTACTGCATGCATTGTATAGTAGTGTTCTGAAACGTGACTCTATGGTAGCCTTTAGTTTTTCTGAGGTTTTTCTTAGATTTTATTTTTGCCCTCTTTCTGCCTACACCACCAGTCAGTGAGCCCTCTGAAATATAAATGAATGGAACGTGTTTGTTTGGCTGTTCAGACATGGAATAAAATGGACACATCATGATTTTTAAATACTGTCATCATTTTTAAATACTGACATACTTTTTAAATAGCATGGTACAAATTATTACCGTCATACCGCCCAGCTCTAGTAAGAGCAGAAAAAGTGTTCCAACTACAGTTATTTCTTTGATGTGTGTATGTTGTGATGTTGCAGACCATCCAGCAGAGGGCTCTGTTTAACCATATGTAAGCATAGAGATCTTTATGTGCAAAATGAGTCATATAGAGTAGGAAAATGGAACCAGAAATACAAGTGGGCTGTTGATGTTTATGTTGTTGATGTTTGTTTATTAATATGGATTATCCTTTTCTCATGGCAGCTCAGGTGATCTACAGTCTGTGGTATTCCTTGCTAGGACTGTCACAATAAACATGTTGCTTTTTATTTTATTTTTTTTTTAATTCATGCAGCAGGTATCACTAGCTTTTCTGATTCCGGAAGAGCAGGGAGCCACTTTGGAGGCATAGGGAATGGGGAGAGAAAGATGTTTGTTCTTTGCATCTGTTTGTTCTTTGCATTTGCATGTGTTTTAACCGGAACCATAGTCAATTTCCTTATTCAAATATAAATTTTGTTTGTTACAGAGGGTAAACACCTGTGGTTTGAATGTCATCCATGTGTATGTCCCGCATTAAAACGCTGTATTTCTCCCAAACAGAAAAGAGAATAACAATATCTTTGTGGATGATCTGAAAGAAGGAGAGAAAAGAATGATCCCTAATCCAGTGTACACTTTCGAAGAGGCTTTTGCACCCTATCCTGGAATAATGGAGAACATACACAGAGTGGGGTTTCAAAAGCCGACTCCCATTCAGGTACTGTGAAATTAAACACACAAAACAACTTATTTTTTAATTTAATTTGCAAAAAAGGCATCAAAGTTGTATTTTTATTTAATTTGCTGGAAAAGATCTAAGTACTTACATGCAGTAGTTTTAGATTTTTAGGACCTCCTCACTTTGATAGTCCTGTGTCATGTCGTCATCATGTTTAGGTGGCGCTTAAGTTTGAATCCAGCATTTCAAAAGACAACAACAAGATAAATTGAAGAGGGGACTTCCAATGAGTTCTGCGGTTTGGGGGAGAAAAACGGGTTTAGGGGAAGCCCCGTTCATGAGTGTAAACAGTGCCTGTGTGGATATTGGGGGCATGCATTTTGATGATTTTATTTGCAAGTGTTTATTGACAGTAGTTCTTTTTAAAAAACTAAAGACGTTTCACAATACTTATGCTAAATCTTGCCAAATGTTTTGTTGGCCTAGCATGTGAAAGCAGTTATGTATGGTGATTCAGGCTTTCTAACTGTGGTACAGTGTTGTGGTGACTAAAGAAAAAAGATCAGCAGTTTTTTGGTGCTGTAACTAATTAAGTAGCACTAGGGTAAAAAAGAAAAGTAAGTAATTCACTTCGTTCATTTAAATTTCAAAAGCTCTAATGTAGAAATCCTGAAATTACTCAGTAACAGTAAATTAAGTTTGTAATATGGGGATGTATTGCAGAAATAACCTAATTCTGAAATCTTTCTGTTTAGTGACCATGACAGCTTCAGTTAGGACCGAATTTAGGACAACAGCTACTACAGAAGAACATTTCCCAAGTCCATAATCTTATCCTAACTCCAGAGAAGAAAATAGTATTAAAGAAGCATCCTAACTTGCCAAAATGTCCTAAATACAGTTCTAACATAAAGATAACCACAGCAGCATTCTAATTTGTGTTTTAACCTTCGATTTCTACAGTTAACCCTTTTTTGAAAATAGAATGTTCCCACTTTTAGGAAACTGTGACGGGCAGCATAACAAGGTCATTTGCAGTAACCAGCATTTGCCATTACATTTATTCATAATATCCAAAAAAAAAGATTTCTCTTGGGAGTAATTTTCTAACTCTGCTATACAAAGAGTCTGAGACAGATTTTATTCAGTTCACTGTATGTGTTAATGTCAGAAGTAACCAAAAAAAATTACAGCGAAGGAGATGACTAATCAGGAGGACAGAGTTGAATGTGTAGCTGTTTATTTGGAAGAATAACTGCGTAGCTGGCTGAAGAATTGGTAAATAGAAACTGAAACTGGGGAGCAGCAACACCCTATAAAACAGCAGCAGCAGTCACAGTTTTCGTAACTGTCTAGGTAACAGACATGACAATTGATTATTGACCTGAGTGGATTAGGATTTCCTAACCTGATATAAGCTAAAATTCTTAAATGAAGATTTGCTTCTGTAATACAGCTTTGCTATAAATCATATCTTGAACATGTCAGATTTTAACTTAAGACTAAATGTAGGACGTTTCTGTAATATAGCCCCTGGTGCACTTCTCAATCAGCTACCATGTAGCAACAGATTCAGCATCTGAGCCAGAGTTAGAGGCATAGCAGTTCTCTTAAAGTGAGACTTGATCATTAAGTTTTTAAAGTACCCAGTAGTGTTTGTGCCTAGTTTTTTGTCTTCTTCCCCATCCCCTGATAATGATATTGGTACACAGGTTGCAAGCACAGTGGTATCTCTAATATGCTTTCTGCTTTAGAGATGGAAAAATGCATTTTGATGCATTTAGTGTTCAGTAAAGTTTGTACATTTCGAACAGTTTATTGGGGAAGGGGTTGTGTATTTTGTTGTACTACAATGTTCATTATTCCCCCAGTCACACTTGTTTATTCTTTACATTTTCAAAAACAGTTCAGAATTGTACCAAGTAATTGAATTGTGAGGAAACCTGAGATCTGAGATGGCTTAATGGTCATAATTGAATGAAAAATTGTAAATATTCATGTCACAAGTTTCTATTTATGTAGGGCTGTGTTACTTAATAAGCAGCAAGGTAAATTAAAAATGTGGAAGCCTGTAAACAAGAGAGTATAGAGGACAGTAGTGACTGAAATCTTGTCTGCGCTGAGTTCATTTGAAATGCTTTGTATCGGTCCTGTGCTCAGGAGGTTTTTAAGATTATGAGTGTATAGTATGGACCAGTGAATTTTTTTACAATGCGTGTTTGTGGATGGTTTGTAAATGATGTGTTTTGATTTACAAAGAACATCTACAAGAGAATCCTAGCCATCTTATTAGTTGTAGGACAGGTTTTCACACACCCTGAACTACTCACATCAATATTGTACTTGCGAATGTGTTGTGTTCCACAAAATAAATGGATTATAAGTCTTTGCTTCCTGTGCATTTTGGAAACCTGCCACTGTCTTTCCACTTGTTAGCTGCTTTTTAATGGAGAGCCAAAGGAGTGAAAAACCCAAGGACATAATACATATCAGCAGTCTGTGTTTTGTCTCCTGCTGCAGTCCCAGGCATGGCCTGTAGTTCTGAGAGGCCTAGACCTGATTGGAATTGCTCAGACTGGCACTGGGAAGACCTTGTCCTATTTACTACCTGGCTTCATCCACATGGACCAGCAGCCTGTGTAAGGGCACTGTTTTGTCTTTAGTCTGAAAATAAAATGTTCTTGTAAGGTTTGTTGGCTCTACGGGTGGTTACAAATCAGTTGTTTATTTAATCTGAGTGAAGTTAAAAGGACAGAGATGTCGTGTGCTCCTTCAGTTTCTGTTTGATCCCAGATGCCATTGACTTGTGCATGCTGGTGAATGCCTTTCAGATTCTAAGCCCTTTTAATTTATGTCTTTGTATAGACCCAAGGACAAGCGTGGTGGTCCTGGAATGCTGGTCTTGACTCCCACTAGAGAGCTGGCCCTACAGATTGAAGCAGAGTGCAGCAAGTACAGCTACAAAGGCTTCAAAAGGTACATATGTGTCTTTGCCTGTTGTTTTGTTCTTTTTGTTTTTTTTTTTGTTTGTTTGTTTTGGATGAACAGGTACCCTCATGTTTATTATTTGTCTGGCCTATGTACAGTATCTGTGTTTATGGAGGAGGTGACAGACGGGCACAGATAAAGATGGTGACCAGTGGTGTTGACATAGTGATTGCCACACCAGGGCGACTAAACGATTTGCAGATGAACGAGCTCATCAACCTGCGCTCCATTACCTACCTGGTATGTACAGGTTGAGTGATTGGCATAGTATGTAGTGCTGGAATGAAACCAGTTAGAACTTAGAAAACAGGTTTGGATTGCAAAAGCCTTTGTGTAATGGTTGTTTTTTTTCCCTCCATTCATTGTTTTTGTTCATTCATTCATTTGACGATGACAGGTATTGGATGAGGCAGACCGAATGTTGGATATGGGCTTTGAACCTCAAATCATGAAGATCATTCTGGATATTAGGCCTGACAGACAAACAGTTATGACCAGGTTAGAGACTCACTGAGCTTTTTCTAGTATTAGCATAGCAGATCTATAAGGATGTCCTGAGAAAAATGATGGCTTGTAGTTATTTTTTTCCCATTTATTTATTTATTTATTTATTTAAAAATTTTTATAAATAACCATTTTAAATTCTTAATCTATATACATCTGTAGATGTTGTATTCATTTGATCCTATAATCTTAATTATTCCTATTAAGAACATAAATCACAATCAGTTGTGTGTTTAATCCCTAAATATCATTTCTAACATTGTAGCTGCATTTAGCACTATTCCTTCACTTTTTCTGTAACTCTCCTGTCTGTAAATCTAGTGCCACTTGGCCAGCAGGTGTGAGACGTTTGGCCAGGTCCTACCTGAAAGATCCCATGATGGTGTATGTTGGCACCTTAGATCTAGCAGTAAGTTGGCACTTGCTCTATGAATTAATCTGGAGTTTGGCACACCTTTTCTTATTCCTTCACTGTCTGCCTGTGTTATTCTGATACTTCACACATATGGTATAATTTTAAAGGTAAATTTAGGTATGTCATGACTGTGGCTATGGTTAAAGAGGCAATAAGGTTAATTAGCCTGTATTACCACTATTGGCAGATAGATCCTTGCATAATACACGTACTGATCTCTAAGAATTTATACTTGTAGTTCAATTCCATTAGTCTGGACCAGAGCAGAAAATGATACATTGTTGCATACACAAGATTTAAACAAAAGTCATAGGAGTAACAGATTGGGCAGATTTTATGATATGCAATAACTGGGATAATGTCTGCTGAACTTTTTGAAACAAGTCATTCTCTGTTCTGTCTGGGCTCATAGGTTTTGTTTGTCTTGTTTTATCTGCCTGGTGATTTTAGAGAAATAGGCCAGGAGACTCCATGTGTTAGTGTGGTTTTGCACAACACAAAGCAGGGTAAATTTCTTGTAACACAGTCTTGAGTGGCACTAACAGAGCAATTGGGGGGGGGTCATTTTAATCAATCCAAACCTGCCAAGTCTGAACGCACTCTAACGTTTAATGATTACTATGATCTTATTTAGAAAATAAAAATGAGACAGTATATTGCAGTACTAGTTAAGTACCATAAGTGAGAGCTGCTTGTTCATACTTTTTCTCCTAAGTGTCATTTGAGGAATTTTCATATAAGTTTTTAATGTTATTTTGACCAAAGAAAGCTGTGTAAAATAATAAAATCTGTCAGTTGTGAAGTCCTAGTTATGCAAATTTGGTCTGGATTCTGATCTTTATTTTGACATTCCTTGACACTAACTTGTTCCGGTACAGGTCCTTAACGACCTCACATTCTCAGAGTCTGAAATCGTTTCCATCGTCACTTGGATGGCTCTCAGTACTGCTGCTTTTGAAGCTGTGGGAAGTTGACCAAAAAGGACCAGATTCTGGACTCTTATGTTTATTCCGTAATTCAAATGCCCCTCTGAGATTCTAGTCACCTGCTGGAATTAGGCTGGAGTTTTAGTTGGTTACAGTTGTAACTTAACCATGCCTCAGGCTTTGGCTTACACCAGACATCCTACGTTGGTAGAGTATGGTCTCAGAAGTCAGCTGAAAGAAGTGTTTGTGGGGGAGCACGCTTGTTTTTCCATACTTAAATAGAAAGAGGGAATGAATGCAGTGTTTAAGCTCTTTGAGCTCTACAGGATAAAAAGGTGTAGCCATAGGTGTAGAGTCTGAGGAATCAGTAGGTGTTCACTACAGACATGTAATCAAACCTCAACAGAATCTGTTTGATTATAAGTTAAACATGCAGTGTGGTGCTGAATATACACTTACTAACTCAATCTTTTAAAGCTACTAGTCAAACTGATGGTGATGAGCATGTAAGGACATTCATATCAGATCATGTATAGATTATTTGTTTTTCAAAACATTTTACTAGATAAGTTTAGAAGATCCCCAGTGAATTCCCCATAATTATCTCACTTACACACTCTCACTCTCTCTCGTTCTATCTTTAGGCTGTGGACACAGTGCGGCAAACGGTTCTGTTTGTGCAGGAAGAGGAAAAGAAAGCTTATGTCTTTGACTTCATCCACAAAATGGAACCTCAGGACAAGGTGTTGATATTCGTTGGGAAGAAGATTGTGTGAGTTTCTAGCTAAATTTAACTGTTTATCCAGCCAAACCTTTGTTTGGTAATTCCATTAGCTGAAATTCATTGCCTCCAGTTGAAAGGGAAGTGAGAGCACACAGCTTTGCATTATAGTAGAGCAGACTCAGCATGCTCTTATTACATCATGTGAAGTCAACTACCCGCCTTTTTTAACCAATAATTACAACTTGCGGCATTTCTGTTGATTTGAAATAAGTTCCCTCCCGCTGCTCTGCATCCGTTTGCCCAAGCACACTGTTAAGCATGAACCGTGTAGCAGAAGCGTTTAGGAGAAATGGCTTAATTTCATTGGAAAATGAAACTTTTGGTTATTTCTGGGTGGGGCTTCAGAAACTGGCGAGCCTACATTATATGCTCACCAGTTGCATTGTAGCGCTTAGAGTCTGACAACATTCCAGGTGAGCAGGGATGGCTTTCATGCCATACATGTCTCATTTTGCTCTTACTTGTACTAGAAATAAATATTAAAATACAGAATGCCATGTTTCCAACATATTCAACCTTCATCAACCGTTATCAGTTATATTGCCACGAGTCATTTGCATTTAAACAGTTTAATTTGTATATTTGTTCTAGCCTTCTCAGTGGTCAAATATTACACCTCAGTCAGACAAGTGCAGTCAGACAAGGCCATCAGCAATAATTAAACATTGAATGATACATCTAAGAACAGATAAATTAGAATAGGGGTGCTCAGTCCTGCTCATGGAGATCTACCACTTTGCTAAGCTTAGCTCCAATCCTAATCTAATGCACCTGTTCCAGGTAATGAAGTAGTAAGGTAATGAGGTCTTCAGGGGCATCGGAGCATTAGAGCCAGGCGTGTTCTCTGAAATTTTTAGAGTGGTAGATCTCCAGGACTGGGACTGAGCACCCCTGAATTAGAAAAAAAGATGATAATATTTGTTTTCTATTATTGTTATTTCTATTATTTATTATGCACACATTTCAAGAGTCGAATGAGAGGTGAAAAATAATGAAAATCAGTAACATGGAGGTGCTCATCTTCAACATTACAAGAGTAAGCAATGGATCCTAATAAATAAAAAGTAATTCAGAAAGTGTCACTTGTCGGTACGTCTACATTAATGCTACATTACATAGAATGTCTTAACTGTGACAAGGAGCCTAAATAACATCATATGAATAAATACATTTTTAAGTGACTTTTTTGTCCCTCCCTTACCAGTTATGTATATTCTGATTGTCCTACTTCTGTTTATGTGGCACTCAGGGCAGATGACCTGTCCAGTGATCTTTGTCTGCGAGGGATAGCAGTTCAGTCCTTGCATGGGGACAGAGAGCAGAGTGACCGTGAAGAGGCCTTGCAGGACTTTAAAGATGGTATGATGGAAAATGCATGCAAGCTACTGGGAACTAGTTAATATTTGGGCTGCACAACTCATAATTTGCTAATTGTAATTGTGATACTGATCTTTGCAATACTGGTGCTAAGTGCCTGCTTGGACCTTTTGTTGCTGTATTCCACCATTCCAGATCCCTCTGCTCACAGCTGGTGGGCGTTTCTGGGTTATAGAAATGAAGAAATATATTGAACATATCTGGGGCAGTAAACTGATACGCTGTTTGCTGTTCCATATATACTTACAATGAGACTGAAATAGAGACTTGTGCTTGTGTAATTTTCAGAATGCATCAGTCATCCACAGATTCTAGAAAGTTAGCTCGCTCAGTCTCACTAGCAAGCGAGCTACCTCAGCATGTAACCTTGGAGCTTCTTATAATTTAAATTTTTGCCTTCCTGCATGAACCGTGTAAACTACATGCAAATGAACATCTTCCCTTCAAATCTTCACTGTCAAAAGTTGTATATAAAGCCAGATATCATTATTATGTAAAACTGTAATGAATTCAAAGAAGAGTAAGAGAGCCACTGTTGCCTTTCTCTGAAAGTAGAGAGGTGCAACAACCGTTTATGATAAAGACAGGCCTACTCTTGCACACTAAACGTAATGCAGCAACCACACTTATTTGCATAAAGTTTAAATCTGCGAGGCAAATTTCGCCACACTACAACCTATCATGCACAGCGCGATGCAGCAAAGCGCTTTGCTGAAGTGAATAGGATGCAGAACCATAATATCACAGAATATTTTGGCAATATGCAAACAAGTCTCTAAGTTTGTTTTTAACACATTACCAGGCATAATGAACTGGCAATATATTAGCACTATATACTGCAATGTATTTGCATAAACTATTATTTGTAGATTATCCACCTGTTTTTACCCCTTATGGCATTGTTAAGAAGATATTGAGTGGAATGTATTGTTTAGTGTGTTTGCACTGGCTCTATGCAGGGCGTGTACGTATTCTAGTGGCCACAGACCTGGCCTCTAGAGGACTAGATGTACATGACATCACGCATGTCTTCAATTATGATTTCCCACGAAACATTGAGGAGTATGTTCACAGAGTTGGACGGACAGGCCGTGCAGGGTGAGTAGATTCTACTGCGTATGTATGGTCATTTTTCCACTGCACAGTTAAATTTTGGTTTAAATTTAAAAAAAAAAAAATGTTTTTCTCCATTGGTCATCAGTTCAGTACCTAAGGCTTCAGTTTTATGGCTTTTGATACATGCTCAAGATTGTTACGAACAGGACCTAATGGCACTCGATGGTGTTCTCCTCTGGCTGAAGCCACTGACAGTCTACCAAATTCTTTGCTTTTCAACAACAGGTCAAGTCACCAAGCACTATTACATGACCAGAATGTGTAGTGGAAAAACGCCCTGTGAGTGAGATTTAGATAGTTACATTGCATGTTTTTAAGTGCACTAACCTGCCATGATTTTTCAGGCGATCTGGGACTTCTGTAACTCTGGTTACAAGAGGAGACTGGAAGATGGCAGCTGAGCTTATTCACATTCTGGAGAGAGCGAGCCAGGTATCACACACATACATCCTCCTCAGATTTTAATATAGTGTCTGTGTTTTTATCCTGGTCGTGGAGTACCACAGGCATGTGCAAATTTGGTTCCCTTGCTTCCAAGACACCTGATGCACTAATTAAGTTGAAGGGAGTATATTAAAGCAAGTATGAATGAGCATGTCTGGCAATGGTGCTCATGAAGCACGTTCAACAAGTTGCAGCTTAACAAAACCTAACAAATGCAGCATCAGCTGACTCATGACACCAGTTAACTTCCTCTGTTCATCCTGGATTATATACTCATGCTATGATTAATTCTCAGACACGTGCACATGAAAGTTTGACAAACAGTCAGTAAAAAGCAACCTTGGTGCTTACTGGAGTAGTAATTGTTTCATATTCTTGACATCTGTGTTTACTCCAGTGAAAAGCAGTACATTTCATGTGAGGAACTCAAATAATGGTTTCACCTCTGTCTGAAGTCTGTCCCTGATTGGTCAGATGTGTGGCCCGGATTGATCTAAGGGCTATCTATGATCTGAAATCCCAAGCTTAACTTGTCCTGGAGCAGGTTAGGCATGCAGCATTGGTTATCATGGTGATGTAGCCTGGTAAAAAGTTAGATTGGGTTAGATCGAACTAAGCTTCAAGTTAGCTAGCTTAGTAAAAATGTCTGCTTTGTATGATAGGCCTCAGGACCAGTAATGTGAACCACTGGTACATGCCAATCCATGTGCCCCTGTAAGGTAAACCCCCTCTTTCCAACACTGTGTTAACACTGCACATGAACAGTGTCTCACTCTTTGGTTCCACTGTGTTGTAGGAGGTACCAGAAGAGCTGGTACTGATGGCAGAACGCTTTGACAAACACCAGAGGGAGAAAGAGATGTTCACCGCCAAACCCAGAGGAGGGAGAGGTGGTAGTGGAGGAGGAGGTGGAGGCCGAGGAAGTGAGATAAATGGTGGTGGAGGCAGAGGTGGGGGCAGAAGTAAAGGAAGAAACGGGTTCAGAGGAGAGTTGGATTGGCACTTGTAATCTTAGAAAGGTAAAGCTTGTTTTATTAACTTCAAAACCCACAGTAAGAAGCGTACCATATTCTTGATATGAAGTTAGTATTTTGTATTTAATTCAAGTGTAACTCAAGAGAGATTAAACAAGCTTGACGGCAAATAAAAATTAAGAACAGAAACACAATTCAAAGTTTTCTTTTCTTATAGCTACTTCATTTCCAAGTAGCCTAGATTCAAGAAGCGTTACAACTTGCAGATCAACCAAATGTAATTTTTACCTCCTTCTAATTTCCTATAAAGGATCTATAAAATGTTGATCTGGAGAAGTATGTTAAGCTCCAAATAAGCAAATTAAGGGTACACATTGAATTACCTGAACACTAGTTAAATCTAGGTTGGTACTGTGGGTTCCTAAAGGTTGGTGACGTTACTTCATTGCAATTCAATGATCACCAAAGAAACAAAGTCACGTCTTTTGCTTTTTGTTTTATTTAAAAAGCGTTTATGACTGAAGTGACTAAATTGTTCTAAAGAAACATGTCAGTCGATCTTAAATCTCTAATCTGGACTAGCTGCAGTTTGCAGGCCAGGATAGGATTTTAGTATTACAACCACACAGTGTTTCCAGTACAACCAACAACGTTGCTTATTATTTTTAGAATAGTATTTAAAATGAAAATTTATTTATTGATTGATTGAATAAGACTGAATAGGATACTTAGAAATGTTATCACTATTTCCTATACTGAAAAGACAAACCTTTGAAAGAAATATCTTCCAATGTACCATACATTTGCAAAAAAGGTTTGGAGACCATTTCTAGACCAGCTACTAAATGAAGCACACTCCACATAGCAAGTAGATCAAGATGTAATCTTCATCCATAGACTCAGATGTAAGAATACAAATTGGACATCAGCACTTTAACGTTGTGTAAACACTATATTAAAATGTTCAACCTTTTGTTTTAGAAAGAAGAGGCCGATCACATTCATCTAGCACCAGCGTTGGGTTTCCATTGGTGTTTTTTCCAAAAAGCAAAAATATATTCTTCTTTAAGGGGTGCATGTTATTCAGTTTGATTACATTGTTGTTAATGTACACAACTCTAAGACGAGGAAAGTGATGTAGCTATACAATGTTTTGGTTAAGTTATATTGAAATAAACATCTCTAAAGAACTGTTCTTTGTCCTGTCCTATAACACACAACACCAGCTTATTTTCTAAATATACCTGTAGTGGGTGTAGGTTTTTTTTGTAAGCAGAGACAAATATGTGAATCTAAAAAAAACTTTATTTTCCACTATATGAAAGACACAAAAATAATCTTAAGTAAAATAAAATAATAGATGGACAATTACACTATTACTACACTAAGTACTGAAGTTGTATACATTTATGAAGTACACACATCTGAAGTGAGCTTGACTCAGCGGAACAGAGGAAAACTGTTGTTGCGCTCGTACTCTATGTAGTCGGCCAGTAAGTTGCAGCTTTTTTTGTCTATGCCGGCCGACTTCAGTAGGTTGTGCGAGGGGACGAAGAAGTTGGGCAGCTGTTGTTTCCTCAAGTGCTCTTCGAAGTCGTGGAGGAGCAGCTGGAAGCAGTGGCTGAGTTGGTCAGCAGCCCATTCGCTGTCTTCCACACGGTTTGCACATGCATGGAGCAGGGTGGTCTTGGCATGGTACGAGCACAGCTTAGCTGCCTCCTTTGGGTACTTCTCCTTCAGTCTTTGCACCAGGTACTTCAGCAGCTTCAGACACTGCTTCCTGAAAGAAAACATCAACCACTGATGACTGTTCTCACAGTATTCCTGTATTTCACTCTGAAGGTTTTATACATGTGAATCTTGTGATTAATATTGTATGGTAGTGATGTACAAGGTAACGGTTCATAAAGAAAGTTGCATAACTCTCTTTGTTAGTCAGTGATGCATCCATTAAACTGCCTTGAAAATAAGGCCAGAATGAGTAAAGGTACTTTCAGACTCTGGATTGTAACGGTTACCTGCAGCATGGTCGGGTCTCGCAGCAGGTCTTGGAATGGCCGTGGTTTTTCAATATTTCCTTCTCTACATGTGAAAAGGAGATGCGCCATGCGTCTGTCCAGGAGACACATTTTAGATTTTTAATTTTTCATTTTCTTTCACAACCAGAACTTCTAATAATACCTAAACTCTTTGAAACAAGAAAGTGTCATCTACCATAAATGTATTTATTTACGTATCTGATAGCATTATTTACAGACTCTTACCCTTGGCGATGACCCCGTTTTGTTCTCTTGTGCCTCTGCCCTCGTATTTGGACACCAAATAATAGGGTTTGCGCTTAAGATCCGTTTTCACTTTTTTGCTAAGCCAGTTGTCGATTTTGAATCCGTCCACTGTGAAAGGGGGCCAGCTTGAGCTGTGCACCTCCAGCCCCAGGACAAAGTCCAGAGAGATGAGCAAGTCATCCTTCTTCACCTGCAGGGTCACAGCTGGGCAGCCCTGCTTCTTCCTGTCGACGGTAACATCTGAAAAAAACGAAAACCGCAACATTAAAACCACAAAAACAGGAGACAGGCTGCACAAGGAGCTCAGTTACGCATGCGTACATCTCCACTAACTCATAACAACTTACACGGCAGCTTGGCTGCGGCTTCCTTCACTTTATCCCTGAATTCTTTGAGCATTTCACTGGCCCTGATGGTTTTGTCTTCGTTGAGAAATCTGTCTAAAGGATGTTTCTGATGGCGCTTCATTGCCACGCTGTAGAAGGCGCCGTCCTCTCCGAAAGGCTGGATGTCCACTCTCTCCACGGAGACGGCCAGCATCACGTCGAATTCATCACACTCACAAATCTGGAAATTAGTTAAACGTTAGAGTTGAGAACAAAGATCAAGTCAGTAAAAAGACAAGCACTGTTAGCTAAGAATCTTCAAGATGACTTACTTTAACGTTTTCGTAATGGCTTCCTGTCTTGAGCACCTGGATTCTTTTACACCAGCCCAGACTCGCTTTCACATGTTTATTTATAGCGTCCTGGATGTCATTCACGCATTTCGTCGCCTCGCTTTTCTGATTTTTCCTGATCTTTAACTTTTCAAGGGTGTCCTGGAGAATTCTGGCTGGATCGTCGTCCATGCTGTTACCTTTCTTCGGCGGACTTCTGGGAACTTTTTTCCCCTCTGCACTCTTTGCAGTACATGGCTGGTCGTTAAATGCGCAGAGAGGTTCGCTGGAAGCGGGCGGTCGTGTGTCCCGGGGCTGCGCACCGCGTCTCGCTTTGTTGTCTGCATTTTTCTTTTCCTCTGCCTTTTTCTTTTGCTCCGGCTTTTTCTTCGCCTCCGCGGGTGCTTCCACGTCTGCGCTTCCCCTGCTCTGCTCCTCAGCCTTTGCTAAGCTTTTTCTCCTGCCGGACCCCGGAGCTTTAGCCCCTGGTCTCTCACCTGGCGCCTCATCGACTTTCTTTCCTCTGCCGCTCATCGTGTGTAAAAAAGGAGCTCTTTACTCATTCTGAGCGCTTATAAACCGTCTTGACGTCAGAGGAGGCAAAACCCAGCCTGGGCTCTCCCCGTTCCGCATCTTCGCTTTTTTAATTTTCACTTCTTCCTGATACGAAACGAAAGTATCGTTCCACCGTAACTCCTTTAAGTTTTCATTATTATTATTATTATTTATTATTATTATTATTACTCCCTCCTTCACTAAAGTAGAACCGTGAATATTCCTCCAAACCCCCACCTATCAGTTTACAGGATCATAGATTGTGATACGAGAGTGGAAATAAGTATGTTCAGTGTCACCTCATTTGGCCTCCAACGTTAAATTAGAGGTTGGGTCTGTGGTTTGTTGAATGCAGCGACGGACAGTGGATGTAGTTTCCTTTAGAATTTTACTTGCATGCATTTGTAAATACATGTATGTGCATTTGTTTACATTCATTTACCTAGACCAGGGGTGCCCAGTCTTGCGCCTGGAGATTTACATCCCTGCGTAATTTAGCTGAAACCTACCGTATGCAGGTAAAAAAAAAAAACATTGTGGGCGGCTGGACACTCCAGGATGTAGCTTTCCAAGGCAGGATTGAGCACCCTTGACTAAGGCAGTATCAAACGTTAGGATTTGTTTGAGGCTTACATTGAAGGGCCTCTGGTGACCTCTTCTGGCAAATTGTGGATTAACCATAGGCGAGTGTACTTTAATGTTTAAAACTGTCAGTGTTGCTGAAGAACTGTATTGTAAAATGTTTTCAGTGTCTGTTTTTCTTGATTATTAGGAAAAAGCATTAAGCAAAATTAATTTTGAGGGAAAACAAGTTCAGACATTTGTTACGGTTAGAACATCTTTAATATGACATGAAATATTTTAATACTTTGAACAGTAAGGTGCAGAAGCTAAAGCCAATTAAAAACAAGTGCCTGTGCAGGACCAGCTTTACGCCAATCAAAGTGCTTGGAGGTTCAGTCAGTGCTCCAAAGATTTGCATGCGCCCGATATGGACGATTGGAAAGATTAATTCTTATTTTCCGCTTAGTTTCTTTAAAGCTAAAGTAGTCTAAAAGACTACAACATAAAGTCATTTAAGTTATTAACAGCAGCGGAACTTCTAAACACAGTGAACTGCGAACAAACACTAAAAGCAAGACAACAGTGTGAGAACCAGACTAAAAACTGCACTCCAGAGTTGGAGAGGGCAGGGTAACTTTTCCTCTCAATAATTCTTAATATCACACATGGTGTTAATGGTCATAACCCGAGTGAAAAAATCACATTCTGAATAGTAACAAGCTAATATTACAAACAAGTTTCATAGTATGGATTTAAAACTCAAACAAGTTGTCTTGAGTACTGCTTTGTTAATTCCTTCTGATACTTTTACGATGCATTGGAACAATTAACCAGTCTCTGACAATGGAGTTTAAGCAGCCAATGGGATGGAGCTGGGTGACCTCTGTTCTGCCATATGTGACTCTGGAGTTGGCAGTCAAACACAATATTCATTTGGCCTTCTGAGCTTTCTGAGCAGACTTGGTGACCTTGCCACCGGTCGGAGCCTTCTTCTCAACTCCCTTGATCACACCAACGGCCACAGTCTGACGCATGTCACGCACAGCAAAGCGCCCTGCGAACCACACAGAAGAGTCAGTCGTTCTATCTAATTGCTAATTTTTGGCTTCACAAAGTCACTGAACTGACCAAAATTCCTCTTATTCCTCCACTGGCTGACTGTGTATTATAAAAAATACATATGCACTGTGCATACGAACATTTATTTCATCCTTTAGTAAAGGCTTGATTATTTTACTGCTATGTCAGGAGAAGAGAGCAAGTGACCATACACTCACCAAGAGGAGGATACTCAGAGAAGCTTTCCACACACATAGGCTTTCCAGGGACCATGTCGACAATAGCAGCATCTCCAGACTTCAGGTTCTTGGGATTATCCTCTAGTTTCTTCCCAGAACGACGGTCAATCTTCTCCTTCAGCTCAGCAAACTTGCAGGCAATATGTGCAGTATGGCAATCTAGCACTGGGGCATAACCAGCACTGATCTGCCCTGGGTGGTTCAGGATGATCACCTGATGGGAAAATGCTGACTTCATCAAGTTTGGTCACCCATCAAATGGCATTATTAACACCTGCTATAACAGATGTTTAAACTACCTTTTGAAATGGCATTAATGCTGGGGGTTTCTCATAGCCTTTATAAAGAAGCAACTCACTTGAGCAGTGAAGGTAGCTGCCTCTTGGGGTGGGTCATTCTTGCTGTCCCCAGCAACGTTTCCACGACGAATGTCTTTCACTGAAACGTTTTTGACATTGAAGCCCACATTGTCTCCAGGCAAGGCCTCAGACAGAGCTTCATGATGCATCTCTACAGACTTAACTTCGGTGGTCACATTAACAGGGGCAAAGGTCACCACCATGCCAGGCTTCAGAATGCCAGTCTCCACACGGCCCACAGGGACAGTTCCAATACCTAATAATATATAAAGTTCAGTCACTTTCACCCTATGTGGGTTAACATTTCAACTTCAGTATCATGATGGCAATGCAGGATATATTTTGCTCTACCAACTGATTCAATAATAAATGAAATTCATGCAGAATGCATCACCTCCAATCTTGTAGACATCCTGCAGGGGCAAGCGGAGTGGCTTGTCAGTGGGACGGGTCGGGGGCTGAATGGCATCCAGAGCTTCCAGGAGAGTAGTTCCAGATACACTCCCCTCCTTACGAGTAATCTTCCAACCTTTGAACCAGGTCATCTATAGAAATGACACATTTTATCAGTAATGGTCTTATGTTAATAACAAATGTTCAGGAATGTTGTTCAGGCACAAGACAAAACGGTGGATTGATCTGATGATTCACTCATGATATAGTTTGTTTATGGAAAAGAGCTGTTAGTTCCCTAATCCCACGCACATTGGGGCTGGCCTCCAACATGTTATCACCATTCCAGCCTGAAATTGGAACAAATGCCACAGTTTCTGGGTTGTAGCCAATCTTCTTGATGTAGGTGCTGACTTCCTTCACAATTTCCTCATAGCGCTTCTGGCTGTAGTTGGGCTCTGTGGAGTCCATCTTGTTGATGCCTACAATGAGCTGCTTGACGCCCAGTGTGTAGGCTAGAAGAGCGTGCTCTCTGGTTTGGCCGTTCTTTGAGATACCAGCTTCAAACTCGCCAACACCAGCTGCCACAATCAGTACAGCACAGTCTGCCTGGAGGACAGAGGGAGGAAAAATATCAGAAACATGGTTATTTTAGTGAGACTTATAGCAGTTATCTTATTAATGTATGAGGAATTAATATTTTAAAAAGAAATTACTGACAAAATGTGTATTTCCATATTTGGTGTTAATTTAAAAAAAAAGGAAGAAACAACATGCATTGATTATCGCAAAAGACTTACCTGGGAGGTGCCAGTAATCATGTTCTTGATGAAGTCCCTGTGACCAGGAGCATCAATGATAGTGACGTAGTACTTGCTGGTCTCAAATTTCCAGAGGGAGATGTCAATAGTGATACCACGTTCTCGCTCTGCCTTCAGCTTATCCAACACCCAGGCATACTTAAAAGACCCCTTGCCCATCTAAAACATTTTGGAAGATAACGTAAGAATGCCAGGATTCAATCCAGTGTGTTATATGGGAAAACAAGCATCTTGCATTATGTTAAAGCAGGAATTATTAAAGAAAAATGTTTATTCTAAAAATTTGACAGTTTAGAATTCTATTTAACGGTTTTACCTCAGCAGCCTCTTTCTCAAACTTCTCAATGGTTCTCTTGTCGATCCCACCACACTTGTAGATGAGGTGGCCAGTCGTGGTGGACTTGCCAGAGTCGACATGGCCAATGACCACAATGTTGATGTGGAGCTTCTCCTTTCCCATGGTGGGTTATATTGAGCTTGCCGATGACACTACAAAGCCTGCTGCAGAAAAAGGAACGCAAGTGAACTATTTGATACTACAAATGTAACAAACCATTGTATCACGTTGGTTCAAGCTAAGCAAGTGCAGTTGTGGTTGAAGAAGAATTTCTCAGAATAGATGGACAAATGTGCTGTACTGATTGCAGTATGCTCAAGGAGCCCTCAACAAGAGAATATCCAGTGTCTACAGCACCATGGACAAGGGCAGAAACCAGAGCACACACATGCACGCTGCTCTTTTGCAGTCTGTTTCAGCATGGGTCCATCTTGAATTGGGGTAATGTGGAACACAGCAAACATAAGACTAAAAGCATGTTTTCTTTAACATTTCTTTTGTCGTGTTACTCGTGAGCATGATAGGTGACACCAGGCGGCATGAAGCACAAAAGCCCTTCTTTCTCGAGTCTCTCTGCTCATTATGCTGTCCCACACCCTCCTCTGCTCCTGCCGTCTTGCAAATGCTTGACATCTGCTGGCTTAGTCACACAGCTCGGGCTACACCGGGCTGATGTAACTGGATGAGCATGCTTTCTTCAATACTAGAGAAATCACTAGTCGTGCTGACCTCCATTTTGTAAGGACTATTCCTAGTTAAAAGACTACAGCAGCCATTTGAGATAAAAAGGGATGTACCAGATGTAACGGCTCACTATCTGCTCTTGGTTCCGAGATATAAGACAAAATGCAGAATGAATTGTAACATTTCGTCATACAGCATCATTTCATTCATAATTTATCATACAGCTTAATATTCACTGATTAGGAATTCGCCGCGTTAAGGGTCGATACAGAATTTCACATGACGCTTTCTTGCTGCTTGCTTTAGGAGTAAATGCGTAATGCTGATAGTGCTAGTAGCCTAATTCCCAGCTTAACTTCAGGGGTTAACAGAAGGGCTATTCTTGCCGAGGTTACTTACCTAACAATCGTCTAAAAAGGTTACGAAATGACGCCGCTCGCGACGGGATGCGCTTCAAACGCCTCACTCACTGACCGCTTTATTCGTTTTCATTAATGTCTTCGGTTCTGGAACGTTCTACCACATTAGCTACCGTGTGCAACGCACAGAGACCACTCAGACGTCTGGCGGGGAATTAACGGCACAATCCCTTCATCTGCAGCTGCCGCCATATTCTCTGTCTTACTCTCTCTCATCCCTGACTGGATCTAATACAGTGTCGAATCCGAGCATCAGCATGTTATTTCGCACAGTATGGACTAATTCAAAGCCACAGCTACAGCACTGCCTAAAAAGCATTACACGGCGTCCATTCGTCCCTGTTGGTGTGCGCACAGACGGGGGAGCAGTACTGTACCTGTGCTGGTGCAGAGCCGCGCTGCTGCTGGAGAGACGGACGCGCGTCTGCGCACCGCTTTTATTGCGCACCAGAGCGACTGCGCAGTAGCTACAGCACAGGCGCAGCCACATCACTAACACCAAGCATAGACACTAGGTTACCTTCTGCTCTCCTTAGCTTTGCTGTTAGAAAAAAAAAAAACGACACTGACTATTGTTTAAGATTACTCTAAACAAATGCAGGTATACAGCATGAGTCAGTTTGATGGCATATGCGCAACAGCCACGTACATGATGGCAGACTAAGAACACTGAGGACGGTGGACTGATACTAAAAACTGTTTTGTCCAAAGAATGTGTTATATAAGCTTGTAGAGGACATTACATTCTATTACATGAACAAATACTAAAAGCTCTTGAATTAGGAGCAATTCATCATTTTTTTTATTAATGACCAACACTACATGAACAAATGAGTCCAAACCAGGCATCATCAATAAATGTCCTTTATTTTCTTTGAACAGCTTTTCTGGCCAAAAAGCAATAATACAGATGCAAGAATTTCCTCCTCAATCCCGACAGATGGCTTATATATATACACTGCATCAAAACATTTATACCTGCATTGGGAGGAATTATTTATTTTCCTTGAAGGATTATTTTCTCATAATTCATTCTTACACAGAATTTATTCCTGAGAAATCTGAATTAATGTTTTAAGTAAACAAAAGTAATAAAAAACAAGTAAACAAAATACTCCAATTCCCTTTTTATGGCATCAAATAACAATATAACAATTAGAATGTGAAACAATAGAAAAATCTCAGAAAGCATGTGCGACTGTTTTATAATGTACTAACTGTTTCTACTGTGGAAGCCTGACCATAAGAAATGTTGAGACTAATGAAAAGGGATTTCTGATGAACATAAGGCACAACAGGAAGAAGAAAATAAGGCCCTTAAATCCATCATAGCTTATAGAGTGACACATGAAAGATAGCAATTGTGTTTTATGAGAAGCCTATGTTGTACTTTTAAAAACACAGAAGAGGAAAACTCATTCAAATTGATTCCCAAGATGCTTCAAAAGATTACAGTCTGTAACATTAAGAATTCACTATCTTAACAGATCTGGCTATGTACATATTGAAGTCAATGGAATGAAGGTGTGTTAAAGGACCATATTCCCACCATCTTCACAATGCTTACAGCTGGCACTTAATAATTCTAAATAGAAATAGAATGATGTGTCTAACTTATCAGTCAGTTGATAAAAGGACTGTGGAGTGTTACTACGGTGGAAAAAAAGCAACACCTGCAAGTTTTCTGTAGATAATGTCCATTACAGTCATTTACATGTAAAACATTACTACTGCACTTTGTTATTGAAAGTGCAAATGAAGAATGGGCATTTGAATGTCCTCCTTGAATATGTAATCAGAGGTGTATTATTAACATGGATAAGCTTGTTAGTTGGTTATCATTGTGGCTACTTACAAGTGAAATAACAGACAACATGACTTATAAGAGCATCATTTTACCTAGAACAGGTTTGCTTAACAGCCAAATGAACTGAACAAAAAAGGACATGGCATTAAATTGGTGTTGCTGGAAGCCCATTTTAGAGGTAAACTTCACTAGAGAAGTTTACTGAAAAAAAAATTAACATTAAATCAGTTGTGCTGAAGATTTCAAATGGAATCATCTGAATTAAGTCCACTGAAGTCTTAAACATTTTCCCACTTAGTACCTAAAAGAAGTCTTCTTTCACTGTATATGCACTCTGTGGACTGCCCAGGGCTGTACTGTACCTTTACCAAACAGTGTGTAAAAGAGAGCTCCAAACAGATTTATCCCAGCTGAGATGAAGAAAACTGTTCGCCACTCTAAAATGGTGTTCTAAAAATAAAATAAATACATAACCTAAACATAGATTCCAGTGACAATGCTGTAAAGACTTTGTTGCATGAGATAAATATAATTATTACTTTGATCTGAGCACTTAAGGACACACAAGAAAGGTTCTTGGCAGGGAGCACTTCACATCAGTTAATAGGAAAGGTCAACACAACTGGACAAGATCATGTTTGGCTATTATGTTAGATCACTGGGGCTCAGCACCACCAGTACAGACTGATATTACTGCTAAAACTGCATGCTGCATGATTTGTTGAAGTTTTGCATTCTGCGTTTTTTGAACACTGCTAAGTTTAGGCCTGTTGCCTAAATCCTATATCTTAAAACACACTAGCCATTTGACATCACTATACACACTATACTGTACAGGGATGTGTCCTATTCTGATTTCTTTTTAGGCCAATTGTTATTTTCATATTTTATTTAACTCAGAGCAAACACTATGCAGGCTAAATGAAAACATGGGTGCATAGGCTAATTGCTTGTTTGGAGCAAAACTCTGCTGATTCTGACTGTACATCCCTTCTATGCATATCCCTTCTGCAGTGTAATCTCTTGAGGAAATTTGACCATAATGATACAGGAAGTACAGAGGGAAAAAAAAAAAGACTTACAGATTTGGTCAGTGATCTTGCTATCACAGGACCCACCATGCCTGGTATAGTTGCAAAGGAGTTTGTGATTCCAAGTAAAATTCCAGCATATCTGAGGAGAGAATGTTAACAGTACTGAAAATATATTACATACCTTTAAACAACTTCATTGTTGCTTCTAAAAAAGAATTTTGCAAATACAGCCTTACGATGGCGCAATGTCTAGATGGTTGATGTTAAAGCCGGATGCTGAGAAGCCACCCAGAGATGAAGAGACGGTGAGGAAAATAACAGCCATGATGTAATTACAGTTAGTGTACCCTGCTGCTACCAGGAACACAGCGGGCCCCATCATGCCTGAAACAGAGAATGCAGAGGTTTGTAACCAAGATCTACCTGATGATGCATAATAGTTTGTAACAAAGATCATGTCATATGACAGACGACTTTACTGCAATAAAAAGATAATTACAGAAACATGTTAACATAAGATATTCACTTGAAATGGTGGCTTCTAAACTCACACACTGAAACTGCATTTTTGCATGCAATAACAATGCAAACTTTCAATCAATGCCACATTTTGTATTTCTATGTAGAAGAGGACATCATTTATAACTTGAATTTGATGAAAAGGTATTGTTGTGCATGTACTATTGTTTTGCCATGTTTTTGTCATTGAAAGAAACAGGAAACTTAAGCATGTCAATACAGAATATAAATCGAATTATTTTATTTCTATATATTTACTTGCGTGTGTGTGTGTGTGTGTGTGTATATATATATATATACACACACACACACACACACACACACACACACACACACACACACACGCCAGTATAATAACAGTAATAAACCTAAATGTCAAGGGTCATATTCTCATTAACGTTCCAACAATAAAAGTGAAAGACAACATCTCAACATCTGGAATTTCCCTAATCTTCCTGCGATGGCATCATGCTCTTCTTCACAGCACCACTCACTCTCACAAACAAACAGCTCTGTGGGGGATTATAAATTGCTCACCTATGATAGTAAAGGCCTTGCGTACAATAACAGTGCGAAAGAGGCAGGTCTCCCTCAGGTAGTCTGCCAACTGGCCTCCTCCCATTGACAATAACCAGCAGCCCAAGTAAGGCAGAGCAGAGAGCATCCCATTCTAAAATAACACAAACCAAGTTAAAACATTTTAAAGGATGACAGTTCAATTTATAAATTGACCTTTGGGCTTTGACAGTGAGATGTATCCACTGTTTGCACAGCTCACTGTGCACAGCTCATAAGCACCCATGTGCAGCCATTCAAACTGAAATGGGCAGCATCCTTTATGAATTACATATTATCATCCCATAAGCATGGAGGAGTCTTAAGTATTTTACACCAACCTGCTTAATGCTGAAGCCCAGTATGTCATTCATGTAGGTGGGCAAGAGAGTGAGTAATGTGTAGAATGTCCAGTTGTAAGAGAAATGCGCAACAACTATGGCCCATAATGGCACAGATGTGAGGATGGATGTCCATGGTATGTAGTCTGAGGTTGGAGAAAGCTGCAGCAGAAAGACAAATGAATGGTTACAATGTGCATACATAGTATATCAACTGTTGCATTAACTAACGAGTTCCATCCATTCAGAACAGGGATTAAAAAATATGTCTGACAGAAAAAATGACTACCTCATTTTTTAAAGAGGCTGTTATGTAGGTCCTCTCCGTCTCAGATATTCTCCTGTGTGAACTAGGACTGTTGCTGACCAGAAAAGCCCACAGGATAAACCACAGAAGACCAACAGCTCCTGCAAAAACAGAAATGAATCAGATGGAAAAATAATACAATGCAACCAGAATACACACTGAATTAATGAAATAAATGTATGATCTTGCGTTTTGCATATAGTCAGAATGAAATCTCCAAAATGCTTTACAGGAGGAGGAAAAAACATTCTTAACTTTGAATGGAAGTTGTTGAATTGTAATGTGAAGTTATCCTGAACTTCTATATGTCCATTTTGTGTTCACATTGTATATAAATATAGATACACAAAGTTTTGTTCTGACAACAGCTCTATTTTGGGCCATTTCTTTTGGTTTATTCCTAATGAAATTTACACACAATGTAAAAGGTAACAGGCTGAAAAATGGCAAAAATAGAGATACAAGGTTTTGTTCAGACTGCAGTAAGGTGTGTGTGTGTTTAAAAATAAATAAATGGAGATGCAATGATTTGTTGCAGTAGCTATATATATATATATATATATATATATACACACACACACAGTGCCTCCAAGTAGTATTCAACCCCCTGCAGATTTTGCAGGTCTACACATTTGGAGTTAACTTAGCATTGTGAAATTTGGACTGTAGATGGGCAAAAAAGAATGTTATTCCTCTGTTTATTAATTTTTTAAAATTTCGCAAAGTTTATCAGAGGGGCAATTGTTATTCAACCCCTCAAACCACCAGAATTCTGTTTGGTTCCCTCAAGTATTAAGAAGTAATTGAGGCATTAAGAACATTGAGCTTCACATGCTTGGATTAATTATCTGGTTTTTCCCACCTTTTCTGACTATAAAAGCCCCTCCCCAATCAAGTGAACAGCACTCATACATAGTCAACATGGGAAAGACTAAGGAGCGTTCCAAGGCCATCAGAGACAAAATCATGGAGGGTCACAAGGCTGGCAAGGGGTACAAAACCCTTTCCAAGGAGTTGGGCCTACCTGTCTCCACCATTGGGAGCATCATCCGGAAGTGGAAGGTTTATGGAACTACTGTTAACCTTCCATGGCCTGGACAGCCTTTCTAAGATTCCTCCCGTGCCGAGGCCAGGCTTGTCCGAACGGTCAAGGCTGACCCAAGGACAACAAGGAGGGAGCTCCGGGAAGATCTCATGGTGGTGGGGACATTGGTTTCAATAAATACCATAAGTAACATACTCCACCGCAATGGTCTCCTTTCCAGGCAAGCCCGTAAGGTACCTTTACTTTCAAAGTGTCATGTCAAGGCCCGTCTAAAGTTTGCTCATGATCACTTGGAGGACTCTGAGGCAGACTGGTTCAAGGTTCTCTGGTCTGATGAGACCAAGATCGAGGTCTTTGGTGCCAACCACACCCGGGGCGTTTGGCGAGAGGATGGCACTGCATACGACCCCAAGAATACCATCCCTACAGTCAAGCATGACTGGTGGCAGCATCATGCTGTGGGGCTGCTTCTCAGCCAAGGGGCCTGGCCATCTGGTCCGCATCCACGGAAAGATGGATAGCACCGCCTACCTGGAGATTTTGGCCAAAAACCTCCGCTCCTCCATCAAGGATCTTAAGATGGGTCGTCATTTCATCTTCCAACAGGACAATGACCCCAAGCACACGGCCAAGAAAACCAAGGCCTGGTTTAAGAAGGAAAAGATCAAGGTGTTGCAGTGGCCTAGTCAGTCTCCTGACCTTAACCCAATAGAAAACTTGTGGAAGGAGCTCCACAAGAGATGCCGAAAGAACCTAGACAACTTGGAGAAGATCTGCATGGAGGAGTGGGCCAAGATTACTCCAGAGACCTGTGCCGGCCTGATTAGGTCTTATAAAAAACGATTAATAGCTGTAATTGCAAACAAGGGTTATTCCACAAAATATTAAACCTAGGGGTTGAATAATAATTGATCCTGTTTTTAATATTTAGGCATTTGTTAATAAGTGCTACTTTTGTTCAAAGTTTGAAGGCTCTAACTTATTTGCAACTTGTTGAATTTGCAAAATCTGCAGGGGGTTGAATACTACTTGGAGACACTGTGTATATATATGTTTCCAAAACACAAAACAAGCCTTACCAAAAATGTAGAAAACATATGTCCAGTCCAAGTAAAAACATATCTGGCCAGACAAGGGGAGGGCTACCACAGTGCCAAGCTGGGCACCTAAAAGACAATTTAACTTCTTTTAGACAAACTGTTAAGCACCTTAAAGACATTAATTGTTACAGGTCATGTTGTACCTGCGTAAGAGATGGTGAGCAGTCGACTTCTTTCCAGTGGTGGGGCCCAAGATGCCCACATAGCATGCATAGCAGGAAATGTCACTCCCTGATCATCCACAGAATGCACAGAATTAGAATTAATATTTTTTCTCTCTACTTGAATGTTTATATACAGTGCTCTCCAAATTATTGACATTCCTGGTAAACATGAGTGAAATGGGCTGTAAAAAACATTCTTTTTTGTAATATTTTGATCTTTCATTCAAAATAATATTTTTTTTTATTAATTAAGAATACAAAATAATGTTTTTACAGCCCATTTTGCTCATGTTTACCAGATCAAAAGAACAAAAAAAACTTTTTTTTCTTTTGATCTTTGATTCAAAATACCAACAAAAATCTAAGCGTTATTTGATTTTTTTATTTGCACAATTACTGACAGAAAAAAAATCTCATCATGAAAATATTTTTATATAATATATTCAAAGATTTTTAATATTTAAGTTTGCTGGCTGGGGTTTTGTTTTAATATCTGCTGGTACTTGATGGAGTCTGTGACACAATGTATGTGAATAAACTGTCCAGGGCTTTTAGAAGAAAAACAGACCCAAAACATCACAGATACACCACCATACTGAGGTACTTTTCTATATGGCTATCTTTGTGTCTAGGCCAAACCCACCTCTGGTGTTTGTTGCCAAAAAGCTCTATTTTGGTCTCAACTTACAAACATGGTCCCACTGAAAGTTCCAATTACTTCTGGCAAATTGTTTGTTGGTCCTTGAAAGCAGAGGCTTTCTTCTGGCAACCGTCCCAAACAACTTGAGGTTTTATAGGTGGCGTTTGATCGTAGTTTGGGAGACATTCTGACTCCAAGGCCTAACTAGGGTCTGCAATTCACCAGCTATGATCCTTGGAGATTTTTTGGCCACTCAAACCATCCTCCTCAGTGTGCATGGGGGTCACTATAGACATACGTCCTCTTCCCAGCAGATTCTTAACATCTCCAGTTGCTTTAAAATTCTTAACTATTGCCCTGTGGAAATGGGAATTTTCAATTATTTAACTTTTTTTCTTTTAGCCATTTCCTGGATTGAGCAGTTCAACAACATTTGGTTGCACATCATTGCTGTATTCTCTTGTCTTTCTCATAGTGATGGATGACTCAGGGCATTTGGCCTGTGTCATCTCATATTTATATCATAATATCTATATCATATATCATTATAAATACATAAATATGAATGAGATTATATTTCAATTAGATTTCACTCAGAAGATTGGATTTAAATAAGATATAGGTTTATTTCTTTCAACCATTGTACTTTAAATAAAGGTTAGATTTTTGCTAATATTTTGAATGAAAGATGGAAAGAAAAACCAATACTGAATGTTTTTTATAGTCCTATTGTTCTTATGTTGACCAGGAGTGTCAATATTTGTGGAGGGCACTGTATATACTTACAGAGCATAGCACAGTCTGGGCCAAACAAGCTAATGTCTGTACACAAACACACACACTCTCAATTCAAAAGAAGGAACGTTACCTCCCCTATGCCCTCCAACACCCTGACTGCGATGAGGTAGCCAGCACCCAAGTCTGCAGCCACAGGAGTGAGCAGAGTGAAGATCACAGTTCCCAGGATACCAAAGCCCAGCAGCCACTTAGCACCATACTTGCGTGCCAGGTAGCCACCTGGTATCTGAGTGATTATGTAGCCATAAAAGAAGGAGCCCAGGATCCAGCCCTGAGTCTCCGAGTCCCAGTCATACACGCTGGCCTGAGGAGGGTGAACATATCATTGTGTACTTCACACTTTTTAAAGAGTGTCATCACATACTGACATCTATGACTGCAAACTAAAATAAAATCAAGGTGAATTTGGATACCACAGCATATTTCTAAACTCTTTTTAAGACTAGTATAATTGACTTTTTAAGAAAATGTTTTAGTAAAAAACAGTTCTTACTGTGTGGTTGTGTTTGGGGCGTGCAGGACTGCTGTGCCTTGGGCAGACGGAGTCATTGGCACCACTGCTGCTGCTGCTACTGTTTAGCATGTCCACCATTGCCACACTAAGATTCACCCTCAGTGCATATGCCACAAAGAACCCATAACAGGACAGTATGGCAAGGCCATAGCGTGAAGAGCAGAGCACCGGAGCTGTGGGAACAAAGGAACACGTATAAAGCATAAGCTTGCGATGAATGTTGTGTAGTGCATAGAAATATGCAGACTGATACATACTGCTACCTTTGAACATCAGTGCCCCTGTGTTGTGTACACTAACTGCATGACTGTAGCAGAGACCACAGACACGCCTTCGCTAACTGACTGCCAACTCATTCTTAGAACATTATTGCAGTGTAGACTACATTTTGCAATGCAAACTAATCCCATTGGTGTAGATACACAGTTCAAACAAGCGGTGTCTTGAAGATTCTCGGAAACTGAAGAGACGAAAACTGAAACGTTGAAGGATTTAAACACTTACATAGTTAAAACAAATGAGACACCCATTGTATGTCACTGTGTGGAGGTTAATTTAATGGCAGGTTTACATGAGACAATCAAAATTTACGGTTTAGATATGATTGTACAAAATTTTGAGCTTTATATGTGAAATTAAACAAAACATTAAGACATTAGCAACAGGAAATGCATAGCTAAAATTGTTGTTCCTAAGTATATTTGACCAAAAATATCATCTTTGTATGACTTGTGAGCTGTAATGTACAGTAAATGAGCACTCTTGTGAACTTGGTTAGTGAAGTAAGTAATGTGAGTCAGGTGCACTCACACTATCTGAACGCTGCTACACTTGTACCAAAATGTGAAAGTATAATTATGCATGATGCAATGTGCTAAAATACCAGGTGGATTTTATATTAATAGTATTTAATTTTAATTAATATATTAATTATATTAATTTGAAAGCACTTGATTTGATTCAAGTTATTTAAATAGAAAACACCATAAATAATTATGTTGCAAAAGTACTAGAAATATGTTAGTGTGTTTCATATGTTCCTTTAGCCCACACTGCGTGAGCTTCAGGTTTGGAAAAAACAACAACAAAAAAAAAACAAACAAAAAAAAACAGCCATCACCCAATTCTGCTGCAAAGAAATCAGAATTGGCTATAAAAATTCATGATCAGTGCATCTGTCATTCTTTTTTTCTGTTCAACAATTCATATAACAATATATATATTTTATTCAATATTGTAATTTTGTACTATACACATGTAATATGTATAACAATATGAATAGCAATACGTTAACAGCACAACACTGACAATTGTCACTATTCCCTTTATACAGTGGCATCCAAAAGTCTATGCACTATTTTTAAGTCACTATTTAAACGTAGGCACATTTGTGACACTGGCCATCTTAAGGCCTTTGTACAATAAGATCAGATATTTGAAAAGTTTAATCTCTTCCATTGAAGCCCATGTTTGGACGGCTCTCAGGAGGATCTGATCTGCTCGTCAGAAGCTTTTGCACAAACTTGTAGAGACCATGCCAGCTCGAGTGCATGCTGTCATTAAAGCAAAAGGGTTACATACCAAATACTAAGAAATTCAAATTTCTTTTCACTCAAATTGTTTACTGATTTAGCACCCTAAATGAGGCATGTATTGATACTACTACTGAATAATAGAATTACCGTCTTAAGTTTCTTAAATAAGGGTGCGCTCCTGTATCCACCCAGCACATGCGCCAGTTGTGCCACGTTGGGTGCGGTTTCCATTCCATTCATAAGCAGCACATAATCTGTATGCTGTTATTGGTGCCTGAAAGCTCCAGCGAGAGCTCAGTTGTCTCCTATCATAACAAACACCAAACAGGAAACAATGGCGAACCCTGGCAAAGAACAGTAAAACTGAAATACTTACTGAACCTAACACTTTCTGAAAGTGTCAATTCATCCTCAACAAGGACAGCTGCAACAGTGTCTAGTGACATTATTTTAACTGTAGATAGGTTATGCAACAATTTATGTAAGAACCAGTATAAGCCCTGTTGACCCTGGCTATTGAACTTTACGTTGGTAACAATCTGGATGGCCTGGAGAATATGATGTCCATAATTTCTATAAACAGTAGACTCAGTAGACTCTTTAGGCCACAATACACGTTTCCTCTGTGCATCAGTCCATTTCAGATGTGCTTGAGACCAGAGAAACTGGCAGTGTTTCTTAACATTGCTTCCACTGTGCATAGTACAATCTTAATTTGCACTTATGGATACAAAGTTGTGAGACTCTGTCCATCTTTGATCATAAAGAACTAGGTCTGCCCTGAATGATCCCTTTATACCCAAGCATGGTTGCAGCACCTGTTTAACTTGTTTTGGGAATGCGCTGCAGGCATTAGTCGTTTCAAAATGAGCATATATTTACAAAAGTAATGAAGCTGATACGGTAAAAGACTATCTTGTCATTGTACTGTTATCATATAAATAAAGGTCAAAGTGAAGTTACAAATCATTTCTTTTTGTTTTATTTGCATTTCACATAGGGTCCTTTTTTGTTATGTAGGTTTATAGGTTGTTCCTATTCTGGCCACCCATATGGTGACCTGTGCAGCTCACACTAAATTTCACAGATGGATATTATTCAACACATGTTTTAATCATTACTAAGGAAGGGTTTTTCCTTGGCAAAGTGCTGCTCTTTATAAAATGCTAGGCAGCTGATGGTAGTTTGACACTGGGGGATCATTTGGACAAAGCAAAGCAGTAGCTAAACAGTGCCTAATGACCAAATCTAGATCAAATGACACCAGACCAGACCAGTTCAGCAGCGAAGGACCACCAGCACACCATGGTGGACTGACATCTTCCCAGGTCCTCAGGTCTTGTACGATAACTATATCTTGGCCCATCTTATAAATAAGCTAACTTGGGTAGGTTTACACAGACATAAACCACCTAACATTTTTCTAAAAAACAAATGATTTAATGATAGGAGGAGGCTGACATCACTTTACCTACTTCCCAGAATTCAGTAAGAAAAGAACACAGACTCCTCGTTACTGACACTCCTCTTCTCTCATGATAAAGGAATAACATAACCATCACGCTCCTATAAACACGAGTGAGCCTTGTTGAAAATCATGTGACTGTGTTGTTCAGAAGTACATTAAAGGTAGTTTAGGCCACAGCTGTGTGCTTCTTCTACAGCTCACTGGCTGTTAGCAACAAGCTCTTCCCAGTCTGCTAGGCTATGTAAGTTAGAGGACAAATATGGCTATGATTAGTAACAAAACATTTGATCAGATCAGTCTTCATTTAATACTGACGAGCCTTTTTCTTCAATTTAAATTTATTCTTTTTTATTTTTAGCACTAACAGTTACTTTTCTACTTTTCATGTTTGTGGTTGCCAAAGTAAGGCTAGCAATATTCTCAGAGTCCCTAAAGAGTTCTCTTAAATGGGAAGCTAAAGCGGCCAGGGTTCTGACGAATTGTGCTACCTTGTTGAAATGTCCTACTGTACTGCATATTTTTAGGCAGCTCTCTACATAAAACTGTAGCTAGGATATTTTGATGGCCTATATGACCCAATCAGAAAATGCTACCAGCACTGAATTCTATAAGTACAACAATTTGATAGCCTAAATTTCTTTATCAGAAAACGTTATGAGCATTAAAATAATAATTAGAATTTTTTGCTCATCTAAAATCACCTTATCAGGGGCTATAATAATATTAAGCTGAGTCTGTACTGAATTAACATTAAAAAACACAATAAAACGTTTAAAACATTAGGTTAGTACGCTATAGTAATGATATGCGCATGCTCAGTAGGACCACTCGATAGGTAGGACATTCTTAGAACACCGGTATACGTTTATAATTAACAATCTTCACGAGGAATTGAAAAAAGAAATCAATGAAACGTCGTTAGATAATATTCAAACATTAGTAATTCAAAGAGTAGTTAATTGTACTATGATTTAACCTGCCTACAAGTGTTCTACTGTGTGCATGTTAAAGGATAACAGTACAGGTAATAACTGTACTGTGTACAATGCGGATGTGTTCACACCCTTCTCAGTCCTCACTGCTGTTTTCATGCCTAAATTAACATAATTAGTAATACACAACATGTAAGCAGTTGTTAAAGGCTTGCATGCTGAACAAACACACGCACAGAAATATGACTTAACGATAGTTTAATTCCTCTCGTGCTGAAGCTGCAGTGCGGGATTAACATGAACCGCCTGACCAGAGAAACTGTAAAGGTCTGCAGTGCAGCTTCCTGTCCCGTGACATCGAGCTGAGTGTCGTTGGAAAGCTGTAGTCAAACACTGATTCGAGGGACGATCTCTATTAAAGAAACATCATGACTAGGTCAGCTGACAGCCTAGTGTACAGCGACGAACTAATCTTGCAGTGAAAATATTTAAGACTCCCTAGGTTTGGAAATATTTTGGCCACATTCTGAATTGATTAAATACGTAACGGTTACGATTTTGCAGGTCGTATACGAAAAGTGTGTGACGTGCTGTACAGTTTGGTCTGAAAGTCAATATTACACAAACGACTTATATACAACTACTTAACGCTAATTTAGCTAGCTAACGTTATCCAGCTAGCTAGCTAGTTCCTCCACAGTGGGAATAAATCGACGGAACAGATAGTAGAATTATATGTTGTCAGTGACACTGACAGAGGACAAAAATATACACAGAAATGGAAAAGCAGAAATAAAATGTGAAAAACTGTCTAGACTGGACACCTAATCTAGTTAAACCGCCTATTGTTTTGCTGTGCGCTGACGTTAACGTTACCTATTCCGCTAACCAGCTACTAAAATGAGTTCCCATGTTAAAGAACACATTCAAACATAATATTCACCTCTTTTTATGTCATCGTCCTGTTTTCGATGGAGCAGAGGCTGCTCATAATCATCGGTTTCTGAATCCGATGCTGACTGCTTCATGGTGCATCTGCAGCCTGCTGAGACAACTGTTTACTCTCCACTGTTCAGCCGCACATCGGCGTCTCACTGCCGCTCCCGGCACTTTCAAAATAAAAGTCATATGGGCAGCACGGGTTTGTGTTCAGAAGGTTTTGAAATCGGAATTATTATTTGCCGAACCAAAGTGTAACACAACAACAAGCTTAAAATCAAAATTTAATAAATCTCAAGGGATGAGGAAACGTCTGCATTAGACATTTCCCTCTTCGTTGGCTATATCACACCTGAACGCCAAAATCTGGGTATTCAGAGGAATTATCTAACCTATCAATAAAATTAATTAATTAATTTATTTATTTATTTATTTATTCATTCATTCATTTATGTATTTATGTACTTATTAGCACAGCACTGGCCTTTTACGCTATGAAATAAAAACAGCTGATTTTCCCTTGCGTTGACATTTCAGGCACTACAAATACCACTAGATGGAGCCACATCTCTCCAGCAAACCATTAACCAATAAATCACCCTCATAATTTCACGGGAAGTGCCTTCCCTGGAGGATGAGTTTGAAAAGAAACGAAGAAAAGAAGTTGATGTGTTTATGTGAAATAAAGGTGTGTGGTTTAGTCAGTATTTCTAAGGATTTGATTTTCCATTTACTTGCCTTCACATACAAAAACAATGGAAAAACATAAAAAAGCGAACAAAAACCTTTTCTTCCTTTCCTAGTCAACGAAATCCAGCCCACCGCTGTTCTGGGGGGTGCTGTTGGCTTGTTTCCCCCTAGAGTCAGTGGCCAATGACATAAGAAGAAATGTGCTCTCAAAGGACAAGGAAAAAATAAATAAATAAAAAACTCACGCCACTCCCTTTTCTTCCCTTTTTGTGTCCCCCTCCAAACACACTGCATACTGTCTTTGCTTCTGCTTCATGCTATCAAGTATTTCTTCAACTTCAGCTTCTTCAGTCCTGCAGCTCTATCACAGCTATTCTGACAGCTGTGTGAGTGTCATTGATTATATATATATATATATATATATATATATATATATATATATATATATACACATACACATATATACAGCTGTCAGATATATATCACATATGAAATATAAACGAGGATCTTAATCTTAAATACAGAGTGCACTGAAGACTTTTAGACTTGCATAGGTCAAACCAATAATTATACATGGCAAAGGTAGCCAAATGATTCACACACCAAAATGCCCCCCACTCCACAACCCCCAACAAAAGAAAAAAAAATGAACAATTTCACACCTGAGGAATAAAGTTTCTCTTTATTTGCCAGACACGGTGCTTTTTTGGCATGAGTCATTTGCTTTTGTCATTTATAAATATTTTCATAAAATCAGAAACGCCTAAACAAACTTAACCCTCCTTTTAAGTTGCGGGTCAGATTTACCCACAACATAACAGGCAAATACAGGAAAATATTTATAATCATTTTTGGAGCATGAAAACTTCTCTGCTGGATTTATGGCTCATTTAGTGTGATTTGAATTGGAAGGGTCAGTTTGACCCAGAACAGAAAAACCTGAATAAACCAAATATTGATTAAACTGACAGTAATTGAGCTACAAATAATGTTTATGGAGAAAAATATATTTGTAAACTATTTTTGGATGGTTAAATGTGTATCGGGTCAATTTGACACATTCTGAACATTATTATAGTTCCTCACAGTTAAACATAACAGCAGGGCTAATAGGTCCTTTCAAATGATGTGCTTGTGTGAGTGGTTTTCTATTCACTGCAGCTTTGAAAAAAAATGTCATGGCACAGAGTAAAGCATAGACTCTGATAAAAGTTAGTTAATTCATAATATGTAAGAAATAACAGATGCAGGAAACATCAGACAAAATGCATATTCACGATTTATTGTGTGCAAAAGAGTATTGTTCAAGAATAAATGCCACATGACAAACTGACTCTTAATGGAGTGCTGATAGTGGAGGATTTGCAAAAGAATACACTTTAATACAATTGAGGTTTTTCTTTTTTTTTTTCAGAAAATCTGTGATAATCCCTGCACAGATCACATATAAATACATACTTAACATAATTAAAATATCTTGTTAAAATTACATTTACATTACAAACCTAAAAAAGGACACGTTTTAACATCACTGCTAAGGTGTATTTCCAGACATGACAAGTATTTCTATCAATACTAGGGGTTAGAGCATTTCATTGATCCAATCATTTGACAGAAAACCCACCTATGTCTCTTTAACAAAAACAGTCTCAGTGTCCTGAGTTAAAGTCAGAACAAACCCACAGCACTTTAGTAGAAAATTTCACACTTGGTAACTCTTAATATTTGTAGGTATGCATACAGTTATGAAAAACAAAAAAAGCCTCCATTAAGCCTATGATTCCCTGATCATACTTTACAGTGAGAAAAAAAGACTCATGATGTTCCTCTTATAACTAAGGTAATTTCACTCTTTTTCTTCTCTTCACCTTGTCTTTTTCTACTTCTCCTCTTCACACAGTATATCCTATTCCTGTAAACCTGCCTACTTGCAGAAAACCTTCGCATATCTCATTGCACACTTACAGAAACTTGCCACAGAAGACAACAAACAACAGAAATGCAGAGGAGACATATTCACACACAAGCCTTCAGCTTGTCAGTAGTACAGTATTTTGTAGAACTTGGTCTCATGATTTTATTCCATCTTTATCCTAAAACGTATTATAAATAAACAGGGAGAGGAGCATAAACAATGATTTGTGTACTAATGATCGACTACCAGAGCTGACTGATTTCATTTATAAAAGAGGATAAAATATCACTGGCAACAATACCTGGTTTTTAATTGATCTTTTCTCACCAACAAATAAAAACATGCAATATTATACTAACTTCATATATATAAAAAAAGAAAGCAGTTTACCAGCAACTGCATGAAGAAAAACAATGCTATGAATTACATTTTCACTATATAAAAAATATTAGGTTGGAGTGTTGATATGGATATCCGTCCATGTACATCCATGGTAAAGGAGCTGCTTACATTAGTGAACATGCCCAGATGGTGAGGTAAACAGCATCCTCAAGTCAATCCAAGCCATTACACATGCACAGTATGTCTTGCTCTTTATGACAGAGCAGTCGTATGAAACACAGTATTATTTCTCAGAAAGGCAATACTGAGTGTGAGAGAAGCATGTTGCAGTATGGAAAGTGCAATGCCCAGAAAAGAAAAAAAAAAAACATCCTGACAAGAAGATATTAAATAGGCCTGAAATGACCATGAACATACTGTACCTCACCAGTAAACACCTTGAAGACTTTAATGTAGCGTACACAAACATGGCTACCCTCACATGTCATGGTCGCGTGCCACTTCCTAAAAAGATTCAGAAATAGCCAAGACAAAGCAGAGAAGAAAATGCTGCATCTGTCAGACACATCCTTCCTTCCCTCTTTCTTCCCAGCCCAGCAACATTTTCCGTTTCCTTCAGACATAAACGTTTCAAAAACAGCACAGCAACAGTGTCCTGCTGTGGAAAGACAGGCAGTAATAGAGTAGGAGGGGCAGTGGATGACCTGAAGGCTCCAGAGGCTTCAGGCACAATTAGGCACCGAGTTGCCATTGAGTTCATCTGTGGGGACAGTCAGGTTGAGGTTTTGGATGCGGCGATAGACAAAGTAAAAAGGCTGCACCTGAGGGCGACTGTGCAACTCTGCTTTGATCTTCTGTGGGTGTGTGTCTGGGGCCAGCTGCTGCGTGGTCTCCTCCGTCAGCAGGAACAGGGCATGGCTGTCCGGGTCAGAGACTTTAAACTTTTCAGCACATATCTGACAAACCTCCTCTGTGGTTGCGTACGGCCGCACCTGGAGGGTTTTGGCTGTGCAGCCGCTGCGAGGTTCCTGCAGTGCCACTCTTAGGTAGTTCTGCACACACAATGAGAAAAATACATTAGGGCCTGGTTTTCCATAAATATCATAGCATAACTGCAATGTTAGATGTTGTACTATGTAATACTTGGACGACCCTCTCTTATAGTTTTAACAGTAACTCATAGGTAAGAAAAATAAAAAAAAGATATCTCCATAATATCGCTATAGTTTCTCTGTAGACACTAATTAAATCAGATGGAAAGGAAGGAGCAGATGTTTGCTCAAATCTCCTGCTGCTCAGATATTTCTCCTGAGTAAAAGAGCCCAGTAATCTCATGTCTCCTCGACTTTTAGTAGAAATCTCAATAAAGTCACACATTGTGCTCGAATTTGCCAACATAATAACACTCATGTTTATCTCTCCTTTATCTCTTCTGCACCTTACGTCACTTTTTTGTTTAATGCTATTTCTCCAACAATGTAAAAAATGGGGTTTAAACTTAAATCGGTTAGTTACAAGGCTGACTAAAATTTGGAGATTTGTTCTTTTGAATTTACATACAAGTAATAATAAGTTCACAGGACATAAAACACATTCTTGTTTTGTTCATTTACTATTTGAAGTTCAGTTAACTCTAGATCTTAAGGCAGCCCAGTAACTAACCTAAGTTAAAATCTCAATTATTTTTTAGAGTGTAAGGACTTTCAGGAGACTCTTCATTAAGTCTCCTAAGCCATCAAAGAGCAACACTAAAATGTTCCTCTATGTGTCACTATTTGGAAACTTAATTCAGTTTTCTATGTCCAGATACAGCTTATCACAGAAAAGTTAAACAGTTTGAATCAGTTTGTGCTGGTAATTCTCTCCGCCTACAGGATTTTAGCCCTAAAAGACCAACTGTTTGAATTTGTGACATCTTTCCAAAGAAGGGAGACAAATATTTGATTGTGCCCATAAAAACCACAGTTCAGAGTTCATAAACAGTTCAACGACACAATCTGCCCAGTCTGTATGCTGTTCAAGATGGCACAACGTTTTCCAGGGTTTAAAATTATCATGGCACAAAATTGTGTAGTGTGAGCAAAGTATGACAAAGCCTAAAAACAACCAGGAGCAGTAGCCAATGAGAGCTGAATGTGAGAGGAAACTCTCAGGGAACAAACAGAACAACAACAACCAGAGCGAAGGCCACTCTGTGTTCTGTGTGGAAACAGGAAATGGAGGGGAGGCTACTAGAGCTCTGGCAAAGGCAATCTTGGTGTGAAGTCTAAAAATGAAAAAGAGAAGATATGGAAGGACTTCGCCAGATGAGTGCAGAAACTAATACAACAGAAATAGTGATAGACAGTTCTAAACACTTCTTGTGTTTATTATCACAAGATGATAGTTATGAATCAGGCACTTTAATAGGTCAAATATTGTGAAAATGTGTGGGCCTCATCTGTGCTAGAACATCTAGTGTGTGCACCACTACGTTGACAAGTTAATAGACTGCAAGTAATAAATGTTGTGTAGCGTGAGCAGCAGAGCGATGGTATGTGGAAGGAATCTCACCTGGAAGTCATCCACAGATGGCACGGTGCGCTGGGCTGTGCGTCTGCGGTGCCACTGGTGAAGTGTGTTACGGGTTTCTGAGCTCAGCACCCGTGCAGCCTGCTCCTCCTGGAAGTTCTTAATGAGAGACATGGCTCCATATGCACTGGTCAAGTAGTATCCACCTACAAACAAAGACAGGAGGAGAGTGGTTTGAGCACCATTGATTCAAAATGTCAACAAACTGTTAAACCTCTAGCTTAGCTAGGCTATCTATGTGGTACTCTTTTTGATGTAGCACCTTGCATATCAGTCAAAAGAGTGTGTAACTGGAGGGTGTTAAATATAAAGATACCTTCTCCATGCAGCAGTGAGGGGTCTAGTAACTCCATCATGTACTGAATCTCTGTGTCCAGCTGAGGCATGTCACACTGGGCCAACACGTAGGTCAGCATGGGTAAGAAGTCATCTGCCCCATACATTCTCCCTATAATAACACAGACAGAGACAAACAGGTCAGAAGATATAATGATTATTTGCCCAACTGAATATAAATCATAGTGTGGCAAGTTTAATTTATCCTATGAAAATTTCTCCTAAGTAAAAATCACTCATACTACACAATCTTATAGATTAAGGCTCCTAAATGGTTACTGCCTTGGACATATAGAAAAACTTAAAAAGCTTTATATAATGTGGAGGTTCTTGAACCCTTTTTGGCACCTTTATTTTTAAGAGGATGGGTCTGAACAATTTACAAGCACCTTTTCATACCTGAATTATCTTCCATGATAGTGTAAATGAGCTTGCAGACGCGCAGTAGGAGTGACACTTTCTTCTCAGGTGAGTACATCTTGCTCATGTTGTGGAACTTGTGGCGGATCTTCTCTATGGCCACAGGGTCTGGAGGCATGGCTCCGTCCACACCCATCTCTGCCGGCTGCTTGGTTTTAGCCAGTGCCAGGTTCTCCTTCAGCTGCTGCCAAGCACCGCTGCTCATCTGGAAGTCGTGCAGGGCTGCTTCCACCACAGGCTTCAGAGGCTTCAGTATACACTTATGCATGGCCTTTTCCAGTACCTGATCTGAGGAAGGAGTTAAGAAAGTAGTGAGAGTTGGCCAAAACTCAAATGTTTCAACACTAACTAAAGCTGTGCAGAGCTGCGTAACGAAATCATTCAGATTTTCCCACGCATATGAAAAGAGCAGAATTAGTCAGTGGAATGATGTTCTATGTATTTAATGTAAATGAACTGAATAAATCAAAACAACTTTTTTTTTTTCACAATGTTGATATGACTCCAAGCTGTATTTAGAAGAGATACAGACAGAAATGACTTTGACTGTGATTAAACAGTCTAAGATCTCCCACAGAGGTAATATTTCCATTTCCTCTTCAAAAAGGGGAATACCTGCTCTTAATATTTCCACAGTTGATTCTCCAAAACACTAAGTATGCACAGATTAGCAATGCATAAAAATCTCAGACCAGGTATTCACTGAAATGACCCCAGTAAACAGGTTTTACCTTGTAACACTGATTATACAAACCTGGTTCAAAGCTCATGACTAAACTGCAACATCATGCACAAAATGGAGGGAGTGCCTACATACTGGAAATAAAAATCATATGGTCAGAACTTAATGTTTAACTCTGTCCACTCGGGTGGTTAAGAATGCTGACTGTGAAGCAAAATGTGCTCTTGTCAGCATAAGAAACGACTAAGGGAAGTGATGCTTTCTCCTTAAGCTGCCTGTCAACAGACACGTGAGCTCCATTTGCACAAAGCTTTGCACTCTGTCTCCTTCTCTTTGGCTTCCCTCTCACCGTCTTCTTTCTCACTGTGTGCAAAACCAGCTGATGTAATCTTTATGATGTGAATGTCTTTCCAAAACAGGCCAACAGCAACTGGTCAATGTCAAACTATTGCAGTAAACCAAACACTATACATTTTAAAGAAAAGCATTTTTCCAACCTCAATTACAAGAAGAACTGAAGAACTATTAACACAAAGTGAAACAGTAAATGGAAAAGTTTTGTAATGAATAAGCAGTAAATGGGTTGCCTGAAGATGGTATATCACCACCTACATTTCTAGGTACTGTAGTCTAATTACTAAAACTAAAACTGAAACTCTGACAAACTAAAACTAGTTCACAAAAAAAATAAATAAATATATTTTTTAAAAATAAAGATTTCTCAAACCATAAAACTACTATAACCTTGGTTCAACTGGTCTGATAGAGCCAGGTTTTTCCATAAAGGTAGATAAATACACTAAAATAAAGAAAGTAACTGTACTGTCAATGGAATAAATGAGGTACACTCTGCTACAGAATGCTTAGGTGGGGCAATATCTGTAAAAACACACTAGATTTTTTCCAAAGTAATTCCTGTAAGAAGACAGCATTACCCAAATACAGTGTAAAGCTTTCCGAAACGAACATGTTGGACTGGTTCTAGATAAGCAGTGAACGCAGTCTAGTGAACATCTTTCGAAATTAATTCCAGTTTGCCTAAGGATATAACTGAAAAATGTCTGCACTCCACAGTGGTAGGCAAACGATAAACACATGATCTTTCAAGGAGACCAGACAGTAATTTTCAATACCATTTAGAGTCACTCATACTTCCTACATTTATGTATATTTGGGTCTCTGATCAATCTGATACATGTTGTAATTGTTCAGCATTGATCACACTGATCAGAGACCTAAACATCACAGAAATCTACAAGGCTGACCTGAACTCCAACATAATGAAAATATTACAGTAACTTTATGCTGCTCTAGAGAGCTAGGAATGTTTTTGTGTGGCTTCATGCTGCCTGCTTGGCTTGTACTGTGAATGCGCTCTCTGTTGGGTTAATGCACAGAGCTCAGCTACAAAGAGGTGGGCTAAGGCTTTGCTTAACTTTGCAAGTTATTTGCTGGAATGCTGCACATTTGTGAGGCCCAAGGCTTGAGTGGCAAGCTGCAGGGGAGGTACTCCATATGTATTTAATGAGGCCTATCTGCCTCACATACCATGGCCTTAACAAGCTCCTCAGGCAGGTAAAGTCTACATCTTTGTGTTTACGAACATGTCAAAACATCTAAGAAACCAGACAATCAACTGCACTGAACACAACTGTTTTGTTGGCTTCAAACTATATAAGGAAGTATAAAGAAATTTAAAAGGATATCTAAATTCACCATTAAAAAGCCCCCTTGAGTATGGTGTTGGTGAGTGGACTCTTGTCGCAGTAGGACAGTGAATGATAGCCTGGAGACAAAGAGGAGCCAGGGCTCATCAGAAAAGAACACAGATCAGGAGAAGCTATCAGCCAAGGCCAGGCTCATCCTGGGAGGCCGTCTTCAACTGCATGCAAACATCCCTTTCCCCACAACAACAACTCTCCCTCCCACCTAGCTCCACAGTCCACATCAGGAAAACAAGCCACAGGCTTATAGAGAACAGAAGTGAATCCACTGATGCCTCCCACACAGCAAGCTCGCTTCAACTTACAGCATACCATCGTATTGAGATATGCCACAAATTGCGTCACTCTCCAACACACAGACAAAGAGTGAAAAAAATCCCCTAGATTGTATTTTCACTTCTTCAGTTCTAAGAGAAACCTCACAAACCCATTTAGAACCCTAGTTTATTTGCCACTAACTCTATTCTCATTTCTAGTTCTACATTTTCAGAAAGTACCAGGCTCTCGAAACAAGGTTTTCCATGTTGAGAGCAAGAAATATATTCACTCTGTAATCAGCAAGAAGTGAGTTAATCTAGCAAGAATGTCTGACAACTTAAAAATAGACCTCAAAGGGCGAGCACTCTATCAGAGGTGTCAACAGCTCACAACTGTTGACATCTCTGATACAAAGCGTAACGGGGCAAAACAGAAAACAAGGGTCTGTTTTTCCCCTTTTGCTACATTCTCTGCTTACTTCCACCCACTCACTCACTGTTTGGCGTCAACAAGCAAAAGGGGCTGCCTCAAAAGCCCTGGCTGAGATTTGAGGCCACTTGGCTGGAGGACAGCTGAGGAACATCTGGAGTGAAATCCATTCATCAGAGCAGACCACTGAGCAGTGTTTACATGCTGAGAGAAAGGAGGACTGGATTATGCAGAGTTCCTGAAGAACCAAAACAAGCTTAATCGAAAACAATCCCAGAACTGTAAAAGTTTTCCAAGAACTCTTAACCTACCTTACCCACACAGGCATTCGAACACACAGCTCTCCTTATTAGACTGTGGTATTGTTTACAGCATCTGTTTGCACACATTGATACTAGAGGGTGCAGCGGGTCATACAAAAGAAAATCCAAACGTTATCTGCCTGCATTGTGTACCTGCTTGTCTTTTGGCTCTATGCCTTTACTGCTTGTGTATGTCCAATCACACTGATGGAGCACCAAATCTCACGTTTCAAAAAATAATGTTATTTTCTAGCGATTCTGCTTCAGGAACACAAATACTGCCTGGAAGATGAGTAATCTGACACCAGTTTGCAGAGACATTCCAAACAGATGAATATTTCCCAGCTGCTGCATCCGGTTGTTGTGGTGGTAGTAACAGTATAAATACAATTAGTTTATTTTTTCCATAACAAAAAAGTCACTTCAGCTTCTTCATTATGATGGTAGCAAGCTATATCAGGTAGGCACAAGATGCCACTGCATGAAAGAGACCATAGTAGTAATTACTCTACTAACACATTTGATTTTATGCACTAAACACAGATTAGACCAAGTGTTTAGACAAATTGCCTGTTTGCATTCACTAAATACATTTAACACAATTTATACTAAAAACAGGAGAATGGGGAGACAAACTCATAGTACTAAGCAGTAAGGTGTACTATTATTAGGAGTAAATAAGAGATTACCACAAGGAAACACTTATTAGTGTGAAACCATTTAGCATATTTTTCATTTCTCAGTTGAGCAGTCAATTCAACCTGCTTTGCAATTGTTTTAATTTGCATTTGAATTTTCTTGTAAGGATGAGCATCTCGAAAAAGCCGGAGGAAACAGTTTTAACACTATAACTGATAGAATAGTGAATTTATAGGTAACTGGAGATACTGAAACACAATACTTAAGGGTAAAAACTTATACTCATTAATGTCAAATGAACAAAACCTCAATTACAGATTGTCTGAACGAGCTTATAAACAAGTTTCAGACAAGCTGCAGTTAAAGTTTTGTTCATTAGTGAGTTATTAGTGAGCATAGTGTTTTGCTTTTACACGGTGAGCATCTGAAGTATAAAAATAAAGTGCTCTTACCGATTTGGTCCTCAGGGATGAGGGACTCTATGGGGGGGTCGAGCTCTGAGCTTTGTAGCAGGTAGGACTTCATCTGCGTCATGAACTGCCTGAGAGTCTGCAGTAGGTCCAGGCCCGAGGTGTGGCAGCCGCGGTTCTCCTGCAGGAAGCTCACATAGTCCTGCACCAGGCAGCCAAAGTATGTGTTTTTGTCCCGCGAATGCTCCGAGATCCTCCGGATGGCCCTCTTCTCGGGGGTCATGAGTGAATTGAAGACGCCGCTGACCTTGCGCAGGTGACCCTTTAACGCCCACCGCAGCACGAAGGCGCCCGCGCTGTGCCGCTTCTTGGACTTGAATGGTGGCTCCATGCTGATCTCCTGGTCACTCTCCACGCTTACACCATAGTCTTCGTCCTCTTCCTCTTCCTCCTCCTCCGGGCTGCTGTCGCCCACTGCCCGACCGGTTCTGGACGGACTTGTGCCAGCTGCTGGGAGCAAGAAGCTTTGGGTAAAGTCCAGGGAGTCAGAGGAGGTAGAGGAAATGCTGATATCACTGAGGCGCTCCCGTCCTGCGGGGCTGCCACTGCCGTCCTCTAACGCCGTGTTCCTCAGGGACAGTTTGGCCAGGCTGAGCGATACAGCCTCCTCAATGGTCTGGTCCTCCAGTGCCAGGTGGCAGCGGTGGACCTCAGTGTCAGGCTGGCTTGGGGTTCTCTTTGGGCAGGATGAGGGAGTGGGGATGGGCGAGCTGATCTTCTTTGGCGGGGAGGATGGGGGTGAAAAAGAACTGAAGGAGGAGCCGAGGCGTCCCAGCAGGCCGCTCTTTTCCTGGGGTGCTTTGATCCAGCTCACGGCCGCACTGGGCATGCTGTTCTGCTTGCGTGGGGGCACTGGCCTGTGCGGGACTGTGCGGGGTGGAGGGGGACGGGGTGGAGGGGAACGGGACACGCTCTTTGCTCTGCTGTTGGTCGTATATTTCGTGCTACTGTTGCGGCGAAGGATGCTGTCGCCGTTTTGAGGGCTTGTGCTGCTTGTGCCCTGTGGAAAGGGGCTGATGCTGTCGGGAAGAGGAGTCTTATCGTCAGGGGTCACTGATGTTTGAGCTGTGTCAGAGCGGTGCGTCTGTAAAAAGAGTGGGTTAATGAAGCACAGAGCCCCGTTAGACTGGCTGAACTCCAGCTGGGACGGACTGCGAGTGCGCAAGATGGGGGGTACCTCCTCTTTGGGGGATGTCTCCTGTGACTTTCGCTTCAGTTTCTGTTGTGTATCGTCTTGAGCAGTTCTAGCAGACACAGAGCTCTTCCTCTTGTAGCAAAAATCAGATTCCCAGAAGCCTATGGAACATGGACAGAGTTAAACCTAAGATAACGTAAGGCAAAAAAGACAGCCAAAATAAAAATAATTTAATTAAAATTTATTTGAGCTAAGATAAAACTACATATATAGGCACAAGTGAAAAATAAACTGTAAAGATGTAGAATAATGTAAAATAACCTACATACAGTAAATCTGGGGCACAAAAACACTTTTAAATGCTTCATAACAAAAACCGTTTAATTACGCAATGCTGTCTTAGAAAAATTATGAAGACAAAACCAAGCAACCATGAGTCAGACAATGCATCAAATGAACACAAACATAAGACTTAGGAAAGCTTTAAAGCAGTACAGCAGAAAGAGCTGAACCAGAGGATCAACCAAGGCAGTAATTAAGAAAGAAAAAACAAACATCAGTCAACAGAGAAGGAGAAGTAAGGACTATAACCCACACTTACAAGAATACAGTGAACCTCTTCTTGACTATTTTCTTTTCAGAAAGCTGACTGAGAACACCTTAGACGTGTATTGCTCAAACTCCCAGCTCTGTGGACTGTCGTGTGGTGACAGTGACAAACATTCACACACTAGCTTGCTGAATGGCGTGAGTCATGCATGCTAATAAGTGGGTGGGAGGAGCAGAGCCGCTGTAGCTTTCTGTTCCTTCTTTTTCTCGCTCAGATATTCATTTTGAAGGCTGCCCCTTCAAGTACTTTCCACTCACTCCATATGCATACCACTTTTTCCTTTTAATATGTTCAACTAATTTTGGGGTCAAGTTTTATCCACAGCAAAACAACAGCTAAACACAGCAATATATTTAGTAGATACTTTTCAAGAGGGTACATACTTATACCAAGTCACTGAAAGTAGACATCACAGTTCTGAGATGCTGTTTTTTGTTAATGCCAACAGTCTATTTTCCAGTAATTGCACTGAAGCAATGGGGCAGACAGGCTCGGTCATGTCAGTTCTGGAAAAGTGAAATACCTGAGAAAGATGCGTGGGTGTATTACACACCTGAATACACAGTGAAATGGTTTTAATCATCTTCTTCTGTTCCTTATGTCAACACACATTGTTAACGGTAATAATAAAATGAAAGCAATAAAAAAGGAACAGCATAATAAACCTCCCTCTATCTCAACCTCTGTGTCTGTTCCTGAACCTTTTTTTCTCATTCCCTTGGAATTATTCTCTCCCTTTCTCAGCTTTTCTCTCAGTGTCCTCGGTTCACCCTGGTTTGTCCCAACCAGAGCAGTCAGCCAGGCTGAAATAAGACCTCCAGGGCCCAAAGCCTGAAGTTCATCGCAGCCTCTAGGTGGGGCTGATTTTGGAAGTGGTCCTGGTGTGGAATTTCAAGGCCCTGCCCTGCCGTGAGCTGTGCTCTACTGGCCTGAATCCTGAATTCTGCAGGCTTCCGTTACATGACAGATGTCTGCAATCACTGGAGACCATACTACTTCACGGTTTTCCCTAGGAAAAAACTTAGAACTTGATTTTGGGTGATGTAAGGTTTTGTGGTGATGGGGGTTGGGATCGGGGCAGAGTTATTCCATATTTCTTTATATATGTTTTAATAAACAATGAAGTCATGTATGCCATTTATCAGGAGAACACATACCACAAAGGGGGAAGGCGATAATTAATCTACATCCATTAAAAAAAGAAAAACAAAACTAATGAACATAAGCATGACATTTAATACTCGCATAACCAGGGGAAGAAGCAAAAATCATTGGCAGTACCTGGTTATGAAGTACTCCATTAATATTTACTAGAATAAACAAAGGGCAGGGGCAGAATTATTCTACATTTATTAATTTCAAGATGATGGCTAAAATATAGTTTGCAGGACACACAGACGTTTTCCATTCATTTCTAGAATAAATGAAAGGGTGGACGTGGAATTGATCTATTATTAATGTAAAAAATGGATTTATTTCAAATGCAATGAAGCAGGTCATTTATTTTTCCCCATGTGAAAACAATGCAAGGGTCTGAAACCCTACTCCTCACTCTGCTGTGTCTCTGATAGTCTCATATATCCTGTATCCTATTGCAGGTGGCAAGAGTCTTCCTCAGGTTTCAGATCCAAAACACAGAATACGCCTTTCTTTTCTTAAAAGATTCCAGCATTTGCACAAGCACAATCACAGGTGCTCGATAAACACCGTTTCTTTCTAACCCCCCGTTTTGCCATTAGTCAGACGACACATAAACCACACACACGTCAAGTCAAGAGTTATTTTACAGCTCAGACTGTCATATTACGCATCAGTCTCTTTCTAACAGGAGCTACAGTGAATGCATCCTGCCTGATAGCCCAGAGCCATCAGTAACAAATATGTCCAAGACACGTTTCACCAATTGACATCATCAGCATGTGCCACCCATATAAATGGTGTATTTGATGCTCTATGTCAGCAGACGTGAGCAGCTGACACAGACATCATACCTCTGTCTCAGATCACACTCTCCATCTGACTCTGCCTTCAGAACAGACGATCTGGCTAATACAACTGGAGAGGTTTAGGAACCACAATGCAAAAAGGAAGTTGTTCAATAAAGATAATAAGCATGATCCTCAGCATGCATGTACATCAACACTGTCGAAGGCAGCCAGCACAGTCTAAGACTTGACTGCAGAGGATTCCTGTATTCCTAAAGAAATTCTCCAGCGCTTTTCAACCTAATCTCTATCTGCAGCATTTGAAGTCGATTACCGGTCAATTACTGACAACAATACTCCACACGGTCGATTACTGACAACAATAACTTCAATGTGTTTCCCTGTGTTTATTAAAATAATAGAAAATGTGAGAAAGAGTGATGCACAGAGGTGTAAAATATAACAAATCATTACTGTTGCAGAATTATACAGAAGAAGTTTAGAACATAGAACTTTCAATGGCCCATCATTATATATTTCAAGTCTTTTTATTAACATGCTTTTAATATGGCTTCAGGTCATTTACTACATATACACACTTACAGCTGGCCCTACACATCAGTAATATGTTCCATAGTTCATACAATGAACACTTTTTATGTTGTGATGTCATTAATTCAGACTTCAGTTGATGTATGTGCTCACAAGTATACGATGGCTTCAATCATGGCTCTGCCAGTCAGATATTAAAATCAGACCTACAGTTTGAACTACTACTTTGATGGGCCACATCACAGATTTGAGCCTTGCCAGTTAATAATTTATTGCTGACTACTGAAGGTTGATTCTTGGTTAAATGAATTTGCTAAAATTTGCATCCACAGTAAACACTTATGTGATATATATATATATATATATATATATATATATATATATATATATGTATATATATATATATTATATTATATATATGTATGTAATATATAATATATATTATATTATATATATATATATATATATATATTCAGTAAAGCCCTTCCATTAATTCTTCAGTCAGATAATTGTAAATTAAGCTGTAAATGTGTATATTTTTTTCTTTCAAAGATAGGAATAAGTTTTATAGTTGGAAAGTTCCTGGATGATCGCACATGGCACCATAAAATCTACCACAAAACCTTAAGCAAAGCAAAAGTGACTATTTTTTACTGTGTTGCTTCAGTGATTAAAAATTTAAAAACTACAAAGAGAAAGGCTTTGGTAAGACATTCTACCATTTCATCACCTGTACTGTTAGAGTGTAACAGCTGTAGTTTCAAATACATAAGATCACCACCACAAGTGAATCATATTGGCTCGGAGCCATTAAGAGTTATGCTAGTTACAGGTACTCATTTTGTTTAAGACATGAAACCACCAGTGACTCAGTGTAAGGTCTCTATTGCTGTGATGCCAGATACATCCAAAACCGAACTAAGACTACCCCTGAACAATCATAATCAGAGAACTACAATGTTTTGCATAGGTCAATGGCCTCCAGAGGAAGACTGAATAATTTCTGCTTGAACAATAAACATGCAGTGAAAGCTGAGTAACACAGCCTACTTACCTATTCCTAACTTGGCCACTTCCTCTAGATCAGAGGGGGTCTTTGCAACAGAGATTGCCTCAGGAAGCTTCAATGTGAAAGGAAGAACATCCCTACAGAAAAGAGGAACAATCAAAATGGGATAAGAGCATTAAAGTACTAGAGTAACAGCGCTAAGAACCGGTCACTAACCCTGCAAATCCATTAAAAGGGAGAGAAATAAAACGAGAAACAAAGAAGTAGAGAGAGTGTGTCTAGTACTCTAGCTGTAAATTGTAAATTGCTCATGTGGGTGAGGCAGGCAGACAGAGGGTTGTGTTTATCCACAGACTTCATTACGTGGTGCTGACAAAGACACAGTCTTGGCAAGAACGAGGAGATCTGGCAGCAGCGCAAGTGGGTAAAAAACAGCCTTCATAGCATGCTACACTCACGATAATGCTCAAAAAGAATAGCACAGCATCAGACAGACAGGCATTTTTATCCCTCTTTGTTTTCAATGGCAGCAGAGCCATGTTTCCAGTTACTCACTCCCTACTCTCCTGTGTTTTTACTTGTTTTCTGATTTGTAGTTTTGCGTAGTTGGCACAGTTGATGATCAGTGAATCAATGTCTCTGTTTTTACCCAATAAGAGTGGGAATTATGAAGAAATGGTATCGCTATCATGAAAAAACGGTCTCATAATGGTATCTCATGGATATTTTCAGTACTTCTACAACACCAGTTTATTGGATGTTGTGCCATTATGTCATTATCTTACTTTCATTATCTTACTTTATTCATTTATTTTTACCAGTTTTCATCCTGTTGTTCCACGCTTTATTGCAAGCACCTAATAAAAAAATTAATTAATGGTCCACAGTGCTACTACTGTTGGTGCTTTTTGTTCATTCCAACTTGTTGGGAATATCATGATACTATATTGCATAGTAAAAATGCCTTTAAGCATCACAATGTGATATTTTAGATACATTGCCCACCTTACTATTACTCATCTATAGTGGGTCTCTCTTGTTAGCAAACCCTAATAGCACAACCAAGGCATTAGCATAAAGGGAGAAGCACAGCAACAACACATGATTAATAAGTAAAGTGTGCATGAGATGCCTGCTAATGTTTCATATTAGACATCATGCATTAAAATGTTCAGTATACTCCTCTTCCAAAACTATCCTTTACGTATTGCTCTCTTTCTCACTCTATTGGAACCAGCGCTCAGGCTGTTCTGCTTTTTAGAGAAAGAGATCTTCTTACCTGCTGATGCAACAGAAGGCCACAAGGCGAAAGAGGTCCGCAAAGCTGATCCCCGAGCCCTCCAGGGAGAAGGCTGAAACACACACAAACACACATCCGTAAACACCACATGCAGTAGTGACACAGAAATTCACAGTGGAAGTCCACGTATACAGCGTCAGGCATATACATTCAGACTTTCCTTGTAGGGAGGTCCCTCCCACTGTTCGAGGGATATGACCCAAATAAAACGAGAGAGAGAGAGAGGGAGAAAGAGAGAGAGAGGGGGAGAGGGGGAGAAAGAGAGAGAGAGAGAGAGAGAGAGCGAGAGAGAGAGAGCGCTAGTTAAAATGGGCTAATGCGAAACAGATGCATTTGGAAATGATATTACTACCATCATCCTTCTCTGCCGTTTTGTAAAGAAATACAGCAATTGACAAATATGAAATAAAATTTCACATTGGATGATGAGATGAGGTTTGCTGGAATACACACATGTGCCTGGCAAGAAGTGCAGTCCTAAAATCCTTAACAGCTGGTCTGCAGAACTATCAGGAAATGCAGGAAAACCTTTGTGTTATTTTCAAGGTTTCTTCCTCATCCATTCTCTGGGATTTTTTCATTAATACTTCTGCAGGGGTCTGTACCTGTCTCTGTAATGCTCTGTGACAATGGCTACTGATTTATACTTTATTATTAAAAACATCAGCATTGGGCAGTTTGTATTTGACTGATATTTCAGAGTGATATTTGATGATGTATTTTTTGTATTTCAGAACAACAGAGCATTTAGGTGACACTGGGGTGCTGCGCTAAAATATCTGCATTTTATTCATTTTACTGCATTTGTATTCCTATAGAAAAAAATTCTATATCTCTATAATGCTAATCATAGAGATGCAGTAATTTCTACATTTTATAAATGTTTAAGTATCTGTATCGGCAGATATGTACATGAAAAATATTGATTCTTTGCATCGGCCCAAAAGTCCCATATCAGCGCATCCCTAAATTATAAAATAAAATAAAAACTCAAAATTTAAATTGAATTGCATGCATCTTCACTTGTATAACTAATTAATGCAAGTAATCTGTACTTTACACCATATTATACATTCTCATAATGTGTAGACCTTTCTGTTCAGTGAAGCAGCAATCCAAATCACTTTTCTGTTTACCATATCAACCAAAGCGAAATATCTCTTAAAAAAAAATAATTTGTAATTATATTTAATTATATATATTTTTAATAATAATAATAATAAATAACCAAAACTTGTCAATAGTGGTTGCTATATATTACTGTCAAACAGCTTCAAATAACCACCAATCTGCACAGTGTGGCAAGCACTAAGAACTTCCTTGTAAGCACAGTTGAGTTTGTTTTGTTCACTTTTTTTATTTTTTATTTTTTACATGTGCCAGCCTGGCTAATATAGCACACAGATGTTTTGACTTACAAAAAAATGAAAGCCCAAACAAAAGAGAAGGCAGATGAGGTTGTAGTATCACAGAAACCCAACAGAGTCTGAAGACACTGAGCCATACAGCCAAATTTAGCTCCCTCACTGAGTCACTGTAGCTCTTGTTGCACTTGAACAAAGACAGTGGGTCAATAGCGAATACAAGTTCAGGAAACAGACTAGTTAAACAGGGCCAGTCTAAAAAAGTGCCAGGCAGAGGGAAGTAAAAAAGCAGAAAAGAGATGTCTATAGTACTCTGGTATTAGGTGACACGTACTGTATTGACTCTCTTTGACTGGGAAGTCCCGCATGGTCACTGGGGTGCTGTCATCCATACGCAGGGAAATAACCTTCTTCTGTAGCTTAGATGACCTTCGCACCAGGAAAGTCTACATAATACATATGTAGAGGTGGGAATAACAGAAACACAACATTGAAGAACATTATTCAATTGAAGTATTTTATGCACTAAGAAGTCACTGAGGTCAGGCTGAGCATTACAACATCAGCACTGATGACACACGCTGAGAACATGCTGTTCAACATCAGCAGTCTTGGAATAACTTGTGCTAAACAAGTTGTTCAAAACTCAAATCAAAGGTCAGAAATGATATTTGACTATTCCTAGAGCATTTAATATGATCTGCAGTAAGTTGTAGTATGCAGTGTAGACAGCATCCTCACCCCTGGTGGTTGCGGCTGCAGAATGCGTTTGGCGTCTTCATCGCTTAGCGACAGCAGCAGCCAGACAGAATGTGTGTGTGTCAGTCTATCCAGCACGCTCATGCGCCGGCGCAAAGAGTCATAGCCGGAGTCGCGAACCCCTACAGCACCAGTGCAGATGGAAGACTGCAAGAACAGGCCACTCACCTCACCCTCCAGCCTGCAGACATAGGGAGGAGAACATAGGTGTACTCAATATGTAGTATACATAGGATGTCAGTGCTGCTTTTTTGCTCTCTCTCCTTCAATGCTAACCAACTTTCAAAGGAAAAAAGCTGCACAAATAATTTTTGTTTTGTATATGTGAGGAGACTAACTGGGACTGCATTATATACACAAAATTGTGTTTGCATTATTGCATATTGTAAATATAATAATATGCCTCATTATATATTAAGGGGCCTATTTTATTGAAAACACAATTTTATTTAGATACACTTAGAAGACCTTCGCACCAGGAAAGTCTACATAATATAAATGTAGAGGTGGGAATAACAGAAACACAACATTGAAGAACATTATTCAATTGAAGTATTTTATGCACTGAGAAGTCACTGCGGTCAGGCTGAGCATTACAACATCAGCACTGATGACACACGCTGAGAACATGCTGTTCAACATCAGCAGTCTTGGAATAACTTGTGCTAAACAAGTTGTTCAAAACTCAAATCAAAAGTCAGAAATGATATTTGACTATTACTAGAGCATTTAATATGATCTGCAGTAAGTTGTAGTATGCAGTGCAGACAGCATCCTCACCCCACAATTTTTCTCACTTTTCTTAAATTAAAGAGTTTAATGTACTATGTAAACATATGTAATGTTTCCAAAATTACCATTCACTCCCAAGTCTCCGAAAACAACTCGTTTGTAATGCTTTTGTGATGTCTTGAAAAACTACGATATCTACCTATTCAACTTAGAGCAGTTTAGTTCCTCGTATTCATGTTGAATGGGCTGTTTCAGCTAAACTCCTTCAGTCCGAACTGCTTTTTGAATGAGGCGCAATACGAGGTAGCCAATTAGAACAGAGCTCATTTACATATATCAGTCTCGAAGGTACAGTAACAAAAACAGTTAAATTCTAAGCAATGAGAGAGGTGGGTCATGTAAAAATGAATTATGACTGTTTTTGTACATACAACAAGGTTATAAGTGGGCATTAGAGAAATAAATCATATGCAAGAAATAACTGTAGGATTTGGGCCCTTTGAAATACATTAGTGGATGCTTGACATAATTAAAACGTTTTTTGGACAATTAAGTGCATTAACTAATCAAAAGACCCACAGAGTCTGGAATATTTGTTGAGATTGGTCAATATACTCAGAGCGCATAATAAGAATGGGATTTCCTAGATCTGTGTTTCCCAACCTGGACTTCTGGGCCCCTCAGATGGTCCACATTTTTGCTCCAACTTAACTCACAAAACAGGGATGAAGGAAAAATGTGGACCATCAGTGGAGCCTTGAGGACCGGGTTGGGAAACACAGTTTTAGAAAATGCATATTGCAGCCTTCTGTGATTACAGTACTGCAAAGGCCAATACTGTGATAACAAGCAATACATGCGCACTGTTCATGCCATTGAGCCAGAAGTAAGATTATGTAATCAGGTCCCTGGACCAAGCTGTGCACTTATCCCCAAAGTTTCCCAAGAGGTGCTGCTGGACATGGTTAGGCAGCAAAACTACTAATTAAGTAGTTAAAGTATTTAACTAAACTTAATTAAACCCCCCTGCAATGCACATTTATATGCTTTCTCTGTTCTAATACACCCATTTTAAATTTTGAGAAAGCTTTAATTAACTGATAAACTGAATGCTGCATGTTGAGAGAAAGCAAAACAACAATGCAACGTGCAATGCAGGGGTTGCCATGCATTGGGGGTCTATGACCAAGCAAAGCTGGTCAACAGAATAAATGATGCAGTCTGTCCCTGAATGAACTGGGCACATGCATTTTGCTATTAAACTTGAATTCTATTTTAAATCTAATCACAGAACCACTGTGATTAACTAAACAAAAGAATGAAGGCAACCACTATAAGCACTAATGTATTTTCTTTCTTTTTAACTGGAGCATAAAATGTATAATATGTACGATTCTAAACATGTTACACATAAAGAAGGATATGCTCCTCCTACTGGACAACAGAAGGCATTACCACAGGGAAAAAAAGAAACTCTTTTTTGATGACAATCAGGTTTTATACCTTGTGCTCCATATAGAATAAACAATAGAACTGAAATGACAAAAATTACATTTATTACTCATATTTGCAATACATACCTACAGAAATCACAACCTGGAGATAAAGCTAATTTTAATAGGTATTTTTGTTCCATAGCAAAACATACCACTGTGACCCTCTGTCAGTGAACAAAGGGTCAAATGAGATCATTCAGATATTGTAGTAAGTATGCTAGGCTGCTGATTAAGTATATAAAAACTCAATGGTAATTAAGTAACTTAGACTTCTGGTAAATGTCATCTACAAAATATAGCTAGTTAAGAGGTGAGAGAAAGAAAAAAAGAGAGGATGAACTCACCCTTGTAGGAGCTTTGTGTCAGGCTCTCTGGCTGTTTGAACCATCTCCTGCTTTAGTTCTGAGATCTCAGTGGAGAATGTGTCTATTAGCTATACAGACAGAAACACGGAGACACATAGTGGATAAGCTATAGCATGTTGCAGTTCATTTGTTCAGTGTGCGTGTAAAAAAAAAAAAACATTTATGCACATTCAAGCATTAGTCACCACCCGTCTGAACCCAAGTTAGGAGCTGCTTCCCTTTTATGCATGCTGACTGCCAGACTTGCAGGAAAACAAAACCAAAGGGACACTCAAAACATCCAGGACTATCTAAAAAGCCTTAAAACTTATGTCATGCGTACAAACTCCCCTTAAGCTTCCAGTGGTAACAGTGACTGTAAAAAGATGAGTGATTTCAGAATGAAGCTTCTAAATCATCAGAAGTGATGAAAGAAATGAAAGAACAGGAGCGAAACACAGGCGTCCTCCAAACACTCAAAACAACCATACACAGACATCCTCCTCACACTCAAAAACACATTTTAAACACATGTGCTTCGAACATACGGCAAATAACATGTCCCCCAAACAAGCACAGACAAACACCGAACTTGTGCTTACGCTGTATCTCCACAACAATAAACAGAGTCATATCAACAGCAATTAATCTGAACACATGCCGTCTGCATGTAAACACAAACCACAATTAAGTAAGAACACTCTGACCATGGCACATCCTGAGTTTGTTAGCCTCAAAAATGATACTAAGTGTGGGTGAATCCCAGAATACATTAATACATTTATAGAACACATTATACTCCATAATATTTGTATTTTTCCACTAAAAGATTGCTGACCTCAGCTTTGAAGTACACTTCTCATTGTGCAGTCCACCCTTTTGATTATTTAGTTACTTCTCAATTGGACAGGAAATTAAAGACAAGATATCACTCATTTGGTCATTAGAAATTATTGCGTTATTTAACCTGAAACAAACATCACTTACACAGTTAAAAGTTTAAAAAAGTGCTTCTGCTGATTACCAGCAGAGGGGAGCGTTCCTGCATTATTTCTGTGTTCAGCTCTGAATGGATTGTATTAATACACATGTTCAGCTCAGTAAAAACAAAGACATACCTTTCAAACTTCCAAATATTTCAAAACTGAATTTTCAACCATTTGTCAAATCTCTGAAACGCCAGCCAGCCACTCTTTCTCCTGCGTTTCAGTTTTCCTGAGCCAGCAACCTTCAGTTATGCTAACCCAAACTCAGACGTAGTCAGCAAACCACAATTATACACCAGTGTCTCTCTCTCTCTCAAAATGCAGCTCACAGCCAAGAAAAGCTCCCCCCAGCTCAATGCATGACAAAACACAGGCTTTATACAGTCCTCACAAGGCCTCACCTACAAAAAATCTATAGCCATATTACATGAATTTCTACAGAATTCTTATAAGAATCTTACAGTAACCTCAGACAATTACTACAGTTCTCTGTAATAATGACAGTATTAGAGATTACTATGACACAGCCCAACAGGAAAACTATACTATAGATTGTAATAGAAGTATTATACAGCATAATAGAAGCCTTCTAGTTTCGTTTTGATGGACTCCTAACTATTACTACTACTACTATTACTACTACTACTACTACTATTAATATTAGTAGTATAATGATATTGTAGGTAGTTTGACCAGAGGAGGATGGGTCCCCCCTTGTGAGCCTTGGTTCCTCCCAAGGTTTCTTCCCCAGCTCTGAGGGAGTTTTTCCTTGCCACTGTCGCCCCTGGCTTGGAGGATTTACATTTCATGTTAAAACTTTGTCTTTAATGGATTTCTGTGAAGCTGCTTTGTGACAACATCAGTTGTAAAAAGCGCTATACAAATAAATTTGACTTGACTTAACGTGACTCTTATATTTTCACTATAAACCTTTTTTGTAAAGAAAAATAAGAAAAAGCAAGAGAAAAACACTCTTTTTGCACAGAGTAAAAATCTGTTCAATTAAAATTAGTGCAGTATGCGAAATGTTAAAGACAAATCGTAGTGTTAGCACTACTTTGTCTGTTCCAAATAATAAATATTGTGGCGCACTGTGTAACCTAAAAAACTTCTTGAAGTATTGTGATATTACATTTTTTGCCCAGCTCTAGGCACAATACCACTTTTTTTCTGATACTGAAGCCAATATTAAAACCTTGAATCTCAACAGATACTGACATTGGTCCAATTTTGTATTTACAAAGTAATGGGCTATTACAAACAACACATTCCAGAGCTTCACGGGCTTAAGCCATGTTAGCATATATGGCTGAACTGTTCCTTTGATGATGTAACAGAAGGAGAGGTTTTGCAACAGAGTTCCTGGCAAAGCATAGACTTCCTGAATATCAGCTGTTCCCTAAGAAAACGGTATAATTCATGAGTAACGCAAAGACTATTACAGGAAACTGAGAAAGTGTTACGTCTGCCTGACAGATTAAACATGAAAACGTTCCTCTGGGTGAACATGAATTAAAGCCCTAAGGAGAAGTGCGTAGTGCAGGCAGTCATTCACAAGTTATAAAACAAATAGACTATAGGGAGAGACTGAGAGAGAGAGAGACAGAGAGAGACAGAGAGAGACAGAGACAGAGAGACAGAGAGAGAGACAGAGACAGAGAGAGACAGACAGAGACAGAGAGAGAGAGAGAGAGAGAGAGAGAGAGAGAGAGAGAAGATGAAGAATGTTTAATGAATAAAACATTGATGTTGAAATGGTGCTGATATATTCCCTTGGGCATAGTCCATACTTCAGCATTTCAATTTTTGGGGAAAAAAGGTTGGCAAGGCAGAAAAGAAAGTGAGAGCATTTCTGCCTGCTCTGAGATTTCTAAGGAAAGTCTGATGCCTGTGAGGTTGGCTGGCTAGTGACTTCCACTGCAGCCCTCTCAAAAGGTCAGAGTGCTCTTCCAGACAGCACTCAGTAGCTCATAGCTCACTCTAATGAGCTCCATGGTTAAGTCATTCACTGTGTGGACACCAAAACACAGGCTAGACACTAGGAAACTATGTATTTCAGCTCAGCGCTAGCTGAGCCAACTGCAGCCAGACATACAACTAACACTGAGCAGACGCATGAGAGAAATCAACACTACACTACACTATGAAATAAAAGCACTTAGAAAGGCTCTTTTGAGTGATTTCATAGAACAACTGCACTAAACATGAGTGTGAACAGTCTTTTTAAATTTTAAAAAACCTACCAATTAAAGAACCGTATGTCCAAGACAAGAACTGTTAAGAAATAGGGCTGGGTAATGTGACAGTATAGATTGTTATCATGATAGATTTAAGCAATAGAACACAATAGGGAGTGTGTTATCACGAAATAACATCACGGCTGTGATTTGGTCGCAGGCATGAGCCGAAGGCGATGATGATATTTGTAGCCGTGATGTTATTTGCGATAACGCACAACCTCGAGTGTTCTACTGATTTTATACAACAGTTAAATAAATAAAGTAAGAAATAAATAAACTGGGCCGTAAACATGGAATTTAACATGGTTTAATGTTAGCAATTCCTTCCGCCAAATTACATTTCCTTAACAAGCAGCTTGTTGCTACGTCAGAGTAACGAGCTCCGCTCACTCGCTGCACACCCAGCAGCTCCTTACACTAAATTCTGAATCTGTCATTACCACTGAGCAAGCTTTTCAGTCGGCAGCTGTGACAGAAGAACAGTTATAAAACCTGGAATCAGCCAGAAATGAACCGAATACCATTCGCTTCAGAGCCTGACCAAATCGGACTGAGCCATAAAACTGCTGCAATATCAAGTTTAGCTCAGTTTTGTCATTTTTTTGCTAGTTCAATATTAATGTTGTTTTGTTCCAGCCAGTCTGTAAAGCATCTCACAGCCCATTTTGTTTGGTGAATGGTATTCGGCTTATTTCTGGCTAATTCCAGGTTGTGTAGGTGTTCGTCTGTCACAGCTGCTACTGAAAAGCTTGCTCAGTGATGATGACAGTTTTGGAATTTAGTGTAGTCTCATCTTCAGAGACTGACCAAATTGGCAGTAGGTCAAATGTAATCTTAAAAGTATCCATTTCTGCTTGTGCACAAAGTAAGACGTAAAAACATTCAAATGGCTTGAGCGTCTACTACAGCTGTCAAAGTCAGCGGAGTGATACAGTATTTGTGAAAAAAACGTGATGTTATGGTGAAATAACAGCACGGTTAGAACGCTTCTCAACCAATCAGCTTGCATGACCGGAACTAACTGTGGTATAATATGTCACAAAACAATACAATATGCTTTTCTGAACATATTGTGTATATCGTCAGGACTTGTAGAACACTGACCAACCACGTTTCATTGTAAAAAGAGCAAAATTAGTCTCATTTAACTGAATTTAGTGCAACACGTTATGCCAAGTAATGAATAAAAATCACTGTATTCACAATTGTTGGTAGTATTTTTAAGCTGTTCTTTTTTTTCTCTGTTCCAACTGATCAGAAAAAAAAAGTGACACATTGTGCATTAAGAAATTTTTTTAAACTATTGCAATACTGTATTTTTGCCATATCACTCACCTCTATTTAGGAACTTTTATTTTTAAGAGTGTAACTGCGATAATCATGGAAATCCTCCACAAAAGAAGCTACTGCTGAATGCATCAGCAATCACTCTGAGCTAAAAGCAGAGGACTACAGCTCAGCGTCCGGTAATTGACATCAGGAAACAAGAGGTAATAAAAAGTTGTTGTTCATTCATGCTCATAATCCTAGCAGTAATCCACAGTAATCGTGGAAAAATCTGCAAGTGTACAGGGCTGATTTATTCAAGACTCTGGCAGCAGCTGAATGTTTAACTGAGGCACAGCCAGCAACTTAAGCCTGTGAGTAAAATTACCTCTTCCATCATAAACCAGAGATTACGTCACCAGTTTGAAACAAAATAACAAACGGTATGCACTGAGGCCTTCAGTAAATCTGGCCTTGGAATCTTTAAGGATCCACAGAGACAGTCTTTATGTAAATTACATATATCAGATTTCTGTTCGTCATCGGCTAAGAGGTGTTGTGAACAACTGTATCTCTGACATCTATCAAATGCTGGAGATATCTGCAGAAGGAGCAGCATTTCAGAGGCTCTCAGAAGGAAGTGGCTTTGTTTCAAGGCCTAAAAAGAATCTTCTGTAAACATACCCAACATGTTGTGAAGTGGAGCACTCTTGTTTATTAAGCACAGTTCATTAGGGGAAAAGCTATTAATCATGAAGCAACCCGAAGAATTTAAATGAAGTCTGCTGTCGACAGCTCCCCATAACAAATGATTATGTAATTTAGCAAAGCTCATTACAGATCAGAGCTCAAATACACACACGCATATTTATGTATGGTGTTGGAACTCACAGAGCAGGCTTTGAAGCTTCTGCTGCTCAGAGTCTGAGTATTCTCACTGGCTGAAGTCCCAGCATGGAGGCACACTAACGACAGCAGACAAAACAGACTGCTTCTCATCAGGAAGCTGTCTTTCAGAACCAGCTTTTTTTATGTTGCATAACTATTAAAGGCACTGTCTATATGCTGATTAACCTGTTTCTAGCCAAATTTTGTAAAGGTAAAGTACCAAAACGTTGACAAAGATAATATACACTAATTTAAAAAGACCTACCTCATCCAATTTTTGTTTAGTTTTTCTGACTTTTGACAATTGTGTGGTTTTATGTCATACTTAATTTTCCCATGACCATTTCAAATCTCTCTTTATCCTTACTGTGGCTTTAAGATGGATACATGTAAACAAGCTCTGTTCTGATTGGTTGCCCTGTGTGGTGCCTGATTCAAAAAGCAGTCCAAGCTGAAACACCTCTTTTAACTTCAGCATGAATAAGCTGGGGTAAACTGCTGTAGGCCAAACACGTGGATATATGTAAAGGTGTTGTTTTTTTGTGACATCACAAAACCAGTGAATTCAATAGCTTATTTTTGCACCTTATTTTCCACATATGAACTGTTTGTGCTGGGGAGTGAACAGTAAAACTGTAATAATGTTTACAAACTACATCAAATTGTTCTAATAAAAAAGGGAGAACATTTAGTTTTGCATGATATGAGCCCTTTAAAACCTTCTTAAACACAAGTATTTTGTTGCAAACAAGAAACCCATAAAAAATGGAGCATACTGTAACATGTTGTCAGTATTTGCCAAAATATGAACAGAACAGATTTGAATATATTTTCAGTATGTTACAGTTTTGAATGGGAAACCAAAATATACAATGAGACATGCTGAGAAACAGACCATCAGACAGACAGTGTAGACATAAATAATTGCAGTGGCACTCAGGCTGTACCTTAAAGAAGCTGCCACTGCGGTCCATTTGGCAGGGCTGCACCAGTGTGTCAGCGGCCATCTTGGTGTCCCTGCTGCTCTGCTGCATGCAGCTGGTGCTGCCAGGGCTCTGCACAGAAAAAAACACAGCTTATCTGAGGCCCTGGTAGAGAAAAGAACAAGTCAGATAAATGAAGATCAGGCACAGCTCTAGCAGGACATCAGCCTCAGACTGAGCCGTTCACTTTCTCCTAAATAAAAACACCTTCAATAGAGCCCCTCTATGCTTACCCTTCATTTCCTGCCACATGGAATGTACACCCAAACAACCC